ATATCATTGTATTACATAAATTGTTAATATAAAATAATTTAAAGTATTTTATTAATTATTTTTAATAAAAATTAAACTAAATTGCCGACAATTTTATTATAATACAAAAGTAACTAAAATGCATCTCTCATACATATGAACAATAAACTAAATAATACTTAAAGAAATTAGCTTCAACCAATAATGCAAAAGTAGTTCAAACCAATCTTAACGACAAAGTAAATATAAAAATAATATTAAAACTAAAATTTATCGAAATTCTAGCCAAAAATTGGCCAATCTTGATTTGGTTAAGCTTGAATGTATTATGCACGCTCTATAGTAATCTAATATTAGTATATTTGATAATTCAATCAATTCGATTTTGTTTTAATAAATATTTAATTTATTTTTTCATTGATTATATGTAGCAAACAAATTAATAAAAACATTATACATAATCTCTTAGAAGATGTGGATTAGAAGCAGTAAACAACTTAATTTAGCAAAATAAATACAATTGGGATGATTTTTAAAATATTGGAAACGAAATAAAAAAAGAAACAAAACAATCTCACTCTACTTACTATTTAGGAAATTATGATTTAAACATCATAGAAAGAGTATTAGATAAAGAAAATTTTTTTTTAGAGTGGGTTAAAGCAAACCAAAATTTTACTGTAGAACTTTTAGCTGACCCATAAGTTTTTGGGCTCTTGATAAATTAAATTAAAGAGTTGTCATTCGTTGAGAGAATATTTTAATGGGAGCCTAGACATTGGATTAGCATTAGAAAGAATGTTAAGCCTGATAATGAATTGGAGTATTTTTATCATGATTCAAAATTGAGCGCTGCATAATGCATACAAGAACCAGATATGGTGTAAAGGTTAATAGAATTAAAAAAGAATAAGGATAATTATTTCTTATTGGTTAAGAAGAAATGAACTATCATATTCATAATTCAATAAAATTGATGAAGCCAAAATTTTATATCATACATTTTTTATTATTTAATCATTACTATTTTTCTATATTTTTTTGAGTATACTTTTATTGTTAAGTTAAATGTTCATATTTATTCAATAATTTTTTGTTCATTCTTTCCAATAAGAAACTAAAGAGTCTCTTATTCTAATTTTATTTTAAGAATATAATTGGAAACATCAATATTTGCATTTTAAACTTTTAGTAAAAGTTCGATATTTTTGGTTTGACATAGATACACGAAATGATAAATAATGTATTACTAATTTTAAAAAATAAATCATTATTATTAATTATTATAATAAGTTTACTATCATCTCGATCAATTTTATAGCTGAATTTCATAAAGTTCATTAAGGAAATGTTTTCTTTATTATTTAAATCACAAAAACTATTAAAATAAAATCCTTTATAATTGATTAGCATAATTTAATTAAAAATGGATGATGACAGACCCAAAACATCTTCTTTTTCATTTTCTCGATTTGGCCGTAGATTAGATTAGAAAAAGTCAACTGGAACTAGATTCTATCCTTAAAATGTGGTTGTGATTCCTCCAATAAAAATTGAGAAGAAAACAGTATAAAAAGGAGATTGGCTATTCAGAAGGATAGATAGATCATAAGGATCAATTTACTCTCAATAACATTAGGCTACATAAGCAGAAAGAGATTATAAACCTCATTTCGATATTATAGAAAAACATATTCCAATAATAAGCTTTGAAAAGCAAACAAAGAGAAGATCAATGAGTCTATCAAATAATTAATAGGATATCTCGAATGTTTAAGTTCCTCCTGCGAAAATAAAAATGATGATTCCTTTTGAAAAATAAGAAGGAAGAAAGAATGTATAAAGAGATACAGTTGATAAATTTTATTAGCCAATAGATTTAGTTAAAACAAACAATGCTCATTCTTTTGAATCTTATTCAGCAAGAAAACCTTTAGCTGAGAAAGATGCAATGCCAGATTATGAAATATAAAAGAGTTTCAACTATATAAAATAGAGAAGATAAACAGCAGTTGATTTTGGAAAGTCAGCATAATAAAAAGAACACTTGCCTATAACATCTTTGTTAGATTATGATGTTAAATTAAATAAGAAGATTAGAACAATTTTATTTAACAAGTAGATTCCTAGAGAGAAAAAAGCTTAGAATGAAATGTTCACTAAATTATTTTAGCGATTAAAAGCTAAATTTAATTGATTCAAATAACTATTTTTACTATTCTTATATGAATATATAAAGAGTAAAAATGAAATAGATTTAATTAACAAAAATAATACTCCTCAACAATTATTTTATTTTTAAATTTCTTTTTTTATGAATCAAGGATACATATTGATTATATTATAAATTAATTAAGTATATATAGTTACGCACTAACTAACAAAATGACTCATTAATATAAATGAGTGAAAAGAAATAAGCAGGAGGGCTTCAAGGAGTAGTAGCAGGATAATCAGCTATTTCCACAGTTGGAGTTGGTGGTATAGGGTTAAATTACAGAGGTTATGATATTAATGTAATATATAAGTTTAGAATATTTTAGGATCTTGCTTATAAATGTACTTTTGAAGAAGTGACTTATTTGTTATTAAAAGGTCATCTACCTACTTAATAATAACTTGATGAATTAAAAACACTTATATGGTCAAAGAGATATATTCCTTGTAAATTGAAATAGATTTTGGAGACTTTACCTAAAGAATCTCATCCTATGGATATTATGAGAACAGTGACATCAATTTTAGGTATTTTAGAACCTGAAACTAAGTCTGGTTAGGAATATGATATAAGCATCAGATTAATTTCAATATTTGGACCTGCTTTGTTGTACTGGTACCATTACAGCAATTCAGGAATTAAAATAAATGAGAATACAGGTAAAGATTCTATAGCTGAAAACTTTCTTAAACTTTATCATTTGAAGAGTGAAATAGATCCTTTAGTTATAAAGACATTCGATGTTTCATTAATATTATATGCTGAACATGATTTTGCAGCATCTACTTTCGCTGCACGAGTTACTGTAAGTACATTATCTGATTTTTATTCTGGAATTACAACAGCTATTGGAACTCTTAGAGGACCTCTTCATGGAGGAGCTAATGAAGCAGCTATGCAATATTTGGAACCTCTAAGAAGTATACCATAAGCAGATCAATTTTTGAATAGCAGATATCAAAGTAAATAACTCATCATGGGATTTGGACATAGAGTCTACAAAAAGGAAGATCCACGCTCTCCTATTATTAAAGACTTTTCATTGCAATTAAGTAAGACATAAAACGGAGATCCTACATTATTGGCTGTTTCATAACATATTGAAAAAAGGATGGTTGAGGAGAAAAAGATTTATCCGAATCTTGATTTTTATAGTGCTAGTGCATATAGATAATGTGGGTAATAATCATTCCTTAATTTAGAGTTCCAACTCCCATGTTTACTGCCATCTTTGTAATTTCTAGAATGACAGGATGGGGTGGACATATTATTGAGTAGAGAAGCAATAACAAATTGATGAGACCTGTCTCAGATTACACTGGCCCTGCTAAAAAGTAATTTGTACCAATAGAAATGAGAAATAAAGCAAATTTATGAAAATGGATTATTAAAATAAATATAATAATTTTAATGTCTTAATCAGATAATTAAATTGTTAATCCATCAGGATGTTTTATTTTTCTTTAAGCAAAAAAAATGATAGATCCAGCTGATGATGAATAATATAGTGCAATATAGAAGACATTCTTTTCAACTTCAATAACTGTAGGATTGTTTTCATTTTTATTGGCAAGATTTTACGAATTAGGAAAATATAAATTTATGATTCCAAATAGATTAATGTTTTATGTTGTAGCAGTTGGTGGTCCATCTATTACACATGCATTTTATAGAACAAATGATTTAACTAATTTTATTAGTTAGATGGACCAGAAATATTACGAGTAATATAAAGCATTGAGTTAATAATGAATGTTTGTATTGATTTTATATAAATATATGATAAAAATTGATTTAATAGTTATTGGTAATCTAGGTATTTGATATATACAAGATGATTAGGGTCTGGTAAGACAAGTTTAATACAAAGATTCATAGACTGTAAAAATAATTCTATATTTTAGAGGATGCTCCATTTTAACATAATTATCTTCCAACACTTGGATTAAATCTAGTAAAGAAAGAATTCGTTCATTAAGGACAATAAATAAAATTATGTATATGGGATACAGCAGGATAAGATAAATATTTTAGTCTAACAAAAAGTAGGTTAATTTTGTAAATCTTAAGGTTATTTTTAAAGAGCAGATGGAGTCATTATGGTTTTTGATATTGCAGATAAAGATAGTTTCAATCGTATAAGCGATTATTGGATTAAATAAGTTTAAGAATGTTCAAAAGCGAATTCTTAATCTATTCTGGTAGGAAATAAAATAGATTTGTGTGAAGTACAATATGCCACATAATTAGAAACGATAAGTTAAATTCCTAGAAGCTTAAGAATTCTCATAGAAATACAAATTGCCTTATTTTGAAGTTAGGTTTCTTTTCATAATTAAAGAAGTGCAAAGACTGGAGATGGAGTTCAAGAGGCATTTTACTTTCTATCGCGAAAATGTACGGAATGCATTGAAACTGAAGTGAATGAAGTCTAACATTTATAAATCGATTCTGAAAATAAACCAAAAGGATTTTAAGGATGTGTTAACACTATTATGGTATTCATACCATTTATAATAGAGCATGTGGAAGAAATGATTAGTGATTAATTATTTTAAATATTATTATTATTATTATTATTATTCTTATTATTATTATTATTATTATTATTGCAGTTTTACATTTAATAATGTCAATGAAAAAAACACCAAACTAATCTTCAGGTATATATTCTCCTTATTCTTTTATAAAAGGTCCTAAATTTATAAAAGATGTTACTCATAAATCTAGATCAGAACATAATTAATCTTTTGATGCATCCTATAGCAAGAATTATGCTCCTACCTTCAGTAATTAAAGCAGACTTAAAAGCTATAGTCAATAGGCAAATTTCTTAGATGATTTAGAAGAGGAATAATATCCAAATTAAATTAATGTTGCAATTCAAAAAAAACCTTTTGAATTAGCATTGTAGAATGAACTTCAAAAAATGCTATCAAAAATTATTGCAGGATAATAATTATCAATAGATGATTGTTAATCTATTATTAGAGCTATTGATGAATGCATTTAAGAGAGTTTATAAACTTTGAAATAAAAAGATGCAGAAGTATAATTATTTTACATTACTTCAGGTTTTTAACATTAAATAAGCTTATGAAAATAAAATTCATCAATAGGAAAATACTATTCTAGCATTAGAAAATGAAGTTCAAGAACTTAAACACATGATTACATTAAATCCTAATGATTCAATTAATTTCAAATTGTAATAATTGGAATAAGAAAATGAAATGCTTAAATTATAAAATTAATAGGCAATTAAATTAGCTGTTCAAGGAAGAACTAAAAAACAAGAAAAAGAACTTTATGATGCCATGAATACTAGTAAATCAAAACCAAAAGCTTAAGTTAATAATTATTCAATTTTGTTGAATTAGCAATATAATAAAATTTATTAACAAGATAAGAAGATTAAATCATAGTTATTTTGATTATTATTTTTCATATATTCAATTAATTTTAGTACTTCTAGTCAATTAATTTGAGTAAAAGTTCTTTGATTTTTATTATCTTGTATTTTGATTTAATCTTTAGCTCTAATATTCAACAATTTAAGGAGGTTGTTCATAAGATTAGTTTTCATCAGAATCTATACCTAATAAATTTGTTTTTATGATTACCTAAATTAGTACTGATTTCATGAGTATCAAGCATATCATTCATTTCTCTTATAAATAAATTTACAGAATCTTCAGTTCCCATAATACGATCTTGCATCTCCTGATTCTCAATTTCTATATTTCTTAACTTAAATATTAAGTTGATTTACTTTTGTATCAAGTGTTTTATTGGTTGAGTTTTTTCTCAATTCATTTTCTAATGATGTTAAAATTAAATCTTTTTATTTTATTTTCTATTATAAATCCTACTCTTTTTATTTTTAATTAGTTATATTCTCCATAATTTCTTATTCCTTTATTTATAGATTTTTTATTTCTGAATCTTTAGATGCTATCACTTATAAAAAGGATGTTCTTATTTTGTCATTTTTATTCTTTGAAAATAGAAGTCTAACTTTAATAAATGCATAATGTATATTCCTTTTTTATTTTTTTTGAATTATTGTTCCAATTTACTTATACTTTAATGCTATATATGTAAAAAGAACTTTAAAATGATTAACGCTATATTTATTAGATTACTTTAGTTTCCTAAATGCATAAACCTTCTGTTAGTTTCCTCTACAATAATCAGTTCAAATTACTTTAATTTTATAATCAAAGCTAGCCTTCTCATTGATATTTCCATCTTTAAAAAAACTAACTAATATTTAGCCATCATATTTAGAGTTTCTGTATGAATAATTTACTCTCTTAATTTATTTTTTTATGCATTTAACTCATCAGATGACATTTTATATTATTATTTTATAATATCAATATAATTTATACTCAAAATAGAGTGGCATTTCTTTTTCTAAACGTACTTACTAAGGGATAATTTCACTAGATTTTAATATTTTATTGACAAATCCAATCCATAACTAATAATTAAATTTTTCATATTTTTACCTATGTATGTTATACTAGTTCATCAAATTTATTTATTATTTCCGAAATATCTTTTAATTTATTTTAATTAACAATAGATATTGAATCAGGAACAAAAATGCTAGGTTGAACAATCTATAATTTTGATTGTTAATTTTGTTTTTTACTAAGTTCCTCTAATTGTTCTATAATACTTTTCATATTTTCTCTAAGTTGTTAAGTTATTATGGCTTGGATTAACTAACTTTTAATTTATCATATTATTTTACCTAGTTTTTAAAGTTTCTAAGATAAATTATGTTAATTGTTTAGCTTCAATTAAATTATTTTTTTGTATTAATAATTCACATATAAAACAACCTTACAATAAAATTGCTTAAAATATGACAGTCATGTATTCATAAACTGAATTATCCAAATTTTTAATTTATAAACAATATTTTTAAAATTATGCAACAACTTATTGAAAATTAATTGATGTTACTGATGATGGAATTTAAAAATTAGCTATTATATTATTTATAAAATTGCATTTTTTGTAATCTTATTAAAACATCTAATCAAAAGAAGGAGGAAATAATCCTGAATTTTAAATGAAATATTATTTATATTCATCAATTTTTTATGGATAATTTAGTATTTGATTTAATTATTGTAGTTCTTCCTAAACAATATAAATTAATAAACTACATCTAAAATAGTATGTCTAATAAAATAATATCTATTTGGATTTCCATTTAAAAATTCTTCGAAATATTAATATTTAATTAAGGCCTTACTAATATCACTTTTGGGATATATTATTCTATGTCCTGCAGCTCTCTACAATATACGAGATTTTCTCTATAATAATATTTATTGATCCATAAGTATCAAAATTTCTTAATTTTTTTATTCAACAAATTTATCCATTTCATTTCCTAATGAAATATTTCTATTCTATTTAATTTAGTCTTAATGTTCATAAATTAATCCTGATACATTAGTATTTTAATTAGTTTTTCCTTAAGCTTCTGCAAATACTGTTGGAAATTCAACTTAAGTAACTACTCTATCATTAAATTTCCACCAATTTATTCCATCAAATATAAAACAATAGTAATGACCACTTTAAGCTGTACCAGAATGAATCAAAACAGCTGTCAATTGGTATATACTCTTCTTTGCTTCAATAACTCTTTTTTTCAACTGTTCTATTTTTATATACTCCATTTACAATTATTATCTTTTATCTTTAAAGGCTTCTTAATACAAAGATAATTATTTAGCCATTTCCATATGATTTTAAAGATTTGGATTTGCATCAATAATAAATTATTCGTTTGGCTGTTTTTAAAATAGTTTAATAAAATTTTGAAATTGTTATTCCAATTATTAATCTCCGCATTATTCTAATTTATATAAAATTTCTTATTCTTTCTTTAAAAGCTCTTACATTTCTTTAGATTAAATTATTGATTCCTCTTATATGAATTAACTAACATCAATTGTCTAAATTAAAAAATATTTTTACTGAAGGAAAGTTAAAAACTGAATTATTTTTAACAAGTTGATTTAAATTAGAATCATAAAATACTCTATTAAGATAAAATTATAAGATTTTTGGTGCAGATTTAATGTTTTAATGAATGAAGGCTTTTGTATAAACCTTTTCAGTAATTTCATAATCATCTAAAATTAATATTCTTGAAGAACTGAATGCTTTTAATAAATTTTCTTAATTAGATTCTATTGTTATAGAACTATATTAAGTTGGTGTGGTTTTAATAACTTTATTATTAACAATTATATTCTCTTCTGATTGGCCATAAAATATAGATTTAAATTCTTAGATTATTTACTCATTATTAATATCTAATAAAGAATTTTCTATAGCATCTAATAGCATTAATTATAATTCACTATAATCATTCTATTCACCTTAAATAGTTAAAATATCTATATAGTTTGCAATTTTACTTGGTTTATATTCCTAAAGAGATGTAATTAATTCACAAGGATTTAAGTAGTTTCTATTACCTTATTACATTAATGCAAATAACTCTTTTAATTTTTATATCACTTTTTATCCATTTGTCTTTTAATTAGGTAACTAAACCTTAAAAATAAGTTTTCTTAGTGAAGTTATATTAAACATATATTAAAGCATAATATTAATATAGCAAGCTCAAAATATTATTATTATTTACTATTTCCTAAATTGATCAAACCTGTTGGTTTCCAATTTGGAGAATTGATTTAATTTGGTCTATATTGGTCTTACAAAGTTTGTAGATCAAAATTTCTAAATATCAGTCAAATAATAAATACTAAAGATCTTCTCTTGTTTGAATAAATATAGAATTTCGCAATTGATTTTGATCACTTAAAGTTTTCATATTAAGTTACGATTATAATAAGTTATTGCTTATACTATTTTTGGCATTACTAAATTAGATAGTTTGTACACTAATTAGATTAGAACATCATGGAAAAGATACTAATCTTGATTGCACTTTTGCCAAGCTTGTAAAATCTATGATTAAGTAAATCCATAAGTTTGATATTATTTTAAAATCTGGTTTAATTAATGTTGAGTGATTCGAAAACTTTTTAATAGATTTGCCTAAGAATAATTTTACATTATTGAATTATTAAATTTTATAATTAAAAATTTGATTAAAATAGAATAAAAATTATATTTTCTTTTCAGGTTGAAAAAACATTATAATAAATAATTGTGTTTTATAATTCTCATTATTTTTCCTATTTTTCTTTTTCTAAGCTTTCTTAGATTTCATGAAAATTAATTTATTGAAAAAATTCTTCATTTTTAAATTTATTTAGAAGTGTTATATTTTTAAAACTAACTTCAAAAATAATTACTATATTATCTTTAGAGTAGAATTGATTAAGTAAATCTTCATATAATTATTCGAATTTTTACTCCTAGCAATATTAATCAATAATTTTAATGATTATAATTTTCAATGTATTATCACCTTTTTCATGTTTTTCAAAAATTGAATTAACATTAAGTATCATTTCTTAAAATGTTGAAGGAATTTAAATAATATGAATGTTTTTCTTCCGTTCTTATTTAGTTAAAAATAATTAATATTTTTCTGGGAATATTTCAAGTTTATTATTATTAATTTTACAAAATTTCTATTTATAGAAATAAAGATTACTTTAAAATATTTTATTATTTATTCTATAAGAGCATCATTATCATAATAATCTTTGCCATTAATAATAATGATTTATTTATTTATTTTTAAATAAGAAACTTCTTTATTACTACTTAATTATTCAAATTCTAATCCATTAAATTCTTATGAACCTTTAGGGGAGGATATTGCAAATTTTTCAGAAACTTGATGCTTTTTATGTTCAGTAATTGTTTATTTATTATCAATAATTCTATTGTTAAACACACGATATTCAAAGCAACAACATACATTTTTTTCCTATTACTCATTGATTAATAAACTCATTGGTATATCAATTTTTAAAATTTCACTTCTATCATACGAGTTTATATATGGAATAAAATTATCTTAAATTATTTTATATCTTTTATCATATAATTCGCAATTGTCTTCATTAAGTTTACATTTTAGAGATTTATTATTATGATAAATTTATCCTAAGCATCCGTTTACACATTAATTTGGATCTGAAATTTCTGTATTGCAATTATAATGTAGAAATTTTTGTTTAGAACATTTCAGATGTTATTTATGAGAAAGTGTATAACTAATTTTTGAAGGATCTTTCAAACAGTCTTCATTATGTACATGAAAACAACAACATATTAATAGATCTGTTATTTTATTTTTAAAATTCTGATCAAATAATTTTTAAACATCTTATTTAGCAGAATTATATGAAACTTCAAGACTTTTGTTATCAAACAACTATTTGTAAAAACTCTTCCAAAATTAATTTCCGAATTTATCATCAGAATTAAAAAATTTTATTTATCCAACAAAAGTTACAGAAGCAAAGTTTTAAACATTTTCTATTAAATATGGGTTATTATCATTGTTTTAAGGAAAATGAATAATATCTTTGGCTATCATAGAACTTATAGATATTAACTTTAATCGTCTGAGTTTTCTTTTATTAGCGTATAGTTATTAAATAAGGTCTTCTAAAGGTAGTTTATCTACAATACCACCATCTTATAGTTCGAAATAATACCCAGAAATAGGATCATAATCTCCATTAATTATTAAATGCATTATCTATGGATTAGAATTCATTGCTTCATCCAAATTATCTTTCGTAGCTAATAAAATCTTATATTATATATCTTTTTCTGATAACTTTATTTCCTGCTATATATTACTTATTTCCCTTTCATAATCTATAAACTATGCATTCGATATATTATTATCATTATCTATTTAAACCAAGGGACTGCTATAAATTATAACAATATCAACTTTTCTCTTTTAAATTTCCTCAATTTTTTTAATTAAAATCTATTCATTCTCTAAATTATAGATTTCACTTAAATATTTATTCATGACTTCAAATTCTGAAATTTAATTGTCTAATTCATTTCTTAATTCATTTTACTGATCAATTAATTATTATTATATTCTCTAATAAACTTTAAAATCTCTCTCTATTTCTTTTAATTACCAATAATTAATTTCAAAAATTAACCTAATTTCCAATATTTCAGGTATACCAAAAAATTCTTTTGGAAACGCAAATAAATTATTGTAAAAATCAAATACTTGTTTTTCTTCTACAAACTTATTTTAAGATCTGTCAAAAAATTCTATTATAATTCTCATTTCATATACCAAAATGAATGCTTTCCAAATCTGATGATTAAATTAAATTTTTTTTCTATAAAAATATGATGAATCTCTCCTTTGTTATTGTTAATATTTAATTTATTTTTTTTAAAGGTAATCTCATTTACTCATCCTAATTGAAATTAAAATTGTTTTAGACAACAAATTTTACTAGAAAAGGCTCTTTCATACGAGAATATAAATTATCTTTAAATATAAATAAATTAAATTTCTTGTCATACTAAACTAAGTTAATCAAATTATATAATTTTTAATGTTGTCATTATAAAATTATACTTTTTAGTTAAATATCAATAAAGTTAAGGTGAAGATTGTAATAAAATAATTATTATTATATTTTTATAATGTTAATACCTCCAAAGACAAAAAGAAATTAAACTATTGATTAAGGAGAATACTTATTTTAACAAAGAAAAAATTTTGATCCTTATATTGAGATGATGAAGAAACAATAATAACAGGAACTTAATTTATTTCGAAAAGCTTTTGCTAATATTGCTTCATCTAGAATACATGCATAACATCTAAGTGAAAAAAGAGAATAAATTGTAATAATTGTTAAAATTTAGCTTATAAGGTGTTGACTGTACATAAAAAAAAACGAGTTTAACCAAAATCAGAATTCAAGTTACCCACTTTAGGTTAAGGAGAAAAAACAGAAAGAATAAAAATTAAATTTCCTCCTTAAAGAATTAAGAAAGTCTTTGTATGAAATTGTGATTCTATTTATTTTAAAAAGGATTCTTATATCATTAAAAAATTTAATTTTTTTTTAAGTTTTTAAGCTTTAATAAAGAAAATATTTTTAATTTATTATAGAAACTCTTCTAAATATTGCCAGATTTATATTTAATGTTAAATTTTACAAGAACTTGATGATTACATTTGAAAATCTTAACATTTGATATAAAAAATATGATTATTTTTATTAAAACATTGGTTTATACAAAATAGTTATATTTCAGATTTGATATTCTAAACTTAATAATAGCAGTTAAACTTAATAACCTTTTTAGATTATCTATAGATTCAAAAATTTACTTGATTTTCTTATATGTTTTAAATTCTTAAATAATAAATTTCCTTTTTGTAATGACGCAAAAGAAAGACATTCACGTTTTAATATAAAATTATACATAACTAATAGCGGATGATTTAAGTTTATCTATAATAATAAATATTGTAAAATGAGTGCTTAAGTGTTATTTCGGGTGAAATGTTCTACAGAATTTAGTTAAATGGTCAGCATCGTTGGAAACAATCAATAATTAGGGAATTGGAATCCTTAATAAGGATTTAAATTAATAACTAATAATGAAATGTATCCCATTTGGTTTAGTGATTTTGCTTTAGAAGTTGAACTTAGTATCTATATTTGTTTATCTAGATTAACTTGTTGAATTCAAACTAATTATTACAGATGGATAAAATTCTTTTTGGGAATGTGGCGAAAATAGACGTCTTTAGATATAAGGATAGAAATTAGTAGTTGTTTTGACTTACAACATCCCATCCCTCTATATTTATAATATTAAAAGAATTTTTTCAGACACTGATCTCTCTACAATTACGATAGGTAATTTAAATTAAATAATAATTAGGAAGAACAAGAAAGGTCTCTATATAACTAAAAGACAAGTTGTATGATTCAGATGATGACTCAGTAATTTATTTTTTCATTCTTTTAGGATTCAGAATAAGAAAGCGATGTTAATTCCTTATTTTAAGATGAAATCGTTTCATGTAATTCAAATGAAAACATTACAAATTCTCCAAATTCTTCTCATTTCGAGCCAATCTTTTAGTTCGCCTCTGAATTGGGAACTGGTGAAAATTGATTATCAAATCTCTTCATTAACTTAAATTTATATAGATATATCATTTTTTAAATAGTATCTAATTTTTATTTGAGTAATTTCAGAACTTTTCTAAAATTATTATCAAAATGTATTCCTCCTAACCATTTATCAAAATTATTAGTATATTTTTAATGAGTAAAAGTGCATTATATACTTTTATAATTAATATATAAGAATAATTCTTATAAATAGAAATCTTAATTTAAAATATACCCAATTAAATGAATTATGATTAACTATATTTATTAATTAAATTAATTTAGAAAATTTTCATACATTAATAATTAATGAAAATTATTATCAAATAAAGTCATAATTTCTTTATCTTATTTCAATAATTTTTTACAAATTTATGAGATATTTAGAATTCATGTTTATTATAAAAACATAGAAAAAAATCTCTATGATAATTAATATGTTATGTAAATAAATATTTTATATTTTATTGACAAAGATATTTCGATAAAATAAGTTTTTATTTTAAGAGCTCCCCTATGAGATTAGTTTGATGAAAAGCACATTCTGATTGTTTTGCTGTAAATTTAACAAAATACAAAAAAAAAAGAAATAACATAATTGGTATCTTTAAACTCAGTTAATTGAATGTGAAATAATTTTAATAAGTTAAGATTCATAAATCATCATCAAATAAAGTAAATAATTTTCACACAATCTTAATAGACTACAATATTTTATAAATATGTAGTAAATAAATTCACTCAAAATATTTTTGATGAATATATCCTTATGTATATTTTTTTAGCTTAAGTAGACATTTAATGATTTATTAGTTCTTCATTAAAAGTGAAGAAGAGATTCTTATAGATTTTAATTCTATATAAACTATTTGTTATTGTTTAAATGGAAAATAAAGTTATTTAGTTCAATGAGTTAGCCAAAATTTACAAATCATCTCTTCTTGATTAAAATAATGATTCTCAAAATATCACAATAGGATTAATTAATAAAAATATTAAAATATAAAATATGTCTTTAGAAAGCTAAGTATTGCTTGCATTATGGAAATTGTATCAATAAAATTAAATCTCAATGGAACAAAAAGGATGTATTAAAGGTATATATATACTTTATAAAAGATTTATTAATAAGAAAAGATTATAATTTCTACTCTGCAATTAATGATTGCTAAAAATTAGATTAATTAGAAGAAAAGCTGCTTGATATTTTGAATTGTAAAGATCTTTAAATTTTGTTCTGATTAGGGTTCCCCTAGAGATCTAGATCCTGAAGAAACTATTTGTCCAATTATTCGATATAGTAATTCATCCAATACACCAACAACTATTAAATCATATTAAAACAAACCTTAAAAGAGATTTAGATTTATGAGCTCTAGTAATGAAAGTGAGATGGCCTAAAATAATTAAAGGACCCGATCAAACTCATTCCATCATTAATGAAAATAGTTATTTAGTTTTAATTAATCTCAAACTTTACAAGAATCTTAATCATATAAAGTTTTAATTAATTTATCTTATATTCGTAAATGTTTAAAACCTATTATCATTATAAAAGTCAAAACACAACTAAAAATAAAATAAACCCTATCATAGGGTATCCATTTTTAGTTTAGCTTTAAATTCATAATATGATCATGAAATTATTTAAAATTTACCTCATTTATTTTATTTTAATGTAAATATTAATTTAANCATTAATAATTAATGAAAATTATTATCAAATAAAGTCATAATTTCTTTATCTTATTTCAATAATTTTTTACAAATTTATGAGATATTTAGAATTCATGTTTATTATAAAAACATAGAAAAAAATCTCTATGATAATTAATATGTTATGTAAATAAATATTTTATATTTTATTGACAAAGATATTTCGATAAAATAAGTTTTTATTTTAAGAGCTCCCCTATGAGATTAGTTTGATGAAAAGCACATTCTGATTGTTTTGCTGTAAATTTAACAAAATACAAAAAAAAAAGAAATAACATAATTGGTATCTTTAAACTCAGTTAATTGAATGTGAAATAATTTTAATAAGTTAAGATTCATAAATCATCATCAAATAAAGTAAATAATTTTCACACAATCTTAATAGACTACAATATTTTATAAATATGTAGTAAATAAATTCACTCAAAATATTTTTGATGAATATATCCTTATGTATATTTTTTTAGCTTAAGTAGACATTTAATGATTTATTAGTTCTTCATTAAAAGTGAAGAAGAGATTCTTATAGATTTTAATTCTATATAAACTATTTGTTATTGTTTAAATGGAAAATAAAGTTATTTAGTTCAATGAGTTAGCCAAAATTTACAAATCATCTCTTCTTGATTAAAATAATGATTCTCAAAATATCACAATAGGATTAATTAATAAAAATATTAAAATATAAAATATGTCTTTAGAAAGCTAAGTATTGCTTGCATTATGGAAATTGTATCAATAAAATTAAATCTCAATGGAACAAAAAGGATGTATTAAAGGTATATATATACTTTATAAAAGATTTATTAATAAGAAAAGATTATAATTTCTACTCTGCAATTAATGATTGCTAAAAATTAGATTAATTAGAAGAAAAGCTGCTTGATATTTTGAATTGTAAAGATCTTTAAATTTTGTTCTGATTAGGGTTCCCCTAGAGATCTAGATCCTGAAGAAACTATTTGTCCAATTATTCGATATAGTAATTCATCCAATACACCAACAACTATTAAATCATATTAAAACAAACCTTAAAAGAGATTTAGATTTATGAGCTCTAGTAATGAAAGTGAGATGGCCTAAAATAATTAAAGGACCCGATCAAACTCATTCCATCATTAATGAAAATAGTTATTTAGTTTTAATTAATCTCAAACTTTACAAGAATCTTAATCATATAAAGTTTTAATTAATTTATCTTATATTCGTAAATGTTTAAAACCTATTATCATTATAAAAGTCAAAACACAACTAAAAATAAAATAAACCCTATCATAGGGTATCCATTTTTAGTTTAGCTTTAAATTCATAATATGATCATGAAATTATTTAAAATTTACCTCATTTATTTTATTTTAATGTAAATATTAATTTAATAACCAAAAGCAGCATTTCAATAGTATAGATATCTTAAAAAATTTTAAACAAAAGATTAAAACAAAAATTTTAAGAAAATTAAATTTATTCATTTGAATTATGTGAATAGAGTGTTAATTTTTCAAATAAAATTTCTTATTTTCAGACTATTAGAAGATTCTTTAAATTTTTATAAGTTATTATAATACTATATAAGAATTAACTTTAAAATAAAAGTAGTTATAGTGAAATTTAATCTTATCTAAACTAATCTAAGCTAAACAAATTTTTCTTTACATCTGAATATATTTGATTTCTAAATTTTTAAATTTATCATATAACAATTTAAAATAGTACGGAAAATAATTAATCATTCATATTTGATATGAAGAATTAGATTAAATTAATTTAAAATAAATAAAAATTAAACAACTTTTGATCAATATTTTTATTAAACAAAAATAATTAATTTAAAAATAGTTTTAGGTATGGAGAATGTTGTTGATTAACTAAATTTGGAACATTTTATCTTAAGAATATATTTTCAAAATTACATAGATCATAAATAGATTGTTAATTATATATATACAAATTTGTAATCAATTCATCCAAATTAATTAAGATAAGTATTCTGCTACTAACTCTCTATATTTATGAAGGGCTTATTAATTACATTTAGTTTTCTTTAATGTCTAATAGATTTGACATCAATAATTTAGTTTAATCATTATTAAAAGTTATTCTCTAACAACAACCTTAGTGAATGATTTTTCAAAACTCCATGGATCTATAATCTAGATGTAATGTTGTTGTTAATTAATAACTAGATTCAATAGAATGCAAGGGATCTTCATTTATGGAAAAATTAGTCGTTTTATTGAAATTTATTGTTATTATTATTTTCATAAGTTAATTAATTTAGATTGTTCATCTGAATCAGAATTTTAATCAAGAATTTATTGTTATTAGATTGATAATGGTTATTATTATTGATTTATATTATTTAACAAGGCTTACTTCTTTGATTGCATTTGTAATAATCTGTTTTGTAAAATTTACTCATAATGAAAAATGACAATTTTTGTAATTTCTTACACTAATTCAAAAAGCATCATCATAGTTCTTAAGACTCTTATTGTACAAACTAGACAATATCTTTGATGAGATTCAGTTGTATTGATTTAGTCGATGAGTGATAAAATATCAATAAAAGCTAATAATAGTTCATAAAAACTTAATGGAGATTTAATGTTAATTATTTTCTTATAGATAGTTGGCATTAAAAATGGGATCAAACAAAGTCTTATATCCTAAAGATTAGTGATTACCTACTTTAGTGTTTGGTCCAAATTCGTAGTTGTAGAGTAGATTTTTTTCAACTCGATAAGCAAATNATATATACTTTATAAAAGATTTATTAATAAGAAAAGATTATAATTTCTACTCTGCAATTAATGATTGCTAAAAATTAGATTAATTAGAAGAAAAGCTGCTTGATATTTTGAATTGTAAAGATCTTTAAATTTTGTTCTGATTAGGGTTCCCCTAGAGATCTAGATCCTGAAGAAACTATTTGTCCAATTATTCGATATAGTAATTCATCCAATACACCAACAACTATTAAATCATATTAAAACAAACCTTAAAAGAGATTTAGATTTATGAGCTCTAGTAATGAAAGTGAGATGGCCTAAAATAATTAAAGGACCCGATCAAACTCATTCCATCATTAATGAAAATAGTTATTTAGTTTTAATTAATCTCAAACTTTACAAGAATCTTAATCATATAAAGTTTTAATTAATTTATCTTATATTCGTAAATGTTTAAAACCTATTATCATTATAAAAGTCAAAACACAACTAAAAATAAAATAAACCCTATCATAGGGTATCCATTTTTAGTTTAGCTTTAAATTCATAATATGATCATGAAATTATTTAAAATTTACCTCATTTATTTTATTTTAATGTAAATATTAATTTAATAACCAAAAGCAGCATTTCAATAGTATAGATATCTTAAAAAATTTTAAACAAAAGATTAAAACAAAAATTTTAAGAAAATTAAATTTATTCATTTGAATTATGTGAATAGAGTGTTAATTTTTCAAATAAAATTTCTTATTTTCAGACTATTAGAAGATTCTTTAAATTTTTATAAGTTATTATAATACTATATAAGAATTAACTTTAAAATAAAAGTAGTTATAGTGAAATTTAATCTTATCTAAACTAATCTAAGCTAAACAAATTTTTCTTTACATCTGAATATATTTGATTTCTAAATTTTTAAATTTATCATATAACAATTTAAAATAGTACGGAAAATAATTAATCATTCATATTTGATATGAAGAATTAGATTAAATTAATTTAAAATAAATAAAAATTAAACAACTTTTGATCAATATTTTTATTAAACAAAAATAATTAATTTAAAAATAGTTTTAGGTATGGAGAATGTTGTTGATTAACTAAATTTGGAACATTTTATCTTAAGAATATATTTTCAAAATTACATAGATCATAAATAGATTGTTAATTATATATATACAAATTTGTAATCAATTCATCCAAATTAATTAAGATAAGTATTCTGCTACTAACTCTCTATATTTATGAAGGGCTTATTAATTACATTTAGTTTTCTTTAATGTCTAATAGATTTGACATCAATAATTTAGTTTAATCATTATTAAAAGTTATTCTCTAACAACAACCTTAGTGAATGATTTTTCAAAACTCCATGGATCTATAATCTAGATGTAATGTTGTTGTTAATTAATAACTAGATTCAATAGAATGCAAGGGATCTTCATTTATGGAAAAATTAGTCGTTTTATTGAAATTTATTGTTATTATTATTTTCATAAGTTAATTAATTTAGATTGTTCATCTGAATCAGAATTTTAATCAAGAATTTATTGTTATTAGATTGATAATGGTTATTATTATTGATTTATATTATTTAACAAGGCTTACTTCTTTGATTGCATTTGTAATAATCTGTTTTGTAAAATTTACTCATAATGAAAAATGACAATTTTTGTAATTTCTTACACTAATTCAAAAAGCATCATCATAGTTCTTAAGACTCTTATTGTACAAACTAGACAATATCTTTGATGAGATTCAGTTGTATTGATTTAGTCGATGAGTGATAAAATATCAATAAAAGCTAATAATAGTTCATAAAAACTTAATGGAGATTTAATGTTAATTATTTTCTTATAGATAGTTGGCATTAAAAATGGGATCAAACAAAGTCTTATATCCTAAAGATTAGTGATTACCTACTTTAGTGTTTGGTCCAAATTCGTAGTTGTAGAGTAGATTTTTTTCAACTCGATAAGCAAATTTTAGAACTCTTCCACTCATTTTAGTTTCTTCTCTTCCAATTTTCATGAATGTGCACAAGCAGACTGAAAACAAAAATTCAAGAAATTATGCCAATAATATCAAAATTTTGATCATTTTAATAATAGCTTTTATAAATTTATTATAATATAAGATGCTATTCAATTATTATTAATATTGTATTGGTTATTATCAAAATCTTAAACTAAGATAAAAAAATGGAAAGTTTTTAGTTACAAAATAAAAGGATTATTATAATTCATTTTTTAGTTCAAAATCATTTAAGCATGTCACTATATTAAAGGTTTTGGTAATAAAACAAAGAAATATTAAATTTTAAATAAAAATTGCATTTAAATTGTCTTATGTAAATAAATTTTTGTAATTAAAATATTTTAGAATTTTTTGTTTTTATTTATTATTCAAATAAACGTAGAAATGTTATTCTAGTACGTTATTCATTAATTATTTAATCAAATATATACTATTATCTTAACTTCTAAGAGATTTAAATAAAATAATTATGCTATTATGCAAAGAAAAAGCAAAGTATTGGTTAAAGGTTTATAAATTCAGGAATTGACTCTGATACATTAGATACATGTGTATAATGATAAAAAAGTAAATAATTAATCAAATTTAATTAAAAAAGCTTGCAGCTATAAATTTTGAAAAAAGAAGAAGGAAAATTCACATAAAAAATATTGAGTTATCAAGTTTAAAATAATAAGTAGGTTCAGTATTAATATAAATTAAAAAAACAATTACAGAAGAAAGAATTTCAGATTATTATCAATTCTTAATTTTTTATAAAAGATTAATTATAAGAAATAAGTTTATTTAGTTTTTATTCCTTATCCATATTAATTATATATATTAAAAAATAAGTTATNAAAATTTACTCATAATGAAAAATGACAATTTTTGTAATTTCTTACACTAATTCAAAAAGCATCATCATAGTTCTTAAGACTCTTATTGTACAAACTAGACAATATCTTTGATGAGATTCAGTTGTATTGATTTAGTCGATGAGTGATAAAATATCAATAAAAGCTAATAATAGTTCATAAAAACTTAATGGAGATTTAATGTTAATTATTTTCTTATAGATAGTTGGCATTAAAAATGGGATCAAACAAAGTCTTATATCCTAAAGATTAGTGATTACCTACTTTAGTGTTTGGTCCAAATTCGTAGTTGTAGAGTAGATTTTTTTCAACTCGATAAGCAAATTTTAGAACTCTTCCACTCATTTTAGTTTCTTCTCTTCCAATTTTCATGAATGTGCACAAGCAGACTGAAAACAAAAATTCAAGAAATTATGCCAATAATATCAAAATTTTGATCATTTTAATAATAGCTTTTATAAATTTATTATAATATAAGATGCTATTCAATTATTATTAATATTGTATTGGTTATTATCAAAATCTTAAACTAAGATAAAAAAATGGAAAGTTTTTAGTTACAAAATAAAAGGATTATTATAATTCATTTTTTAGTTCAAAATCATTTAAGCATGTCACTATATTAAAGGTTTTGGTAATAAAACAAAGAAATATTAAATTTTAAATAAAAATTGCATTTAAATTGTCTTATGTAAATAAATTTTTGTAATTAAAATATTTTAGAATTTTTTGTTTTTATTTATTATTCAAATAAACGTAGAAATGTTATTCTAGTACGTTATTCATTAATTATTTAATCAAATATATACTATTATCTTAACTTCTAAGAGATTTAAATAAAATAATTATGCTATTATGCAAAGAAAAAGCAAAGTATTGGTTAAAGGTTTATAAATTCAGGAATTGACTCTGATACATTAGATACATGTGTATAATGATAAAAAAGTAAATAATTAATCAAATTTAATTAAAAAAGCTTGCAGCTATAAATTTTGAAAAAAGAAGAAGGAAAATTCACATAAAAAATATTGAGTTATCAAGTTTAAAATAATAAGTAGGTTCAGTATTAATATAAATTAAAAAAACAATTACAGAAGAAAGAATTTCAGATTATTATCAATTCTTAATTTTTTATAAAAGATTAATTATAAGAAATAAGTTTATTTAGTTTTTATTCCTTATCCATATTAATTATATATATTAAAAAATAAGTTATATTCAAATATTTTTACTATGAGTAATTATGAATTTTTATCAGAAAATTTTGGAATATCACCATCAATTATATTATTTTGAGAAGAAGAACAAGAGTTATAGTAGTTGATGACTCAATAATTTTATTGAATGTATAATAGAGTTTAGATTAAATAGATTTTAGATGAAAGAAATTAAAAGGATTTAGAGATTTAGAATTTGAATTTGGAAGAAGAGATTATACATTCTTTATAAAAAAGGGTGTAGAGAAAGTAGTTAAAAATTGATGAATATTAAGTGTAGTATTATATAAAAATAAAATATATATATAAATTAATAATTTATTAGAGATGTAAAGAGTGGTAAGGTTTGGATGTAGTACAATAAATAAATTAGAAAGTGAATTGAATAAAATTGAAAAGGTATCTTTTAAAGAAAGATATTTATCATTTCAAAGAGAATGGAATGAATTCAAAAATAGAGCAAAAGAAATGTATAAATTTGATGAATGATTTTGTATTTAGGCCTCCAAGAGTTTTTAATGATAAATTAGATGCTAATTAATAAAAGAAGATTAATTTGTTAGCAAAACATATAGAATATTTAAGTGAGAATGAATTTTAATATCTGAATTATATATTGTAGAAATAAGTACAAAATAAGCCAGATTTTGGTGAATTTTCACTAGGAATAAAAAATGAAGATACTTAAGTTGGTAATATATAAATTAAAGATAAGGTCCTGGAGTTTGGCCAACAGCACATCCTTAATGGTTATAATAATAAGAAATTATAGCTAAATTATGGCCTTTAGGATAATAAGGAATTGCAACATTATTTTCTGAAGTAGTAGGATTTGGAGGTGGAGTAGGAACAGGAGTTTAAGGATAAGCTACTGCTACTGCTTCTGTATAAGAAGAAAAAAAAGTAGAAACTCCTAAAGAAGCTCCAAAAGAAGCTACTGTAATTTCTATATAATAATTATTTAGAAATCTAATTATGATGTTATCCTTGATTCTTATGATCCTGCTTAAAAAATTAAGATTATTAAAGATGTTAGAGCAATATTCAATTTAGGATTAAAGGAAGCTAAGGATTTGGTAGAAAAATTACCTGCCACATTAAATAAATAAATGAAAAAGAGTGATGCTGAAGAATTGAAGATAAAATTAGAAGCTATAGGTTGCACAATTAAGTTAGTGTGAGAGTATATTATTATTAATAATCATTATAATGTTATTTTATTGTTTTTTTAGATGTGATATTACTATTTAATGTAATTTCAAATTTAAAATCAAATTTGATTAGAAAATGAGAAGCCTATTAAGAAAATATATAATTAATATGGATTATTAATATTATTTAATATTCATTTTCATTGTTACTTAATATCAAATTTCTCTAATTCACCAATGAATTGATTGTAAAAGTTTATTTATTAAGGTACAGCTCTAGCACTCACTATTGGCAATTCATAGGTTATTAATAAATAAACCTTCTTCCCGTTTAACTTTTTACAAATCCCCTATTTACTAATAAGTTTATGTCTTTTACTCTTGCTAAAGATATTCCTTCTCCAACATCTGCATCTCCTCTTCTTCCATATATCAGAGGAGGATGCCATCTATGAACTTCATAATGTTCACCTAATAATATAAACCCTCCTCCTATTGTATTGTCTCTTACATCATATGCTTTCAAATATGGACCTAATTCCTCTTTTGTTGCAGCACAGTTTTTATGTGTTATCACATTCAAATCCTCATCAAATATTATTGCTTTTGCCCACTAATTTATATCTTATATTTTATACTTCATCTTATTTCTTTAATTCTCCTTATAATAATGCTGGCTCTAAACCTTAATCCATTAAATATTTTTCAAATTAAAATATATTTAAATATTTTAATATCTTTCCCAACCATAAATTATATTATCTATATCATATTTTAAATAATATTATTAAAATATATAATATATTCTTTTTCTAATTATTTTTACATTAATATTTATTTTATTTAAATATTTTTAATATTAAATCCATCTATTCTACTCTTAACTTCAAGAACTTAATAAACTTGCATTTCACTCTTCTAAACTTAAAGAATTTTATCAATCCCATTAAATTTTCGATCTATTACAACTTCTAAATCATACCTAACTAAATATAAGATTAATTAAACAAAATTGTTTCTTATCTTGATTTTCTCTTCTCAGATCCCGATATCTATAAAGAATTATTATTAAAATAAAATTCATTTGAATTTGTACAAACTTTGCTTTTACATTAAAATAAAAAAGTAAGTTCATTAATTTTCTGAATGTATAGAATATAATAACTTTCAATTTGGATAATTAATCTCCAAATTAGTATAAGATAAATCTCCATTTCTTAATTTAATACATTAGGTTATTTTTTTTTAACTTTCTGATCCAGACATCAGAAGTTTATTTAAAGGCTTTGAGACTTACTTAAAAACTCTTTAAATTTATAGTGAACTTTTTTTACTTACATCACCTATGGATTAAATAATAAGAATGAAGTAATCTAACGAAGATTTGTTGAAATATTAATTTATTTAACTAATTTAGATTAGACTATCTAATCACCTTACATAAACATTTTAAAATTAGTATTTAAACTTTACAATACTTATAGGGAGTTCAAAATGGAATTGATAATTTAATAGTATATTAATCCTTTTTTAAAATATTCATCATTCTGCATTTAAGAATAATGATGGCTTTATACATAAAAATATGAAGTTTTATATGTAGCTAATATGCTAAGTTTAAGATGGTTATCAACCAATTCAAGTGAATAATTTGAAGGAGCTTTAGAAATTATTTCAAGTTTTGTTTCTTTTACTGAAGGATTCAATTTTATTATACTTAAATTTAGATCATATATATTAATCATTTTTATATCAATTAATATATCAAATATTAAATTGAATTAAACAAAAAAAACTAAATTAACTTATTAAAAATACTAACCTTTAGTTTTATTTTGTAAATTTTTCTATTTTATTTTTTAGTCTAATATTTGTATCCGACAAAAGAATTGATTAAAATAAAAGCACTTCATTATTATGTCAGCTTCTTTGTAACAGATTAAACAACACCTCAACCTCCAAAAAAATTTTTTGGCTATATTCATTATTAGGAAATGTTTCTAAAATATTAAGTTAATTTTATTCAAATGATTAAATTAGCTAAGCTATAGTATTTCTTAATAAATAATTAAACACAACTTTTGGTGAAATTCAAAAAACTATGTTAGAATTAACAATACTTTATTTCATTTTTTTAATCTATAAGAATGGGATGAAATCTTTACAAACACTATTGCAAATTAAAAATTATTATTATTATGATGATAATATTTTAGTATAACGATAATTTAAAAAACAAATTTTAGTGGAAAAATCATTATTTTTATTAATTCTAAATTAATTCAGAATAAATAAAACTAATAAATTATTAAATAATAATATTTTTAAGTTCTATTATTAATTAATTATATACTATTAAATTCATAAAACTATGGTATTATTCAAGATATTCCTGCTAAGGAAACCTAATAGAAATTAAATATAAAATAAAAAAAGCATACAATATTTAAAAATATACAAATTCAATTCTTTAATTTCTTTTTTTAATCAAGAAATAATGGTTCAAATCAATTTAATAAATGTTACTATCTTAAATAAAATCAATATTAAAGAATCGTTTTTCAAACTTTAATAATATTAAAAAATAATAATGCATCAGAAGACACACTAAAATTTTTATTAAAAGTATGATACATTTTAAAGTGAGAGATTATAAAGAATAATATATCATACGAATTTTTTAAATAGATTCATATTAGAGGGATTATAGGAAATTATCACAAACTCATAATATCATAATAATAATAAATTTGTATTAAAGAATTTATATAACTTAGGTAATCTGATGGTAATTTTGGAATGGCTTTAATTAGATTAATTTAAATTAAAAGGATCTGTAAATAAATAAGCAGAATTCTTTTAGAAAAAAATATATATTTAATTTATAAAATGAATATAATTGAGTTTGAAATTGTTTTGGTTATTTATTATTATCAAATGACGTAAGTTTGAAATGAGAATGTATTATTAAATGATGTAAGTGAGTAGGTTGATATTAGTAATTGAATGAATTTGAATAAGGAAGAGATAAGTAAGTATGATTTTGAATAATAATTCTTAGATGAACACAATTGATTAGAGAATCTTTTAATATGGAGATATAAATAATTGATTTTATATTAATATCTGTGTTTAATGCATCATTTTATGAGATTTTCTAAAATAAGCAAAGCCTTTAAAGATGTGCCATCAGAGTATGTTTATTAGATAAATGCAATAAAAAACTTTGAGCCAATAAAATAATTTAGAGTAATAGATTTGGAAGGTAATCTTATTGCTAAGGAATACAATAATATTCCAAAAGAGACATTAAATTAAATATTTGATTTAATGATAAGTGTAAGAATGTTGGTTTAATAGTTATTAGATAGAAGAGATGGATAATCTTCTTTATATGTCTTAGAGATAAGGGAAAATTTCATTTTATATGACATCTTTTGGTGAGACAGCAACAACAGTAGGGACAACAGCTGCATTATAATCTTAAGATTTTATATTTCCATAATATAGAGAATAAGGTAGTTTTATGTGGAGAGGATTTACAATTGAATAAATAGTGAATTAATGTATAGGAAATCATTTAGATGGTGGAAAAGGTAGATAAATGCCAGTTCATTATGGAAGCAAGGATTTAAATATAGTGACAGTATCATCACCTTTAAGTAAATTAATATTAAATGACATATTATAGCTACTTAAGTACCATAAGCAAGTGGAGCAGGATATGGATTTAGAGTAAATGGTGAAAATAAGATAGCAGCTACTTGGTTTGGTGAAGGAGCAGCTTCTGAAGGAGATTTTCATTCTGCAATGAATTTTGCATAAACTTTAAAATGCTAAACTCTATTTTTATGCAGAAATAATCATTATGCTATTAGTACTCCTACAGATGATCAATTTAGAGGTGATACTATTGCTGGAAAAGCTCCTGCTTATGGAATGAGAACATTAAAAATTGATGGTAATGATTTATTAGCTGTTTATAATGGAGTCAAATATGCAAGAGAATAAATTATTAAAAATAAAGAACCATTCTTTATTGAATTTATTACTTATAGAGTATATTTTAATTGTATCAATAGATTGGAGATCATTCAACATCTGATCATTCTGTTTTATATAGATCTTAAGAAGAAATTGATTCTTGGAAATCTGGAAATAATCCAATCAATAGATTAGGTTTATTCTTAAAAAAATAAGGACTTAGATAATTTAATGATGAGCATGATAATCAAATTAGAAAAGATGTTAGAAATAGAGTTATTGCTGCATTAAAAAATGGATCAGAATGTATTTAAATTATTCATTACATAGAATAATAACCATCCATTCAAGATTTATTCACTGATGTTTATGATGAAGTATTACCACATCTATCAGAATAATATGCTTAATTAAGAGATCATTTAACTAAATATAAAGATTAATATCCAATCAATAAATTCAAAGGTGGANTTTGAGCCAATAAAATAATTTAGAGTAATAGATTTGGAAGGTAATCTTGTTGCTAAGGAATATAATAATATTCCAAAAGAGACATTAAATTAAATATTTGATTTAATGATAAGTGTAAGAATGTTAGTTTAATGATTGTTAGATAGAAGAGATGGATAATCTTCTTTATATGTCTTAGAGATAAGGGAAAATATCATTTTATATGACATCTTTTGGTGAGACAGCAACAACAGTAGGGACAACAGCTGCATTATAATCTTAAGATTTTATATTTCCATAATATAGAGAATAAGGTAGTTTTATGTGGAGAGGATTTACAATTGAATAAATAGTGAATTAATGTATAGGAAATCATTTAGATGGTGGAAAAGGTAGATAAATGCCAGTTCATTATGGAAGCAAAGATTTAAATATAGTGACAGTATCATCACCTTTAAGTAATATAATATTAAATGAAATATTATAGCTACTTAAGTACCATAAGCAAGTGGTGCAGGATATGGATTTAGAGTAAATGGTGAAAATAAGATAGCAGCTACTTGGTTTGGTGAAGGAGCAGCTTCTGAAGGAGATTTTCATTCTGCAATGAATTTTGCATAAACTTTAAAATGCTAAACTCTATTTTTATGCAGAAATAATCATTATGCTATTAGTACTCCTACAGATGATCAATTTAGAGGTGATACTATTGCTGGAAAAGCTCCTGCTTATGGAATGAGAACATTAAAAATTGATGGTAATGATTTATTAGCTGTTTATAATGGAGTCAAATATGCAAGAGAATAAATTATTAAAAATAAAGAACCATTCTTTATTGAATTTATTACTTATAGAGTATATTTTAATTGTATCAATAGATTGGAGATCATTCAACATCTGATCATTCTGTTTTATATAGATCTTAAGAAGAAATTGATTCTTGGAAATCTGGAAATAATCCAATCAATAGATTAGGTTTATTCTTAAAAAAATAAGGACTTAGATAATTTAATGATGAGCATGATAATCAAATTAGAAAAGATGTTAGAAATAGAGTTATTGCTGCATTAAAAAATGGATCAGAATGTATTTAAATTATTCATTACATAGAATAATAACCATCCATTCAAGATTTATTCACTGATGTTTATGATGAAGTATTACCACATCTATCAGAATAATATGCTTAATTAAGAGATCATTTAACTAAATATAAAGATTAATATCCAATCAATAAATTCAAAGGTGGANATGCATCACTTTATGAGATTTTCTAAAATAAGCAAAGCCTTTAAAGATGTGCCATCAGAGTATGTTTATTAGATAAAAGCAATAAAAAACTTTGAGCCAATAAAATAATTTAGAGTAATAGATTTGGAAGGTAATCTTGTTGCTAAGGAATATAATAATATTCCAAAAGAGACATTAAATTAAATATTTGATTTAATGATAAGTGTAAGAATGTTAGTTTAATGATTGTTAGATAGAAGAGATGGATAATCTTCTTTATATGTCTTAGAGATAAGGGAAAATATCATTTTATATGACATCTTTTGGTGAGACAGCAACAACAGTAGGGACAACAGCTGCATTATAATCTTAAGATTTTATATTTCCATAATATAGAGAATAAGGTAGTTTTATGTGGAGAGGATTTACAATTGAATAAATAGTGAATTAATGTATAGGAAATCATTTAGATGGTGGAAAAGGTAGATAAATGCCAGTTCATTATGGAAGCAAAGATTTAAATATAGTGACAGTATCATCACCTTTAAGTAATATAATATTAAATGAAATATTATAGCTACTTAAGTACCATAAGCAAGTGGTGCAGGATATGGATTTAGAGTAAATGGTGAAAATAAGATAGCAGCTACTTGGTTTGGTGAAGGAGCAGCTTCTGAAGGAGATTTTCATTCTGCAATGAATTTTGCATAAACTTTAAAATGCTAAACTCTATTTTTATGCAGAAATAATCATTATGCTATTAGTACTCCTACAGATGATCAATTTAGAGGTGATACTATTGCTGGAAAAGCTCCTGCTTATGGAATGAGAACATTAAAAATTGATGGTAATGATTTATTAGCTGTTTATAATGGAGTCAAATATGCAAGAGAATAAATTATTAAAAATAAAGAACCATTCTTTATTGAATTTATTACTTATAGAGTATATTTTAATTGTATCAATAGATTGGAGATCATTCAACATCTGATCATTCTGTTTTATATAGATCTTAAGAAGAAATTGATTCTTGGAAATCTGGAAATAATCCAATCAATAGATTAGGTTTATTCTTAAAAAAATAAGGACTTAGATAATTTAATGATGAGCATGATAATCAAATTAGAAAAGATGTTAGAAATAGAGTTATTGCTGCATTAAAAAATGGATCAGAATGTATTTCATTATTCATTACATAGAATAATAACCATCCATTCAAGATATGTTCACTGATGTTTATGATGAAGTATTACCACATCTATCAGAATAATATACTTAATTAAGAGATCATTTAACTAAATATAAAGATTAATATCCAATCAATAAATTCAAAGGTGGATTATGAATATTTACATATATTATACATAATAAATAAGTTTACAAGTGATATTCATATTGTAAGATTTTTTATATTTAATTAATGTTTTTTAATTGTATACATTGTTGACTCTCCATTTTGCTGTCTTAGTTCTCTAATGTATTTCTCAAATTTGTTCAAATAATTATAGATATTGCTAATTTTAAATTATTAGAAAGTTCAATCTTTATTAACGGAGAATTTAATTTTTACTATATTCACAAATTCTAAGAACTATAATTTTTTTTGAATATATCTAATAATAAATAATTAAAAATATCTTTATTCATATTACTATATGTATATATATATAAATAAATAAGTTCAATCAAAGTAATAATGAATTCTCTATTTATTTTTATCAACTACAAAATATATTAGTATCATAAAGACTTTTATCAAATATACAATTAAAAATATTTAATAAAAGAATAGGATGACCATTGGCTTATATTTACTGAGTATATATTAATGAAATTCCAACAATTAGCATTAGAATTTATATTTCTTAAAGTCTAGTACTATGAATATTGGTAAAAAGATTAATGATATGATTATCATTGAAATTACATAAAAGTATCTTTAACAGTTTGTTAGATTCTTCTATGTACATCTATTTGGATTTTATTAAAAAATTTCTATATTTGAATCACAATTTTTGCACAACTGTGAAAAACAAATTTGACAAAACAATCTTGAATTCTCATTTTAAATACTGATTATTTAATTAGAATCACATTTGTAGCATTTTTTGAAACAATCTCCATTCATGAATTATTAACATTATTAGCATTTATCTGAGTTATTTTATTGTTATTTTTTTAGTTGTTTTAGTTAAAATATTGAGATTTGAAGATCGTTGTGGCTTTATAGAATATACAAAATATCGCAATTAGAACATCTGAAATAGGTTTTAGCATCTGAAATAAATTTAAGTTATAGATGCATTTCATCTATTAAAATCCTATGGATCTCATTACTCTTACTAATTTTAGTAATTAAAACATAATCTTTGCTATTATATTCAATCACATCTGAATCTAACAAAGGATTTTCCATTAAATTTAAATATTTAATTAATGATTTACATAATAATATTATTATTCGTTTTAAATAATATTATAAATATTTGGTACAATAATTATTATATTGATGCATTATGAATAATATGCATTATTGATAATGAATAAAATTATGAAATTCCATTAAAATAAATAGAATCTTGATAGTAATGTTTTAAAAATGAATTACAGTTGATTTTAAGTTGAGAGATGATGATATTGATTAATTAGATGTAATATTTAAATACAAACTAAGAAATTTAATTAGTGAATATTTTATGGAATTAAAAAATAGTCCATTAAAATAAAATTATATTGCATGCAATAATAATAGGTGGTGTTGAATTTTGATTATCTGAGACCAGACTAAAATTTGGTTAATACTATAGTTCATGATGGTATAATGAATGTAGAGTTATGAAAGCATAATATATTAAAAGAAAGGAGAGATCTAAGAGTCAAAGGAAAATTTGGGAGAATGTGCCATATGATGCATACGAAAAAGAAAAGATGGGAGATTTCATGAAAATAGTGACTAAAAATAAGATTGTCTTACCATAAAAGTAATAAATTAGAATGATTTTGTTAGTTGGACAGAGAGTGATACTTTGAAGATGGTTTATTGTGGTAAATTTAAAGATAAGAATTACTTAAAAGTATTATAATCACATTTGGCTTGGAGAGCCATACCAAATAATTTCTAACCTACTGATATAAATATAGCATTTTTATAGAAAGGAATAGTTTATACATACGGTAGAGATAAACAATTAAGACCTGTCATAATTATGAATCTTGAATTAGTTAATCTAAAATAAGTAGGAAATCTAATTTATTAATTCAATAGTTCAGTGAAGAAGTCTATATTAATGCTTTAAGTTATTATTTTGGTATAATAAGAAAATATTGTTTTGTTCCTGGAAAAATAGAGAATTGGGTTTTCATAATGGATACAAAGAAACTTGGACTTTCTAAGTTTCCTTTCAAAGTATAAATATTTATATATACTTATTAGGCAATTCAAATAGCCACAAAAACTATGTAGGTTAATTTCTGTGGTTGTTTAGATAAATTATATTTATTAAATCCATCTAGTTCTTTAAGTTTTTCTTGGAAGATGGTTTCTGGTATAAAATTTGGAATTAACTTATTATAGCTGTGGCTGACGCAGATACAATGGAAAAAGTTTAAATGCTTAAACCAAATGAATATACTAAAATATAAGATAGAATTGCAGCTAATTAATTAGAAGAATAATTTGGAGGTACTTCTCCAAATCTTACAAAATTTTGGTTACTTTTTAATTGCATATAATTAGGCCACCTATAAATATTGAAATTCCAGGAGGATATACAGAGGAAATCTTAAAAGCTGTAGAATCAATGAAAACTGCAGATATTGTGATTCAAAAGGAAGTACCTGCATCAGAAGAAGATGAAATGAAATTATAAGAATAGATATCTAAGATGCAAATAAAAAAAGATGACGACGATGATGATTGATAGAGTATTTTAATGAATTATACATTCCATAAATTTAATATTAATATGAGTTTCTTTAGGTCCAAAAAGATGAAATATTATAGTTTAGTAATACCTAGAGAGAGTGCTTGGATAGTTATGGATCAATTAGGAAGATTAGGATAATTACATATTATAGATTACGATCCTTTATTACCAATGATGAATAGGCCATTTGCAAATTATGTAAAAAGGTATTCAAAATCTTTATTATTATAGATGCGATGAAGCATTGTTTAAATTAAATGGACTTAACACACTCCTCAAACAATTTAAAAAAAATCTAATATATTGTGAAAATACATAAAATTTACTTGATAAATTCAGAGATATCTAAAATCTAAGGTAAAAACCAGGACATACTTATTTTGATGAAATTGAATCAGAAATAGAGAAAAAAAAAATTAATATTTAGGAAATGTCAAATAATTTGTAGAATTTATTAGATAGAGTGGATTCAATTACAGAATAAAAATTAGTATTAGAAAAATCTAAATAAATTTTAGGAAATTCAATGTTTTCTTAGTAAATTGACATTTATAATTTAGATCAATTCCCCATAATGTGAATGATTACTAATAATTAAAATTTGGACAATTAATTGGAGTAATTGATAAAGAGGATGAAAATAGATTTAAAAGAATAATGTTTAGAATAACGAAGGGTAATGCATGGGTAAATATTGTGGATCTTTTACCTGAAAAATAACACCATTAAATAAAAAATTAAATAGATCTAAATAGAGTAAAAGTTGTTTTTTAAACAAGGCATCATAACCTAGATGTTTATATGTTGTTGTTTATCCTGGAATGAATGATTAGAGCACTTTGAAATAGAAATTATTAAAAGTTTGTGATTCTTTTTCTAAAAACAGAATAGAATATCCTAATTCTGAAGCAGCTATGGAAAATAGATTAAAAGATCTTAACAATTAGATTAATGAAACTTAAAGTTTAATTTAAATGACCAAGAAGTAATTGGAAATATCTTTAGATGAATTAGTTAGAGTTAGGGATGGATGTAATTGTTCTTATTTTGAATAATTAAGATTATATGTATAAAAAGAGAAATATCTTTACATTAATTTAAATTACTTAACAATGTAAGGTTCAATTTTTACTGGATATTTCTGGTTACCAGAAGGATTAGAAGTATTAGTTGAAGATAAATTAAGATAAGCAATGTAAAATAATATTGATAGATTTCCTACTGGATAAATTTAAGAAATTAAACCAAAACCAGGTGATTTAGCTCCCACTTACTTTAATTTAAATGAAGTTACTATACCTTTTTAAGAAATTGTTAATACATATGGAATACCAAGATATTAAGAAGTTAATCCAGGTATATTCACAGTAATAACATTTCCATTTTTATTTGGTGTAATGTTTGCAGATATAGCTCATGGTTTTTTATTATTTTTAGCTGGATTATATGTGATATTCTGGAAAAAATAATTAAACAAATAAACAGATTCAATGTTTAATGCTATGATTCCATTTAGATACATATTGACTCTTATGGGATTTTTTGCCTTTTATAATGGTTTAATCTATAATGATTATCTCTCTATATCACTAAATCTTTTTGGCAGTTGTTATTCTTCTAAAAATGAAGAGTGGGAAAGAAAAGAGAATTGTGTTTATCCATTTGGTATTGATCCAGTTTGGCTAGCATCAAAATCTAGTCTAAATTTCATGAATTCCTATAAAATGAAATTATCTGTAATATTAGGAGTAACTCATATGTTGTTTGGTATTTTATTAAAAGGAGTCAATACTTTATATTTCAGAAACTATTTAGATTTCTTTTGTGAATTTATACCTTAATTACTTTTTATGGCTTCAACATTTGGTTGGATGGATTTTATAATCATTTATAAATGGTTAAATGTTTATCCAGACAAATAAGATCCAAGTATCATAGAGACGATGATAAATCAAGTTTTAAAACCAATGGATAAAGCTTTAACACCAGTATTTCCAAATGATGCAAGTCTATAATTATCAATAACATAGATTTTAACTGTAATTGCAGTATTAAGTATACCTTGGATGTTACTTCCAAAACCTTTATTATTAAGATCAAGTTAAAAGAAACACAAAGTTTCATTTAGTGAACCTTAATATCAAAAATTAGTTTAAGAGAGACAAGGATCTGAATTGGAGATTGATCCCTAATAATTTAGAAAAGATTTATAGAGCGCAGCTTCTGGAAAGAGTTTTGAATAATCTGAAGTGGAACATGAATCAGGAGAAATATGGGTTCATTAGATGATTGAAACAATAGAATTTGTATTAGGAGGTATTAGTAATACTGCATCATATTTACGTTTATGGGCATTATCTTTAGCTCATGGATAATTAGCTGAAGTGTTTTATGATATGTGTATTGCAGGTAAATTAGATATGGGTGGAATTGTAGGTGGATTAATGGGTGGATACTTTTATATAGTATTTGCATTGTTAACTTTTGGTGTATTGATGATGATGGATGTAATGGAATGTTTTTTACATGCATTAAGATTACATTGGTATTAATTCAACTCATTTTTAAAGGGTTGAATTTTAGAGCAAGTTCTATAAAGCTGATGGGTATCTATTCGTTGGATTTTCCTATAATAAAATGCTTTCTGACCATCTTAAATTATGATATAAAATAGGAAATGATATGTAATTATATTATATATGTTTTAATAATAAAATAATGAATATTTATTAGTACAACAATGCTTTATTTACAGTTTAGGTCATAAGGAAACATTTCTTCTCTGATAAGATTTATTAACTTTACTTATTTCAAGATGAAATTGTAATGACAGATGTATGCTCCATTTGTAATATAGAATACAATACAATAACCTAAATACGTAATTAAATTAAATTTGACTACAACAATCAATTGGATTGTTTAAGACAACAAGATATAAGCATTCTCGATTACTTATTAAAATACTGTCAAACCTTTTTATGCTCCAAAATTGCAACTTCTGAAAGAAATGATTGCCGGAAGAGTATTTTATACTTCAATTAATGAATTTTATTAAATTTAAATGCTTGTTGGTAATGGAATGTCAGGAGAAGTATATAATTATATTTAATAATTTAGGTTTACAGATGTATTTCTAATACTGGAGAATATTTTGCTGTTAAAAAATGTGAAAAACTGAAATTAGCATAACATGAAGGAGGAATTGTAAATATAACTTCAATTACTATAGCCTTAATTAATTCATGAACTCTCTTTACTGTAATCTCTCTAACATCCTAACATATTGAAACTCAAAGAAGTCTATACTGATTAATTATATTATTACATAGTTACAGAATTTATAGAAGGTAGAACTTTGAGTACAGAATTATTATCTAGACCATATGGATTAAGTATTGCCGAAACTATTAAGATTATGATCTAAATTCTCGATGCTCTCATTTACATTTCTGATAGAGGAATTATGCATAGAGATATTAATCCTCATAATATTATGAAAACAGACTCTGTTAAATTAATTGATTTTGGCTTAGCTAGAAAAATTAAAAATCAATTAATTTTTCCAACTTCTGGTACTCCAGGATATATTGCTCCTGAAATTATTAATTTTAATAAAGACAATTCATATGATGATCGAGCTGATATTTACAGTTTAGGTTGCGTTCTATACAAATTGTAAGTTTCACTCTTTATAATTAGATTAACTGGAGAAAATCTTTTTCATAAATCTAAGAATATCTTCTAAGAAAATAAAGAGGGCATCTATGAATTAAGAAAAAATCAACAAAATCCTGAAATTAATTCTATCAAAATGGAATAACTATTTATCCTATTACCTTATATGTTAGAAAATGATCCCAATAACAGATTGACAGCTAAAGTATGTAAAATTGTTATCTAAGAAATTGATAATAACAACTCATAAATTGAAAAATTGATCAAAAAATTAGTTATTTTCAAAGTTTTTTAACTTAGTACAGAAGAAACGCATAATGAAAATAAAACTCCATATTCTATGTCTTCTCGTAGTCATAAAAAAAAACCATCTATGGAATTTCTTAAAAAATCTGATGACAATTCTATCAGAGGACATAAAAAATAATAATAAACTTTGGGTAATCTAAACTCAAGTTTCTATACTAAAAAATGAATTATATTCATAGTTATATTTAGACATTTTCTATTATCAAAGCATTGCTTTTCCATATTATTATTTTATACATTCTATTTAGAATGTATCAATTATTGTCTTAAATCTCATATAAACTGAATACATGCAAGTCTCTTATATTACAAAAACCATTCTAAATTAACTTAGACTTTTGAATAAATAAGATTAACAAAATTAAATCCTTCTTAAATAGACTTTATTTTAATAATAATTAAACAAAAAAGATTTATTTAAAATACTTTCATATACTAAAAAAGGTTAAGTAGGGGAAATAATTAAAAATAAATAGAACTTCCTGTCAAAATTATTTCAAAATAACAACTAAAAGGAAAATAAAAATTTGAAAAGTTTTCCTTCCAATTTGAGTTAGAATAAAATTACTCTAAATAATTTAAAGAAAGATTGTAATCTAAAAGTATCTCAAAAATATAAATCTTAATTTAATTTATCAAGCCAAAGAGACTCCTATAAAAAATTATTAAATTTTTTAGATAATTCTTGATTATTAGCTTTATCTCAAGTATTTATAGTAAAACTTTTGCCAAATGGAAAAGAATATCATAGGATTTTTCATTTAGGTTTGAAGCCATTAAATATTCTTATGATAGAGAATACACATTAAAATAACTGATTTTGATCAATATAAATAATTAAAATTAGACTTAAGATAGAGTTGATACTCAAAAAGTTAAATTCAAGCGCATTACTTAAGAAATGGCAGCCTAGTATGATATTAGATATGAAATTTGAAAAATATGTTTTCACGAACGATTGGTTATAGAAAAAATACCAGAATTATAAAAAAATGATGTTTATACAATCAAAGAATTAATTTCATTGAAATTAGTTAATGGAAAGCATCTTTATATAGGATTTCAAAAAAAGCGTAGGTCAAATGATTTCAGATTAATAAAAAAGAATTCCAAATATTACATTTATAAAACTAATTGATAGAATTAATAAAGAAATGCTATAGTAAAATTACTTTATCTATCCATTTTTTATTTATTATTTAAATCATTCAGTAATAAAATAAATTCAATTCAAAATGCTAATTTTTCAAGTAGATTCTCTACTTTCTCTCCTAAGGATTCATGAAAATCTGAATTACTATATTCATCGACTTCTGAAAATTAAAAATATTGACCTTCATTTGTTATAGAATTATCTAATTCATAAACTATTGTGCTCTATTCAATTGATTGTTTTTCTTAAAATTTTTTTTCAATTTAGGATTTCTTTGGTAATTTTGATTAAATAATTGTTTTTTGTTTTAGTTACTTTAAGGCTTCTTAATATACTAATTATTCTGTTAATCGTTTATTTACTCCTGTTTTAGAAATGTTTAAAAAAGAATCTAATTCTAATTATACTTTGAAAACATTAATCAAATTTTCATCTTTTTTCCATTCAACAGATATTTTAGGAATCAAATCTGTATAATTATTAATGAATTCTAGAAATGATGATTTTGCATTCTATTTTAATTCTGCTATAGGAATATTTTAACCTCTAATTTATAATTTAAATGAATACTTGTCTAAAAGTTCTTTTATAATAGATTAAGAAATTTCTCTAACATGTTCTAAATCATATTAAGAGTCATGATACTGAGCTGCTAACAAAGCTTTAAGTGTTTCTGCAAGAATTTTCGGATTTTTTCTAATTCATACATGAATTAAGCATACTTTAAAACTGTTTGATTGCCTATTTGAACTATATTGTGTATATTATATTGAATTGCTATTTCTGCTAAATTTTTATCGTTTAATAGCTTTTGCCTTAGCAATACAAGATCACTAGGCTTTTTAATTGATGAGTCTTTATTGGGATATCTATATATTTTCTTATATATACCCTCTTTAAATTAGATAATCTGAAAAATAAAATTCCAAAATCATTTATCCGATTACAATGAAATCTTCATTGTTTCCATATGGATATTTTATTCCTTTTTTTGATTAAAATTCTAATTCATGAATCTTATTAGTTAAAGCTTGTGCTAAAATATTAGTATTTTAAAATCTAAAGATTCTATTATTCATAATGATGATTAAATAATATATTGTTAGTTCATTAACAAATCAGTGATTCTTGAATAGTTATTTTCCATGCTAAAAATTCTAAATATCAATCTTTTGATAATTGTTTCTTATTCATTTAAAATTCACTTTAATTTTACAATCAATCATTAAATGACATCTTCAGATGACTTTAAATGAACTTTAAAATACCAATATTGAAATTCATTAGACTTTGTTTTAATTAAGTGAACAATTATGAACTTGTTAAATTTTATTAGTATTGTTTTTTACTTATTAAGTTGGTTATATGATTTGGAGGTGATATCTGTTAGAAATGGAAGCAAGTTTCAATTTAATTAATATGCTTATTTTTAAAATATCATCTTAAGAAATAATATGAAAATTTGTACAATGACAATTTAATATAAAAATATAAATATTTATCGTGATAGAAAAATAATTAAGTGAAAAATCTCATTTATGATGATGAAAATTATCATTCATCATCTATAATTAAAGAAATCAATTCTTCAAGTTGTTCATGTTGAATTTCTTTCCATTATTTTATTTACTTTTTTCTATCTTTAGTGATCTCTATTCCATAATATTCTTTTAAATCCATTATTACCTCTAAGGCTTAATAACAATTCTAATAATCAAAAAATGTGTGTCTCTCTTTACAAATTTCAAAAATGATTTCATTCAAAGCAGTTATTTCAGTTTTGAAAATTTATGACTAAATTAATTCTGATAGTATTTTCAAACAAATATCAATTAATCTTTTCTATTTAGTACTTCTAAGCAATTAAATTATATCATCATAAAACAAATATGCAAAAGATTAAAGAGTTTCGTTATTTTTAATAGCCAAATGATAAATAAAATCCAATCCAGCTTAACAAGAATAACTATCTTCTTAAGCAAGAGCAGATTTAATTACTGAATCTAAGTTTAGATTATCCAAACATGAAATAATGATTCTAGGATCAGATCTCATAAATAATTCATCAATTAATCTTAATATTTAACAAGTTTATTTGTCATCCTATAATTCAGTACATTTTAATAAGTATTACAATTTTTCATCATCAAACAATTCTAATAATCCTTCACAAAACTCACTAGCCTTTCTTAAAACTAATGCTGCTAAACTTAATCTAGCATCCATTAAATCGATTACTTTAATACAAATATCAATTATTTATGACTATTTGATTAATTAACAACAACCACAATCATTAATTTTATCAAATAATCCAAATAATAATCTAAATACAGCATTTATATGTTCAAGTTATTCTTATTATAAATTAGATAATGACTTTTACGTTTCTCCAAGTATGTTTTATTCAAATAATTATTTTTTAATAGATCTAGCTATTTTTGAATCAGTATATAATACATTAGCCAAACCTAAATAACATCTATACCTAATATCTTCATCACCATTTAACTAGAGCTTTTGCATAAAGTACAAATGAATTTAATAGTCATTAATTAAAGTATAAATTGTTTAATCTGACTCCGAAGCACAAGTATTAGCTAATATTACAAGAGCCATTTTATCATTTGATTCTAAAAGTTCTTTCATTAAGGTTTTGTCTAATATAAGTTTATTTGATTATCTTTCAATATTGTGTATTAATTCTTAATGAATAGCCCAATATTTAGTTGGTTAATCTTTGTTATCAATAACTCTTTTTGATCGAAATATATTTTCCAGTTGATCTCTTCTTATTTAAACTCTTAATTAGTCTCTCTTTGCTTTCAATAAAGCATTCGAAGCCAACATAATAGTGTATAAATTAATTAATATAAATAACTAAATTATTAGTAATGATAATGTTTAATGTATTATTGAAATTTTAAATATCGAAATTTCACTGTATAAATGTTTTACTAAAAGAATTTTTAAGTGTCATTGTCATAGTATAAAAATAAATAAAAATCTTGTGATGTTTAATTTTTTGAATTGATCATGTTATTTTATGAAGGTAATTGTAAATAAACAATTGAGTTTTGGTGTACTACTTTATAAAATAATAATTAATAATAATGTCAGAGAATAACAAAAAATCAGTTATTATTGTGAAATAGAACTAAAAAGAAGAAGAGGATGATGAATCTGAATCAGAATCTGAGTCATCTCATTGTTTCATGAATTTTGTGAATTCTTATTCAAGGTTCATTAATGAATAAAGTGACACTTGCTTGGAGATGGGATAAGTCTTAAATGAATTAAATGAATCAATATCAAACTCCAAGCCTCCTTAAGGAAAAGTAGAAGAGTTATATTAGATCTTAGAAATAACTCCTTAACAGATTAATGAACTTGCTTAGCAACTCAAACAACTTCCAGATTCAAAAATATATTAGTGTATCTAAAATATTGAGAAGTATGTATAATTTGTAATAAAATAGATTAAATTTGAGGTTATAATTAGATTTGAATGTTGAGATGGAGAAGGCCAAAGCAAATGGATTGATCTGATCAATTTTGGTTATTTTTAATAATGCATTATAAAAAAACATCTAATGGAGATTAATTTACATTTCTAAATAATCGGGTTAATGAATTAATGACTTAAGTGGAAAATCTAGAGTAGATTATACAATAATAAAAGAAAGAAATAAGTTATTTGGTGAAGACTCCATTAAATGATGAAAATAATTATCTAAAGGAAAAAATTAAACTCTTAGAAAAAGAGAATGCAACATAAGTAGATTATTATGAAGAGATTATACTCTAAAATTAAATACGAAATCAAGAATATGCAACCAAAATAAAAGAAGACCAAAAAACATTCTAATTATAAATAAACTAATTAGAGATGAAAATCCAAATTATATTAGAACACAATGATTAACTTTAGGAATAAATTAACTAGAGAGATGCTATTAATTTAAAATAACAATTTTAGGAACTGATGAAAGATCATAATTAAATTTAGTAAAATTTTGAAAATTTAAACAAGGAAATTCATCAGCTTAAATAAGAGAAAGAAATATAAGATTCTGAGTTGTGGCAATTAAAAAATTAGAATGCATAATTAAAAACTTAATTTATTTATCAATAAGAATAATCTAATTAAAAAGATCTAGAATGCAGTTAATTAGTAAATGAACTGAGTTACTTATAAAATTAATTGCATACATAGATATAATAAAATAAAGATTTGAAAAAATATAATGATGATAAAAGTATCATGATTGAATAATTGACGAAATAGCTTATGGAATTAAATTAGTTTTTAATCGATCATAAATTGATATCCTAATAACATTGAGTTTATATATTATAATATTGATTTTAAAACTATAGCTTTTATAATTGGTAATATATAATAAGAAATAAAATTCATTCGTTTTTTTACAATTATTTTTAATGAGTCCAAAAAATAATATTCCTGTGCTTAATTTAACTTAGATAATAGTGGGGATTGTGGCCTTCTCACAAGGTGTATAACATTTGGCTGATTTGTCAATTTAATATTTATATAAAGATGATTTTCATGTATCACCTAGTAAAATGGGAGTATTTGTTGGACTATCCCAATTACCATGGTATATTGAATAATTTATTAATAGGATAATAAAACCTATTTGGGGAATAATTTGTGATTCATTTCCAATATTAGGATCTAGGAGAAAAGCCTATATTGTGTTTTGCGGATTTTTAAGTTTTATAGGGTGGTAATTAATGGCATATATTGGTGTTGATAATGTTTATGTAGCTGTAGCTTTATTGATTATGATATCATCATCAGTCTGTATTTGCAATGTCGTTGGAGGTATTAATAATTTTAATTAAAGAGGCCTTAATGGTTGAATAATGTGCAAATGATCATGCAGCAAATAATGTTTCAGTATTCTTTGGATTCAAAGCTACAGGAGGATTAATTAGTGCATATTTTTCAGGAATGCTACTTATGTATTTAACCAAAAAATAAAGTAATACTTTTATAAATCATTAATAGTATTTCTAATAAATAGCTTATTCCCATTAACTATGGCATTACTATCTTTAAAGTTAAAAGAGACTTAATAAACAAGACCATCATAAAATATAAAGGAAGTTTTAAGTGTTTTTTGGACATTTTTTTCGAATCCTAAAATTTATTAGTAAATATTTATCCTAATTTAAGAGACCTGTATTGTTAATTTTAGCATTCATGATGGTACCTTCTAGTAGTTCAATCATGTTTTATTTTTATACTGAAGTTTTACATTTTACTCCTAGGTTCATGGGATATCTTAAATTTATTAGTTGTTTAGGAACTCTTCTTGCTATTCTATTATATAGGAATTTCTTAAAAGATGTTAATTTCAAAAAGATTTTTGTTACTACAACTATTGCATTCTTTTTTTGTTATCTCTCAACAATACCTTTAGTTACGAGAATGAATGTTTAATGGGGAATTGATGATCGATTTTTCTGTTTAGGTGATTCTGTTATATTATAATTTATTGGAGAATTAAATTTATTACCTATTTTAGTTTATGCATGCAAAATATGTCCTAAAAATATTGAAGCAACAATGTATGCTATGCTTATGGCTACTATGAACTTTGGAACATTTGCAGGTGGATAATTAGGTAATCTAATCTTATATGAAATGGGAATCAATTAATAAGATTATTCTAACCTCTATATTTTTATTGCATTATCTAGTATCTTCTTTATTTTACCTTTGCCATGGATTCATTTGATTAATGATAAAGCTATACAAAATCATTAAGAATAGGAACCTCCATAAATCTAAGATAATGAGGAGAAACAAAACTTAATTGCTTCAGTTGAATGAATTATAATATCAAAAATAATAATAATCAATATAATATTAATTAAAATTCTATATTTATATATAAACTTAAACATCAAAAATTTTCAAATACTTTTTTCTATTCAAAATCTTAATCTATATTTAAAAGCTTTATAGATTCAAATCGTTTCCCTGAATATAATTATTGGACATATTATTTTTTAATTACTCGTAATTTCATTACATTATATTAAATTATAATTAAATAAGATAAATTTTCTTTAAATACTAACATTATTTATAGTTTTAATATTCACTAAATTTTTATTTAAATGATAAAGATAGTTATTAGTGATGAAGCAATATGAATTTAAACTCTAAACATTAAAATATTTTGAATCTTAATAAAACTGTTTAAATTTAAATAAAATGAAAATTTAATATTTTACTCAAAAAAAATATATAATTTAAGAATTATACATAAACACCTAAAATTATCATCAAATAAATATAATAGTGATTTAAAAGGTTCATTAAATAGAATCCTAGTATTCAGTTAATTTGACCAAAAAACTGAAATCCCTGTTTTAAATTATTAATAAAACTTTATGTTTATTCCAAATTTATTCCTTGCTAAAAAACACCAAAAATATTCTCTCTAAAATATGTAACGGTAATTTTTCATTAAAGGATTAAAAATTAATTAAATGTTACTTAACAATCAATTCGAAAAATATTATCATGCCTGATTTTCTTTAATTTTATTAAGAGAATAATATATAAACATTTATTCAATCTTAAAAATCCTGCAAAATTTTAACAATGTATTTAAAAGAAATCACCAACTCAAAAAATACTCATAAATTTTTCTCAACTTTATTAAATCAATCCTTCAAATAGGATACTCTTGTTTTGAAGATAGCATGCTTATTATTGGAAATCTTTGAACAAAATTGATTGACCTTACTATGGTTTTGATATCTAACTAAATGAAATTCTAATTAAATTGAATAAAAGTGTTATCTAGATTCTAGGTAATTCATTATAAAAAAAATGCTTCACTTATAAAGTAATTTATTGCATAGTAAATTTTAAAGAGTGGATAATAAACAGATATTGAGTATGGATAACGATTAAATAGAATTTTTATTTGGACACGTAAATTAAGTTTTCCGAAGAATGAACCTTAATATCCAGTAAATTCAATCATTAGATTTCTAAAGATCAAAAACAGTAAAAATATGAATTTCTATTCATAGGAAATTTTTATACAATTATCTTCATGCAATCAATTAATGAAAGGTTGATGTAGAAAATTTTCATTTCATAAAGAATCATCAAATATAAAAACTTGTTCAGAGTTTTAAAAACTATATAACAATTTTTGGAACACTAAGTGAAGGTGAAAAAATTTGAATAACATAAAAAGAGGGAAAGAAATATCCACACACACAAATATTCCGAAATTTTAATGTTCGATATTTTTTATTTTTTTTTAAAGTTAATTATTCGAAATATTTTTATATATTATTTTAGCATTAATTAAATAATCCTTTTAATTAAATTCAATAAATTTTTTCGAAAATGTAGATAAAATGATGAAAATATTAGGATGTATGACACGAATAGTATAAATTGATTTTGAAAGATTTCAGTTTTGTAAAGTCCTACAATAAAAGAAAAAATAAAAAATATATACATATAATGTAGTTAAGATTGATAATTATAAAATTTTTTTCTTGATTTAATAAAAGTAAAATGACTTATAAATTTTTAATAAATTTGAAATATATATGGATGCATAAGATTTTTTTAAAATAATAAATCAAATTGAAGGTGGGTATTCAAAATCCCCAAATTCTGATGGGAGCTAATAAGTGCCAGGACCAGGAACTTAAGATTAAAAAATGAGATTACATTATTTATTTTTGATTTCTTATGTTTATCTTTCTTAATAGCCAAATCGAAATCCACTTCTGGTAGAATATTAAGATGGTAAATAATTTCTTGGATCACCAATATCTCCAGGAGGATCATAAGTTCCAGGGCCAGGAATCTTTTTAAGTCTTTGAGATTATGCTGTGGATGGTGAAATGACAGGAGCTCCACTACTTTTGTATTTACATATAAAATAATTTCCTTTTTAACTGAAACCACCTACATTGTATCTACCAGGAGCAGGAGTTGTAGATTCAAGATAAATATCTAATTAATAGAAAAATTAGTATACGTTTTGCTAATGTTCTCTCTCCCATTGAATATTTAAGTGTAGTGATTATATCTTTTACTTAATATAAATTTGGAGCAGGATTAGTATTAGGTCTTCCATGTAATCCCTTAGATAGCATTTCATCTCTTCCAAAAGCAAACTTAACTCCTGGCTTTGGTTATAATTTTATATTATAATCTGTAGGTCCTGGAATATATTTGTCTTTTTTTGTAAAATCTGATTTACTTCCAAAGCCTAATGCTGCTGATCTTTTATTTAATTATGTTTAAATTCTAGAATTAATTATACAATTTACTAAGAATCATAAAACTACATTGAACAATAACTTTCTTTTGGTTTTTGAAACCTTTAAGCTTTAGAAAAAGTATATTATTATTTTGCATGAGATCTATTTAGTTAATCATGTACTATTTTAGTATCAAATTACTCAGCTGTTCTAAGATGAAGTAATGAATTTGTATTTCTTTTATTATATATCTATTCAAGTGTTTTGAATGTTCTTTCTGTTGTTGTTTTTATTGGTTATTACTTTTCAGTTTCTAATCGTCTATTCTAATCTTTTCTCTAAGTTGCTGTTTCCATTTCACCTTATGTTGCTTTTCTTTTAGTTTCACCTTCATCATCTTATTTCTAACTATTTTATTCATTCAATTCTTGCATTTTCTATTCATCTTACTTATTCTTAGATTAATCAATATCAGCATTCTCATCTTATAGCTAATTTTATTATTTTATTTATTATTAATCTTCAGCCTCATTTTACTATTATAAATCTACTTAATTTTGACTATTTTCCATTTAATTTTACTGATTTTCCTCTAAATTAAGCAATTAATTCATTTTTTATTAATTATACTCTATTTATAAATATAAATTAATTCTCAAATATTGAATTACGAATCTAGATTTACTTATTTTTGTATATAAATATTTAATTAATCAATAGAAAACATTAATCCTATATTTTATTATTTATAAAATACATTTAAAATCACTATGTAATATGATTAATTAATCTTAATAATATGTAAATTTATTTTTCAAATATCATTGAAGATTTATGCTTCAGTTATTTAATTTAAATTATTGAAAGCTTATTCTTTTATTTCTTCCACAGAAATAGCTAAAATTTATTGCATTTTACCAGGATTTTCAAAGTTAAAGCTACCTAATTTTGCTGAATTCAAATTATCTTCATCTAACATTTTAATGGCTAATGAACTTATGTTTCAAAATTCTAGAAGTTCTTAGCCTTTGAATACAATCAGCTATCATTTTTCTTGAGATTGTAATTTTATTTTATTAATAAATTTGATATATTCCCAAATTCAAATTCCACAGACTAACAATTGAGAAATTTAGTTTTTTTAGGGTGATAATTTTAATAATAATAAAATTATTAAATATTATTAGATATTAGGGAATCAAAATATGTGGTAAGTGATTACATAATTAGCTATCTTTAAATAAAATATTAACTTCTGGTTAAAATGTTTTAAGATTTCAACCTATAGGTAATAAATTTTCCTGATTGGGTGCTTTTATTCTTAGGAATTCGATATAATCATTCGAGTGATACCTTATTTTCTCAATAATTATAACCTAAAATTGATAAGGATTGATTAATCAAGTGATTGAATTGATTAATTCAATGATGCCATAATTTTCGCAACACTTAATTTTGGTAATAGTTTCTAAATTAAAGCAATCTGTGATTATTCAATATTTTTTTAATTGTTCAAATAATTTTTATAGTTCAGCTACAATAACTTCATATGTTATTTAATTTTTGTGTTCTTATCTTCTTTTTTCTTTATAATACTAATCAGATTTTCATGTCATAGTGAATTAATCTAGAGTAAAATATTTCGAGATCAAACTTTAGATCTTCACATTAACATTCTGATTATAATAGATGATTTTACTTTATTAATAATGTATGGAATTTAGTCTTATATTTTGATTGACCCTCTCAGTTTGATTCTGTCTGATACAATATTTCTTATGTTTTAAGAAGAATTACCTAATAAATATTATCAGTAAATTATATAATAAAAGTATAAAATTCTTAATCAAATTCCTAATTATTAACTCAGAATTGAATAATATAATTGAGAAATTTCATATCTGTTCCATAATTGATACAATTATTAAGCTGATTATGTTTATAATTCATAGAAAAGCTTAAAATTATTATACGCCTCACTCAAGACAGGAATTATCTCATTATTTTTAGGCAACATTTTAATAATAGCTTAACTTAGTATTTGATAGGTTTTATGTGTTCTTATTCATTTTTTTTAACTATCCCACAGTATACTTAGTCAATTATAAGATGAGTTCTGTGCCATATAATAAAATATTCTTTTTAATATTTTGAAATTTTTACGTTTCTTCACTAATTGATTGCAACCTCTATATGACTTCATTTCTAACAAAATCAACTTTATAAAATCTATCAGCAATATAATACAAATTATATTTTTCAAAAATGGCCTCAATCTCTCGTCCTCAATATTATGTCAAATATCAACAATATTGAAAAATTCAATATTTCAACAGTTAAAATATAAATTACATAGTTAAATTATTCCTTATAATATTATAAATATATGTCATAGATAGCATTATTCGTTTCTTTTTGAATATCTTGATACCCAAGCCTTTTCAGATGCTTTTGATCTGATTAGGCATGAATGAAACCATGTTATGTTATTTCTTAGAATATTTAATCAACCAATAATCTCAGAACTTGAACCCTAATTTATTATAGTAAATCAACTTCTCTGAACATTAGTCTGAAGCCTAACTTATTCAAATATAAGATTGATAATTTGTTTTAAATCTTCAAAAAAGGAGATTAAACTTAAAATACAGTAGGATTAGTGCCAACATAATTTATTAATACTAGAGCCAACAAATTTCTTCATCTCATATGAAACCTTGATTTCTAATTGGGTATTTTTGGGAATCACATGAAATATATTATACAATATATTAAATTCAACTATTATTACTAGCAATAATTTTAATTATTAAAACAATTAATTGACCACTGAATTTGTAGCAAAATGAATTTAATTTGCAATTGTTTTTATATGATGCATCTTTTAATAAAAAGTTTAAAATTCTCTTGACCTATAAATTTCAACAACTATAACATTACTATTCATTTTTATTTCTATTAATTGCTATTTAAATACACTTCTAACTAATTTTCGATATCCTAAAATACTTTATTTAGTATTATGTTAAGGCGCTAAATTTTGTTTTTTTAATTAATTCATCATTAATTATAATAAAATTTATTATTAATGATTTTTTAATCTCGAAAAAATTCAAATTACATCAGAAGTTTGTAGTAATCATTTAATCTATAATGTTTTATTAAAAATTATGACCAATCAAATCTTATGTATGTAATCATATCATGCTAAGACGATTAAAAAATATTGTTTTATAAAACAACGTTTTTGTCACATCAACAATGTTTATAAAATAAAATTTCCAGAAATTATATATATAATATCTGTTCTTCTAAATATAAAACCTATTGAAGAATATTAAGATGGTTGTTAAAGTGTATACTTCATCTATATGATTGTTAACTCTATATGAGATTATTAAAAGTTGTGATATAAATAAAATTCACATTTATAATGCAAAAAAAAACGCTGTTAAATAGATAGGTGATTCTAGAATGGTTTGAATAACCAGATGAAGCATTTGCAGACACTCTTCTAAAAGATTATTAATTCTCATTCTCAAATTTACCTGGCAAAGAAGAAATTTAATCAACTTTATGCTCAGTAGAAAAAGCTTATAATAGCAAAAGAGGTGCTTGGACTCCTTGCTAAGATAAATTTCTAAATTTAGCTGTTTTGGGAACATGCTTAAAAGACAAGAAAAAACCTATAGAACTGGTAAATTGTTGACTTTATTAGTTTTAATAGTCTTCATAATAATGGGAAGAGATTTCTAAATTGTTTCGTTTTCATAATTGGAAAGCTTGTAGAAATCGTTGGCTAGAAGAAAGTCGTAAAAAAGCCACTTGGACACCTTTAGAAGACAAAGTTTTAAGACAACTACAATAGTTTAAACCAAATAAATGGTGTGAGATTGCTATAGATTTAATGAGAATCTGTAAGACTCCCTATTTAAGGTAAGGAAAATCCTGTCGCGATAGATGGGTAAATAAACTTGATCCAAATATAATCAAGTAAATTTCTTTTTTTATTTAAATATAGTAATCCATGGACAAAGGAAGAAGAGCTTCTATTATTTCGAGAAATAGAAAAAAGAGGAAAAAAATGGGCTGAAATTTCACTTTAAGTCTTTTAGTTGAGAAGAACAGAAAATAATATTAAAAATAGATATTATAATATATTAAAACAAGCTGAATCATAAAATAACTTTGTAAGAATAACCAAAGAATAAAAAAATAAATTTTTAGTGGATTCAATCATTAAACAATTAGAAAAAACAGTCTCTTTTGAAATCAAATAAGAAGGAACAGTAAAATTAGAATAAATAAACTACAGACTAGAACAATTTGATTTTAATGATTTAAATGATTATGAAGACATTGTCATTTTATTCAAGAAGAAATTAGTAAGATTAAATGATTAGAACTGATTTTATTTTTTATATGTTCCTAATTTTTTAAATGTAAATTTTAAATATTCATAAGCTGATTTTCATAAATTTTAAACTCATGTTATTTATATAATATATATGTTTCTAATTCAATTAAATAATTAAATATTTGACTATTATTATTAATCTGAATATCATTGCTAATCAACATAAGTTTAAAAGATTTTAGTTAAATTTTTATTAGATTCTAAAATATCTATATATCATTAATAAAAATTCAAATAGAAGTAAAATAATAAATAAAATAGATAATTAAGAAATAAAAATCAAAGAAAAAAAATAAATATAAGAAGTTTAAGAATTTCTAAATTTGAATTCTATATAATAGATATTGGTTCGAACTTTAGGATTTATATAATTTATTTGCCATAAAACAACTCATTTTAAAATTCTTTAAGAATTTAAATAAATTGTCTTAAAATGGATTAAATACTTAATAGCTACATTTAATGGTTGAAAATGTTATCGAGATGATAAATTTAACATATTGCCTTGTCAATATTGTACTGATTATAATATAATTGAATCATTCCTTCAAAGCAAACTTTCTTAATGGGAAATTGTTGAGTCTTTTCCATTATCTCTAAGTTTTTTAAGCTTTAAAATATTTAAGAAATAATACCTCTTTCGCTTCTTGTAAGTCTTTATCTAATTGCTCTAGTTTTTTTGCCTCTAAGATCGACTGGAAGTTTGCCACTTGATTTGGTAGCAGTTTTGACTGAATTTCTTCTTTATTCATTGATGACTGTCAAATATTTGGCAATTCGCTTTCTAACAAGCTTTTTTATTCAAATATTTTGTTACTCCAATTCTGCCAAGTTTTTAGGCATTACCAGCTGATACTTTGACTGTTCTCAATTAAATCAATTCACCCTTTAACTTTTCTAAATCTTTGAGGAGATCTTCAGGCTTTTATTCTCTAAGCTTTCTAACCTTGAACTTTTAGGACATTTTTTAAATAAAAGGATTTAATTTTTATCAAATATCAAGAAATATTTTCAATGAGATAATCAATATTATCCTAATACATAATAATGTACTCAGAATTAATCTCAAAATCTCATCAAAATTCATATTATAACTAACATAATCTATTTAAATAATAAGAATGTTTTTGAAACTGAATAACAATACTTTTCCATAATTATATAATTAATATTGTTCATATTATTATATGAAATAAATTAATTCATCTAATTATGATCATATGATATGTCGAGAGAAAAAGAAGCTTATTAATTTATTGAATTTTAAGGTTAAAAATAATATTAAGTTTATTTTTGCGAAATTTTTATACTATAATGGAATTTTTAAAGCATCTAATTTTAAAATAAAATCAAAACTGATTAAATGAATGATCATAACAGTAAAATATAAAGTTTTTTAATTGTCTTAATTATTTTATCAATTGTAGAGATGAAATTTAATTAGAATTTCATAATATTTGATAAATACATATTTATATGTATTTATGATAAAAATTTAAACCATAAAACCTTTTACAATATGGAATAATATTTATATTTTGTAATGGGGTGTTAAAAATTTTGCAGTCCATCAAATATAACTAAATAGATTTCTTTTGGTTTTTATTTTGAAAAATATTTAGAAATTTTAAGTTGATAGGACATAATTAAATTATTTTTGATCATTTTAGATGAAATAAGGGTCAAATCAATATTTGAAGATGCTGTTATTATTTGGAATTAAAATAATTTTTCAAAATACAATTTGAAACTAGAAATATATGGCTTTGATCAAATAAGTTTGTTCGAATTAAAAGAAAGCCTCTGTAAAATTTGTAAAAAAACCATTGGAAGCAGCATAAAAGATTTTCTAAATGATTAATTTTTATAATAAAATTTAATGTGTTAAGTTTTTATAAACATCATAAATTCTCTCTATAAATTTCACATAACATATTTTTAATAATTTTTGTTTTAAATTTTATTCAAAATTTTCATTTTTTTAAAGTTTTCAATATATTATGAGTAAAGTTTGTAATAGATCTAAAAAGGTTTTATGAGAATTTAATTGAATTAAAATATTTATGTTTAAAATTTTATATATTTAATTGAATTAATTTATTAAAAATAATGTAAGAAAATAATGAATAAATAGAGGATTTAGGGAAGGAAACTTTAATTGTTCAATTAAAAGAAAAAGTATAAATTATAATTTAATAAAAAGATTAAAGAAAATAAGACGATAACGAAGAAATTGGATAGATTATCTGAGAAATATGTTTAGACTTATAAAGAATATAAACTTTTGGCAAAAGATAGAGAATCTCTATTCCAAGCTATTCAGTACTCTTTAAGTGAAAAATAATATAACTTTGAGTAAAAACCTTTAGGTTAGTGTGTTTTTATATATTAGGATAATTTGATACAAATCACATTATTGAATTATTTAAATAAAAGGATGAGGATAAATCTAAAGCACTTACAAATTTGATTAAAGAAACAAATAATGAGAAATTCTTGCTTGAGGAAAAGTATAGATAAATGATAGAAAAATAAGGGTTGAATAGTGATTAAAAGACTTAATAACTTATTAAACAATTAAAATAATAAATTAATGATTTAGATAACAATAACACAAGATTAGCGAAAGAAATTATTGAATTAAATGATATTATTTAAATAAAAAATGGTTAAATATAATAACTTAATTAATTGGAAGAGGATTATGCTAATTTAAAGACTTAATTAATGGTTTAAGAACTATAATAATAATAGCCTGATTTACAATTAAAAATAAATTCATCTGATCTTATGAATCAATCTCTTAAGATGAAATAATAAGTAGATAAATTATTAGAAGAAATTTAAAAATTAAATTTGAAAATTAAAGAATTAGAATAAGAAAAAGCAATCTCTTAATTTAATTAAAAGTAATAAATAAGAGAAAATTAGAAAATTAAAAGTATTGAATCAAAAACTATACATAATTATGATGAATTAAATCCATTTGAATAAGAAAACATGTTATAATAATAATAAGAATTAATTTAAATTGCTTAGAATTATCAAAAATAAACTTAGACTGATTTTATTTACTAAACTAAAGAAGAATAATGTTCAAACAATGCAAATTTTGAATATTTGAAAAATGTAGTTTATAAATATTTTTTATATTAAGAGACAAGGAACTATAAAGAAGCATCAATTTTGATGAATGCTATAATGACTATTTTAAAAATGTCAAATGATGAAAGAAGAAAGATAGAATAAGCAAGAGAAAGAGGATTTTTGAAGAGTGCTAAAAATTTAATAAGTGATAGCTTTACTTGTTTAAAGTAACCTTAATTAAATGATATGAATTTTGAACGACCAAATAGTAGAATTGAACTAATGAATAAGCATATGTTAAATTGATTTTATTATTTTATAATTGTATGGCTTCTTAAAAATTTATGGAATTCTTATCTAGCAATGATAAGTTAAGAATGAATGATATGAAACTGATTGAATAAGAATAATATTATATCAGCTAATTAAAAGATTAAAGGGAAAAAGTAAAAAGTAATTTTAATGATAGATGGAATTATTAAAAATTGAATTTATAAAGAAGGATCATGTTATATTAGATTTATAGGAACATTTGGAATAATTATAGGAAGAATGCGAATAACTTAGAGAAATATATTAAGAACATGTACAAAATTAGGAAAATGAATTTTACAGATTGAATAAATTATAGGTAGAAAAAGATAATTTAATGAAAGACAATATAGAATTAAAGGATGTAATATAACATTTACGAAATGAAAATGAAACATTAAATGTATTCAAAATTAAATTATTTCATAGTCGTTATAATTTAAAAATGACGATTAGTAAAGATAGTTATAAGAATAATTGGTTTTATTATCAGAAGAAAATTCAAGATTAAAGTCAGAAATTGCTAAATTGGATGAACTTTTATTTACATATGAACCTTTAAAAGATGAAAATGAAAAACTGAATGAAAAACTAAAATACTATAAGCACGAAAAACATAAATTATCTTAAGAATTAAAATAAGGAAAATAAGAGGTTAATAGATAAATAGAAGAATTTAAGTCAGGATATGTTAAAGATTTAAAGAATGAAATTTAAAGATTGCAAGAATACAAAGAACAATATCAATCATTAAAAATGCAATTTCAAGACTTATAATAAAAATGTATTGAAATTGATAATGAAAATAATGATTTAAAGTAAGAAATAAAATCCCTTTATGAGAAAGAAGAAAGTGAAATTAAAATAAAATCAGAGATAGATAGAGTAAATATATAATTTAAAATTTAAGGTTAGATAAGATTTAATGTCAGTAAGATACTAAGAGACATTGAAATTAAATGAATTATTTAATGGTATGATTAGTTTGAGCAGTTTAGCAAACTCTAGAGATCATTTTAATTGAATTAAATTTTTGCATTCCAATAATCTATAAATTAAACTTAATCTAATTATATTTAATTTAGAAAATGTAAAAAGATTTATAGATGTTAATATTTAACTAAATAGAAAGTAAAATTTGGAATGAAAGTTTGGTTTTGAATAATAAGAAGTAAAGAAATTGAATTGAGGTAGATTAGATAAAATAATTGATTTAATATAAGTTTAATGGAATATAAATTATAAATAATAATATTAATTAATAAAGTATGAGTAAATAGGACGATATAATAGAAATAAACCTTGATGAAAAGATATAATAAGGGAAAAGAAATAAGTAGAATTTTAGAAAAGGTTTTTAAGAGAAGAAATAGAAACTATAAGCATTTTTTAATGATAAATAGAGAAATGATAATCGTAATCCTGGTGCAATAGTTGATATAACAAATTTGCATTATAGTGTTACAAATGATGAATTAAAGGAGTTAGCTTAGTAATTTGGTAAGGTCAGAAGAGCTTAAGTAGAATGGGATAAAATGGGAAGATCTTAAGTAAAATAAAATATATTTGAATAGGAATAAGGGTACATAGAGTTTTTTTATGTATCAGATGCAAAAAAAGCAGTTGAGAGTTTAAATAATACAACAATAGAGAGTTTACCAATGAAAGCTTAATTAAGAGATTCAACAATGAGAAGAGGCATGTTCAAACGATGATGAATATTAATGTACGAACAAAGGTGTTAATCAATCAAACAAGCCTCCCATATCAACATCTTCTTCTGGTTCTTCAACTTTCTTAACTTCTTTAGCTGGTTCAGGAGCTTTAGCTTATTAAGTGGCAGGAGCTGATGTTTATGCAGCAACTGAAGTAGCAGGTGCATTTCCAGTATTTCCATGTAATAAATCTCCTACTCTCTTTCCTTTAAGTGCCTTTTCAAATACTTTAGTCCAAATTGGTTCAACTCTTAAATTAGCAGCTTTAAGGATTTATGCCAATTTAGAAGCAACAATCTTAGTTTTAGTTACTATATTACTTCTTAATTGTCTTCATACAAGATGAGAGCAGCATAAGTACAAGCAGTCTCTGATGTAGCTTAATCTGCAATTGGTCGAGTGTCTTTTTATGCTCTTGCCATTTAAAAAAATAATTAAAAGATTTAATATTTTATGCTCATCTTATTCATCTCATAATTCATTACTTATAAACTATTTATAAGCTTCAATGTCTCCATCCCAGGCTATATCAGCTAAATATTGACTTGATCCTTCTCCAATCAATCTATTTCATATTACATATTTATTTTACGCTGCTTTTTATTCTTTTATTAATCCTTTTCTTAATTGTGTTAAAAATGGTTCAATCATTTTAGACATTTTATTACTAGCATAATAATAACATCTAAATATCTTATAATAGTTTTTCGTAGATAAATATGAACTCATACTTTCAATATATAATATTTAGTTTACTTCATAGAAAAATAAATCAGGTCATTTTCAATATCAATATCTTATGTATTAAAAATATTAAGAAGTTGATCATGATTATTTTTAAGTGCATGATATAAGATAATATAACATAAAAATTCTTATTTATTTTTAGTCTTAATAGGCATTAAATAAAGTTCTAGTAATTTCATTTAGCATTATTGAAAAGTATGTAAATCGAAATTTTCAATACTTAATTTAGCATTAGTTTCATAAATTTTGATGGTAAATTCATTTTCAATATTTTAAACATTGATATCCTATCTAATGGATCTCAATTAATCAGAGAAATATTGATAATCAATTTCACCAGATTTGTATTGCTTTTTGAATAATTTCAAGGCCTATTAGAGAATAGGAAGTGGACGAATTTATGAAAAGTCAATTTATTATGTTAATCTCAAATATGGTTTATGTAGAGATTAATTACTTGGTTCTTGGGATTCTTTTTTAGGATATAAGGCATTATATAGATCACATAATTCTGCATCTTCTTATGCTTGCTTTCTAATTCTTTATAGTTGATATTTAGAAATTTTATATTAATTAGTCATATAAAATAATTCTTATCAGCACCAAGCATCATGCTTTTGGTTCCCAAATCTTTTTTCATATTTTCTGGACTTTCACTAAAAATATTGAAATAACGATTGTCTAATTCATCAATTTCAAGAATTGAAGCAAGATTACCATTCCTATATAAATAATTAGGAGCACTCCAAACAGTAATACATCTATCTTCAAATTTTAAATTAAATCCTTCATTGCATAATTAATGAGCTCTTATTAAATGTGTCATATTATTGAAATGTAGAAATTCTTTAAGAACTTATCCTCCAAATACAAATCCTGCTCCTCTTGGAGAAATCTTAAAACCTGGAGTATCTTCATCATCAGGATCTGACCACATTATATCTGTAAATGCTCCCTCATGTGGAATTTCTTAAAATCTATTTAAATGTTCGATTTCATCAACACTCTCTATACACGGAGACAATCCTCCATGCACACATAATAGATTTGTACCAACTATACATGCTATTGGTATATAATCAAACATATCTGTAAAATATTCCCAAGCCTAAGTATTACCATATTTCTATTAACATTCCATGTAAAACCCATAATTTTATGTTATGCCTCTTGTTTCATGATTTCCTCTTATTAATGTAACTCGATTTGGAAATTTGACTTTAAGGAGGGAAAGTAATGTTATTACTTCCACACTATGAGCACCTCTATCTACATAATCACCTAAAAATAAATAATTTGTAAATGGAGGCTTTCCTCCCACTTTAAATAACTCTTAAACATCATATAATTGACTTAAATAGATTTATCAAAATTAATACCCATGAACATCTCCAACTATTGTAACAGGAGTTGGAATCTTTTTTACATTTGGTTCTTTTGAAAATATCTCTTTTAATGTCAAACATATGAATTTTATCGCATTTTCATTTAGAAGTTCTCCTTAATATGCTTATTCAAGAAATTTATCAATCATATTATATAGAATTATTATTTAACTATTTTACAAATTTCGCTGCGTTTCTAAGTACATCGTAATTATCGAAGGGATTCGTATACAGAGAATGGTTTCTTATTATATTTAAATATATTTATATACCTTTTTTTATGTGAATTTCTACTTATTGTTGAATTTTATTCATCCTATAATAAGTTTGGTAGCTTTTTTTGAACACTCAAGGAAATTTAAGGGATAGTTGCTTAAACACTTCTTATTATTCTCTCAGTATTTTATTATTTTGGTTTTGTAAACAAATTACATGTTGATTTATAATTCTCTAATTCAATTTCTAAATATTATATTAATGTATAGCATTTTGATAATTATTCTCTTTTTTATTCCAATTATTTTCTTAACTCTTAAACTTCGATATTTACATTTTATAATTATGAAAGTTAAGCTATATTCTCTTAATAATGTTATTTTGAATTTAATTACTCATCTTTCTTTGCTATCTGTTAATTTAAATTTCTTATCATTTTTTCTTATTAAAATATCTTTTATTTTAACTCATCCATTTAATCAGATTTAATTGGGGTTGAAGGCCTTTATTTCTCTTTCACTTCTCTCCTTACTACTATTGAATTTGATTAAAGCTTTATTTTAGTCTTTTCTTCCTTCTCTTTTGGAGCTTAAAGTATTTAATTCATTACTTCATTTTATTTTGATTAAGAATTCAATTATTATTGTAATTCCAAAAGCTAATCTTTTTATTAAAAATTTTCATATTTTTATTACATTACTTAATCACTTAAATTTGCAATCAAATCTTATAAAGTCTCAACTTCATTTGTTTTTTATTCAAGTTTTTATATAAGCTCATTTTTTGTCTCATTTATCTCTTAAATCTCTTTTTCCAAATAATTATATTTATTTTATATTTATTCGTATTTCTCATAGATCTCATCATCTAAATTTCCAAAACAACTTGCATCTTAAGTGATTTTTTATATAGGTTAATTTTTCTGAAAATATTCTATTATTAAATTCAATCTTAAACTTTCTTACTCTAATTCAATCAAAATATTTTATAATTTGGCATAATCATTTTATAATTTTTTATATTCTTAATTTTCTTTTATTTTATCTTCAATTAATTCATTTTCTAATTATTAATGTTAATTTGTATAAGGGATAACTTAAAGAGACTATTCAGTTTAAATTTGAGTGCTTCGACTAGCTTTTGTATAAGTAGTTATTGTTTCAGGTGTTTGATTAAAATGATTATTCTCTGACAATTCTGTTTCTAATTTCAATTTAATTTTTTTTGAATTTTGTTTCTTTTACTAACTTCTCTTAGCTTATAATAAATAATTTAATTTTAATTTTCGAGCTTTCTAATATTAATAATCATTCTATTATTATTATAAAACTAAATCTTCATTAAATATATCTTTTTTAGTTGAAATTTATAAATCTTATATTGCTTATTAATCAATATATTCTTTTAGTGTTATTCCATTCTAATCTATTTATGGAAATATAAAGGCAGAATCATCCTAATTATTTTCATTAGATACTTCGCCTTTATTTTCAATAATTTCTTTATTAGTTTCATTTATTTCGATTATTTGTTGAATAGAATTTTATAATTCAATTTTTTATTAATTATTCTCTTCTTCTATCACCCTCAAACTTTAAATTACATTTTCATTAGATTAAAACTCATTTATAGATCCTAAATTTTATGATTATACTTCTATTTAATCTTTACTTTGAATTTATTCATAATTTTCTTCTTTTATACCCATTAATAATGGAACAGCTTCTGGAGCTAAGTAATTATATGTTTTTCTTCTTTATTATTATGGTTGAATCACTTCTTTTTATTCAATTATTTTTTCTGGCACTAGATCTTAGATCTCTTAATTAATTTAATTAATTATTTCATTATTAAATTGATTTTCTTAGTTTTGAGATTAAATGGTATCTTATTGATCATCTATTGTATTATTAATCAAAATTATATCATTTGTTTATGTGTATTTATCTTCTTTATTTATTTGATCTGATGATAAAATTTTAGAATTTTCTAACTTATCATTTTGTTAAGTATCTGTTCTTTAACCAACACTAAATTATTGTATTAAATCTGATCTTTCCATTATACTTGGAAATAACTAAATTTCTTCTAATTTATGAATTGAATAAGAAACTTGTTTATGATAAGATTTTTTTTAAGAATCATGTGATACTTATATACTATTTTTTAAGAAATTTAACTATAATTCTGAAATTTTCTTTTCTAATGTTGCTATAATCTTTTCTTAAGAAGAATTTATTTGACATTGTTTATTAAGTTTATTTTTCAAATCTAAACTTTAAATCTCATACATATTTTAAACTTCATTAAATTCTAATTTTTATTCTTAATTAGATTTTATGAGCACTAATAGATATTCTAAAGAAAACTAGAGCATTTATTAACTCTACTTAGTCTTTATTTCTAATCCTAAAAATGATGACGCATTTGTATATATTTCTTGAATTATTTTATTATAATTTTGCAAAGTAGTTTAATTCTCTTGATTTTAAGTTTCTAATTGTTTTATTACTTAGAGTAATTCATTTTATTTCTCTTAATCTTTTTTGAATTTAGATTCTCCATCTTTTGTTTACTGTAAAAGTTTATTATATTCATAATACTGATTATTAATTTTCTATTCTTAATTTAATAATTATTCTTTAAGCAATTGTAATTGATTTTTTAAATTGTCAATCTCTTTATCACTTTCATCTTTATGTGTCTAAATGTAAGATTGCTTTAAATTATAATCTTCTTATAATTTATCAAAATTTTCTTTCAATTTATCATAATCTTTGTCTTTCAAATTTGATAATTAAGCTAAATTTTCAATTTACTCTTAAGTATTTTTTTTATAAACTTCGAAATCATTTGATATACATTTGCATTTAATTTCCCATTATTAAATGTTCTCCTTAATAGTTTATTCTAATTCATTAGTTTTTTCAATTAATTTATTTTACCAATATAATTTTTGATCTGTTAACTTAGTATCATAATGATTTGATTATTTTTTAATTAATTCTTCTTTTTAATGAATAGTTTTGATTAAAGTTGTTCTGCCTGTTTCTAAATCAACAACTTTATTATTTAATTGTTTAATTGTATTTTCCATATTAAAAACCTCTTAGAAATATTGATCTTCAAGTTTTGAAAGTTATGTTTTGGAAATAGTTAGAGCTAATTCTAATTGTTTTCTTTCATTTAAAGCTTCTTATTTAGTTTTATCATAGATTTCTTTATTTTGTTATTGAAGCTATTAAATGAGTTATCTTTCAGATAATAATTAAGCCTCCAACTATAAAATTCTTTAATCTTAATTAGAAATAGTGTCTTTATAATACGTAATGTCTTATCGAATATAAAAAGATGTTTACCTTCATTAAGTAATTCACTAATGGTTATTAAATCAGCTAATTTTTTCAAGAGTTCTCTACTTTCACCTTTTGCATTAATATCCATAATTAATGATGAATATTCCAAACATCTTTTGAATTATATTTTGTATACCTTTAATCTATATAATATTTTGTAGCTAAAAGTTATTCTTTCAATGATTAGCATTCTTCTGAAGATACATGGAATATCTTTTATAAATGCTAGATATTATGTCTTAACTTTAATTGAAAATGTTAACTAATTTCTTTAAGTTTTTCATTTTATAGTAGTTAATCTGCCATTATAATTATTAATTAAGGCTATGAGTGACTAATAATCATCTTCAATGTCTATAGCTGAATCAATTGTACCATATGTGTATGAACCAGGTCCAATACTAAACATTGTCAAGAATGGAGAGGAACTAGTCAAAAGCTCTTAATATTAAGAAGCCTATGAAGTTTATAGTTAAGCACTCCCTTTAATATATCAAAATTCAAGACCAGAAGTCATTGAATCAACTACAGAAGAAGTTCTTTTAGGAATGGCAAAGTGCGCTCTTACTTTAAATAAACTCTCAGAGAGCAAACACTATTGTTTTGAGGTAGTCAATTCTTTAAATCTCATAAGATTTTGAAGAGTTTCCCTTAGCATCCAACAGCTCTTTTGTATTTAGGATTAATATACAAACAAGAAGGAAATGAAAAAAAAAGTGATAAATATATAAAATTAGCCTATAGCAGCAATCAAGATACAGATTATAATTCAGAAAATTAGTTACTTCTTTAAATATTTAGACAATATTCTGATTAATCTAATCATAATTACTCTTAACTCTAAAATAGCCAAAAGTAACAACAATCTTAATAATATATTTTCATTTAATCAAAAGACTTATTAACTCAAATTGTTGCCTCCACTATTTTAGGAAGTTTTTCAACCATTATAATAAACTCAAAAAAAAAATACACTTCTGTTAATTTATTCATAAGTGCTTGGAATTCTACTTGTATTTTTGGATGTCTAAGATTAAGTTGCTTTAGATTAAAATATCTTTGTTTTGGAACTTATTTCTTGAGCTTATTAGCACTATATTTATATTAAAGATATTTCTGAATAGTTGTATTATTACTCTATATATAGATTATTAATCTTTATGTCATTAATCATGTAAGATTTTTGTAACCATTGGCTGCAAGGCTTCAATATACTATTTAATTTCTTCAGGATTCTTTAAATTTTAACAAAATCCTACAATATTTTAATCTTTGTAAAGTTAACTTTTCCTTAATTATTCTTAGACTTATAACTAATAATCAGATATTTTAATTTACAAAGTCATTATTTTTATCGCAAGCAATCAATAATTTAAGCTGTAAATGTTTCTTTTTTTATTCTAACTCTTCTGATTCACATCTTATGCTATTTAACTAATTGAAAAAATCTGCTAAATAACACTAAAAATGTTTAGCAAAATTTTTGCTCCTCTCTTTATATCTAAATTCATCTTTTAGATCATCAGACTAACAAAGTATTTGATTTTGATCATTTAATTAACCAATATACCAATATCTATTTTAGTAAAATCTATTATCTATACTTTGCTTCTTTTAAATATTATCTTTAATATTACGATAATAACATCAAATTTTCATTTAAAGACGCTAATTATTTTGACTATGCCTCAAGATTTTGTTGATTTTTATCATTATTTTTTTGTAATATTTCATTTTCCTTCAATAATTGTAAAATTTTTTCTTCTACAAGTTTATATATTAATTTTATAATCAAAAAAGCACTAGGACTTAAAAAGATATTTTATTCTTTTATTGATAATTAGGAATAGTCTTGTATTATTTAATTAAAAAAATAGAATTCTTCCTACCAAGCATTATTATAAAATGATGTTATTACTTAGATTGATTAAGATTTAATTAATGGTTTATCCGAAATTGAGTATTAATATAAGCAAGAAGATACATAGCACCAATCAGCTCTATTTTATGGATCTATATCAATCATTTTTAAGATGAGATTTTCTAAGATAGGATTAATTTTAATCTATTTTGATTGAATTATCTTTCGTATTTCAATTTTTTCTTCTTATTTATTTAACAAACCATATAACATTTCATACAAAACTATTCCTAATGAATATATGTCTGCTTTGTAAGGTGAGTAAATTCCTTTAGATGAAACTTCAGGAGCTATATAAAATGGAGTGCCCACAAATGAACAGGTTTCTTGAAAATTTAAATTTTCTAAATATTTTGCTAAATTGACATCCGTTATTTTTACACACCCCTTCTTAATTAATATATTTTCTGGTTTAATATCTCTATGACAATAGTTTATTTAATGAAGGCTCTATATATAATTAATACTACCATTTCTCCCCTTCAACTATTTATATTAAAATATCTACAGCTTCTTATTCCTTCAATCTTTTATTATCGTTCTTTTCTAAATATTCTTTTAGATTAGCTTTGAGATTTAAATTAAATATTACATTCACATAATTCTAAAACTATATTATAATTATCTTATGTTTCAAAGTTATCTAAAAGAGTAATAACATTATTGTTATGAGCCAATTTCTTACATTTTTTAAGAATTTCAATTTCTAAATCATAAGATTATTTTAATTTTTGAGCTGATACCCTACTTCCGCTATTAGGAATTTTTTATATTTGTTTTAATGCTACATACTTATTTGTATCAATATCTTTCGCTTCATAAACCTGGAATAACAATATTTCATACTGTGCACATTAAACCTTTCCCCAATAGTTTTTCATTATTGCAAATGTATCTACCAATAATCCTATTATGAAATTCAGCCATTTTATTTTATAATTATTTTTATATTCAAGTTTTTTATAATTTAATTAGATGATGTATATAATTTTTTCATGTTTTTAAAATCTTGTTAAATATGTAATACTTTATTTTAATATTAAAAAAGAAAACTCCTTATATTTATGTATTGAATTAATTAAATTTTAAATAATACATTTTTTCAGGCTATAGATACATTTCTAACTTTAGAAGGCCTTTTGTGCTCCACTGGAGTCAATTATCTTTTGAATTATGGCAAAGTGATGTTTAAGTCTATCATTTTTTTATTTATAATATATTAAGGTCTTCTCTAACCTTAAGGTGCTGTTGTTGGTTTAACAGTTTAATTCATATAATTGCTATTATCGATTGATTTTTCAGATACTTTTTTTATCTGAAATGATCTATCACATTATTTCATTTCTTTTTCTAAATTTTCAGCTTATTATTATATTTTCTTTCTAAATTCATTTGCATCAAAATTATCTATAACCATATGTTCTATTTTTAATTTGACATATATATACTTGTTAAATCTCTAATTTATTATTTCATATGTAATGAATGCCTATTGTTGTTATTAGTATTCATCTGTTTTTTATAGATTTCTTAGTGATCTTATTATGTTTATTCAGTGTGCTTTTATTCTTTCAAATTGATGACTTAAACATCAATTTTTTTTTTATGTGAATGTCTTCTAATAATAGATTTATTAGTTGTTGTAAGATCAGACAAAGTATTATTTTAATTTAGCTCTCCTAAATCTATATAGGGTTTATCTATTAATTTTAATGTCAAGGCCTAAAATGAATCAATGGTAGGTCTGATATTATATTCCTAATCATCCACTAAGATTTAGGTATTCTAACAATCAATCTAGTATAGATTTATAGCTGATCTTGTCATTTATTTCACTATTACTTGATCTATTGCATAGATTCAAACTTCAAAAAAGAAGGGATCTTTGCATCAATTTAATGTTCACGTATCAATTTTCTAGCTTGATGTATTATTTATTTGACTATTCCATCGACTATAATTTCTGAAATCATAATTATGTTTATAATAATGTTGTATATAAATAATAATTTATCAAATTAAATGGGCGTCATCCTTAATTTCTTGAAGATAAGTATGATTATAAATAATATCTAAAGTGGTTCTTGTAGTTGAATCTGGTTAAAGAAATTGTTCTAAAAAATCTTGAGTAATTAAATCAATTTATTATTTTGATATTTTTTAAACAAGTGTCCAATATTATTACCATTTTTTTTATTAAATCAATTTCCACAATTTACAATTCACTGTGGGTTTAGTAGATTTAAATGGCATGAAACCCAAAATTAACTAAAATATTGTAACTCCTAATGAAAATACATCACTTTTGATTAATATTTAAGTATTGATATTCTCACTATTATATCCTCCTAATAAGGTTTCTTAGTGTAATTCAGGTGGCATATAGCTAAGTGTACCAACAGTTCTTTTAGCTGTACAATTAGTTATTAGTTCTGCAAATCCAAAATCACATAAAACTATTGCTCCTTATTTGTCAATTAAAATGTTTTCTAATTTGATATCTCTATGAACAACTTAATTTTAATGGACATAATTAATGATTTTAATTAAAGTCTTTGATATCTCTTTAATAATTTGTGTGTTTAGTTTTTGAGATTTGACTACTTCAAATAAATCATATGTTTAAAGTCTTTCTAAAACTAAGTAGTTGTCTGTATATTGAATGAGTTTAACAATATGATTACTTTTAAGAAGTTCTAAAATTTGAACTTCTTTCATTCTTGATTAGATTGAGTAGAATGATTTATATTCTTTGATTACATAATTGGGATCTTCAGTGAGGAATACATTAGAAGAAGATCCTTCACTCAGAAGAGTGGTCTTGTTATGCATATGCTTTTAAGAATAATTGATTTATAATTATAAAAAATAAAAAGGTATAAATATTTTATACAGTTATAAATTAATGGGTTAGACAGATAGTAAATAAGAGAAGGATTTTATGAGAAAGATAGACTCGTAGTATGAGTTTATCAAAAATTTGAATGATGCAAGTGAATGATAATAATTATAAAGTAGGATATGGAGATGGTAAATTGTTCGGTAAGAAAAATGAGAAGTCATAGATGATTGTATTAAAGAATATAAGTGTTCCAGATGAGGCTACTTATTAAGCATGGAAGAATAAATTATAGATGAGATAATAGTTAAAGCATCCAAACATTATAGAATTAAGAGGTATAAGATAATAAACATTATGATTAGAATCAATATAAGCAGAAGAAGAGTAAGTATGTAGTACTTTTTATAAAGTAAACTTAGTATTTGAATACATACCTTAAACATTAAAGGATGCAATTGAATAAAGAAAACTAGCAGGTGCTTATTATCCAGAACAAGAGATTTTGAAAATGTTAGATGGAGCAATAGAAGGATTGGCTAAATTTTAAGAGTTGAAGATTGCTCATTAAAATTTAAGAGTACAAACACTCTCTTATTAGAATGGGAATATTAAAGTGAGTGATATTCCATTATTAGCTAATATTACATCATTTGTTGCTGTCCTTTAAGATTATGGAGATGCATCTTAAGGCAATTATCTCTCTCCATTATTAACTAAAGCAGTTTATGAAAGTAATCATATGCCATCACATAATTTATTTAAATCAGATGTTTATACTTTAGGAATGATATTCCTTTAAGTTTGTTTACTTTAACCTTAAGATAATTGTTATGATTACTTTGAAGGTAAAATTAATTAATAATAATTGGCCACTAATATTGATTAAGCAAGAACTATTTATACATCTGAACTTGTTGAAATTATTGAAGAAATGCTTGAGTAAGTAGAAAAAGATAGACCTGATTTTATTTAATTAAAAAATAAAAGAAAACAACACATTACTAAATAAGAACCTTAATTTGTTGAGAGAAGTTCTCATCAATAAGAAGATGATTATCAAATGATGTTCTATTAAAATATCCCTAATTAATTTGAAGTCAATCAATCAGTTTAACCTTCATATTAAGATGAAGGACCATCTCAATTATTAGAAGACAATTTCGATGAATTACATTAACCATTGAAAGAACCTCATCCTGCTAGTTAAAATGAACATGATATTTTAATTCATAATGCAGATATCACTAGAAAATCTATCTGTATTCTATATCCATATGTCTTTAGCTCCTATGAAATAGAATAATTCTATTGGATAAATCCATAAAAATGATATCCAAGTTTAACCAATCTCTTTCGCATAAAATAATAATATTATTAATCATGACATTTATAAAGTGCCTGATCTATAAAAATATAATGTCAAATATGACTCTTATACTAATACTAGTCCATATAAAGATTAAGCCAATTTTAAAAAATAAGATGCATTTACATAATCAAGTTAAGTATTTAATAATAATAATAATTAATAAAAATCCAATATTTAATTACAATAATATGTCACTGCTTATTAACCATAAAGAGAATCTCTTAAAGTAAATGATTATATGGATAAATTCCATTTCTCATCACCTAATGATATTAAACTATTTGAATAAAATAATCATATTGATTACAATCAACCAAATAGGGAATCTTATCAATATTATTCTGCATAACCTTAAAGTAGATTTATGTCTGCTTAATAATAAACAAATTATGTTCCTTATTAAGCAATATCTCAACAAATTCCAAAATAGAATACTTCAATTTATGTTAATGAAACATATCCTAATGGATAAAGATATGTTGGAGAGAAAACTAATGGTTTAAAAGAAGGAAGAGGAAGATTATATTATAAAGAAGGAGGATATTATGATGGACACTGGAAAAATGATAGAATTAATGGATAAGGTATCTTTTGTTAATATTTATTATTAAGGAGTCCTTTATTATGCAAGTGGAAGACCTGCTTATGATGGATAATGGGTAGATGATAAATTTTAAGGTTAAGGTATCTTATATAATGATACTCCTAAAATTGAAGATATTAATTATAGAAATCTAGAAGATATAGGATAGTAATTTATTATTTAATTTTTAAGTGGATGGACCAAATATGTTGGACAATTTTATGATGATAATAAAAATGGATCAGGAACACTCTATTTTTTTAATGGAGATCGCTTTGAAGGACATTTTTAAGATGATTAAGTCTAAGGATAAGGTAGATTTATTTCAATCGGAGGATAAGTTATCTAAGGAATTTGGAACTTTAATCATCTTGTATAATGAAATTCTATTTTTATATTTAGTAATATATAAATTATCACACTATTCATTTAAATATCTTTGTGCATTTATTCCATTCTCTTTTATTTGATGTACATCTCTAAGATTATTATGGAGATGTATTAGAGATACTTTTATCTTAATTATTATATCTTTATGAATTGATTGTCAATTAATTATTCAATTGATTATACTGATTCTCTTAATTACTATTGATTGTATTCCTTTATGAATTCAATGGAGTAGAACTCATTTTCTGAGGAATCTCTTCTCTCCTTTCATTAAATACTATTGCTTCTCTTAAATTCTTATTTGTTTAAACTAATTATTTAATCTACTAACTCTAAGTCGAAACTATTTCATTTAATTCTTATTCTGTCTACAATAACTTTTCTTATAATGATTCAAATTGTTTATTAGCTACCAAAATCAAATGTTTTAATTGCTAATTTTTTTATTATAAATCTAATGAATTTAATCTTTCTTAATTAAGTTCACTCATGTTTTGTTTTTATTATAATTACATCTTCAATAAAATCTATTATTGCTCTGCTGTTTAATTATGCAATAAAGTTATTTCCTAATCAGCATCAATTAGAGTTTACTTTAAACTATTTAAGAGATTCATGGATTTCTCCATACCTTAATAACTCTATATATGCATAATCTAATTATTGCAATTTTATGTATACATAAATCATTTGCATTTTCTCCAAATAAGAAATAATATAGTTTTATTCTTTTTAATCTCTAATTAAATTGCTAATTATTTTTATTGCCTCATTGTAACATTTCTGAAAACCTTCAAACATTATTTCCTTTTTATCCATTGGCTATTTTTATTGAAAACTATAATATTCCTCCTATTCCGTACTCACTACAACTGATAATTCATTTTTCAAATTTGAAGGTTTAACCTTCTATAATAAACCTATAAATTGATCTAATTCAAGCTTCAAACTTGAATCCTTAACAATCTCTTATGAAACCATTTTTTCTAATGATTCAATTGACTATTCTGATTATAATGTTGCTATTGATCCACAAGATTGCTGTTAAGTTGATTTACTTATGGATTGATAATATTATCTATCATCCTCTATACATTACAATTATTCTAGAGACATTGTTTAATCTATAATCTAATATCTGTTAAATAATATTAATTAATAATTAAGTTACTATGTATAATAAAATATTTAATTCAATCATAAACTCTTCTAAAACCTACATGAGTTTCCACCATATTTGTATCCAATTCAACCTTAGTAGTATTACCATTCAGAAAATCTTTATCGCAATATAAACTTGAGATTTGCATATTCAGACTTCCATAAACTGTTTGTGTGTCAATTTTTTATTTATTTAATTCGCTATTTTGTTTGTTTATCTAAATTATAATTCATCTTACATCTGAGAGTAAAACCTTCGTTATTTAATCTTCTTCTCGATATTGATTAGATTTCATTTTTATTAATTCTTCTCTTATCACATTCATATCATCCCTGCTCACCTTTAAATCATCTTTTATTCTATTTAAAATGTTCTATTTTTATATATAATTACTCTATACAAATAATTTATCAATATGATCTTTCACATTCATTTACATCGAATTCTCGAAACTTTGTTAAATTATTTCGTATTGATCTTATTGTTTTTCTGTTTCTTAATTAGCATTCTTTGAATTTAGAGATGTTAGAGATTATTGATTTTATGATCCCATATGTAACCTCTTCCCTTATTTATGCATATTAATATAATTTTATAAATAAAATTCTTCTGAATATAAAAATTTATAATCCAATCCTGAAATAATCTAAGAATTTTTCCTTCAGAAGATTCCTAATTATTTGTTAAACATTTCTATTTATGACATAGAGTTTAATCCTAAAACAGAATTTTATGATGTATTAAAAAAAATTACAATAATAAAAACAATCTGCATTCAGTAATTATAAATTGATGTCTCATCTAATACTCTTTTTAATTATTTAATTAATGATATTCAGATAATATTCTATATATTTAAATCTCTATATGTAAATGATATTTATATAATGAAGTAATTTTTATCAACATTATTTTCTAATTTGATCAGGTGGTCGCTGACCTGATGTTGAAAACTTACTTTTTCTTGTTTCTTTCCTTGAGATTAATTAAATAGGTTCTTCAGATTCACTTCCATCATCATTCTTTACTTGTACTAGTTTAGAAAATTTAACTTTTTTGCCAATCAGTTTTTCTGATTGAGTTTTTTGAGGATTCTCAAAAAAACATGTGGGACTGTTTCGATCAGTTTGTTTTCCTAAAATGAAATCAATACTATCAAAACCAAGTTCTGTGGTTTCTGTTTTTATTTTTGTACTAGAATTACAAAGATATTTATCAGGTAAACTGAATGGGTCAGAAAAGAAATCCCATTTTTTTAAGGATTCTTGTCCGACTTTAGAAAGACTTTATTTATGTTCCTAAACATCGGTAAAAAAGTTGGATAGTTGAGGTTAACTTGAGTTATGTTTGTGATTTGATCTAACATAATATGGTTTTTAAGGGGTTTTGAATTCAGCAAAATGGAAATCATAATTCATTTCTAATTATTTTTTTATAAAATCATATCACTTATTGAAATTTAATTTTATTACTCGCACTCATGATATTCTAAGCAATACTCGCTAATTATGTTGAACAATCTTATATATTCATTTGATTCAAATATTATAAAACTTAATTAATATTAGGTCTTTCTTTTGGATTCATTCGTAACATATTATCAACTAAAGGTTATATATATTTAGGTAATGTAGATAAGACTTTTTATAATTTAGGTTGTTTATCATTAACAAATTCCAAATACATAGGCAATGATGAAACACCTTTCCAATTAGATTCCTAATATAAAATGTAAATTTTACATTCAAACTTCCTAAAAGTTCAGCAATTTGAGACATGATTTCAATTTCTGATCTGCCATCAAATAAAATTTTTCCTGTGAATAATTCTACTAATGTACTACCAAGAGACCAGATATCAATTGATGCATCATATTCTTTTAATCCAAAGAATAATTCAGGTGCTCTATAATTCTTGGTACAAGTTTAAGGAGTCATTAAATCTCTAATCTATGTTGAAATTCCAAAATCTCCTAATTTAATTTAGCCTTCTGCTGTAACAAAGACATTGCTAGGTTTAATATCTCTATGAAGAATGTTTTATTAATGTAGATAATTCAAAGCTTAACAAAGCTCTCTAAAGATATAGAGTTGACAATCTTTTAAAGAGAATAATAATTCATGAAGTGGTGCCATATACTCCATTGTTAAACATAAGTATTTTTTGTATTCAAATTTTTCGGTAAAGGCATCTATAAAATTCACAACATTAGGATGATTTAACGTACTTAAAAACTTATATTCATTTAATTAGGTATGATCTTAAGGGTCAGATGGCTATAAAAAATTCAAATTTTTTACTTACTTTTCTGTAATATCTTTTTAACACTAAAGGGGTGTGTTTCTTATTTGGAGGATCATTTTCTGATCTTCTTTCAATTAAGTATACCTTTCCTGCATAACCTTTGAATAGACATTTTATTTTTATATAACTCTGATTCTGCTACATTTTTATTTTGATTTTAAATTTAATTATTTCTACTTTTTGTTTTCAATCTTTGCTCAAAATGTATAAAATATTCGATATTCTTTAATCATTACTCATAAGTTGGGTCACTTTTATGAAGGAATAATTGATTAAGTAATATAAATTTCAATAAAATTTATTGTGTATTAACTGAAATAACTGTTAATTATTTATATTTAGTAATTAATTTTTTAATATATGAATATTTAATGTACAAAGAATATTAAGTTTCATTTGTGTGCTTCAGAAATGTATATATATAGTATAATTTTGAATTCTTATAATTTGTTATCTAATATTGCAAATGTTTGGATTAAATGAAAAAAAATTTAAAAATTTAGATATTATTTTTTAATGGTTAATCTCCGCCTCTAAAAAAGATTGGCTGCTACCTAATTAAAGGTTGGTGTTAATAGAGTTTGGTTAGACCCAAATGAAGCAAGTGAAATCAGTCTTGCAAATTCAAGAATGTCAATTAGAAAATTAATTAAAGATGGTTTGATTATGAGAAGATTGAGAACAATACATTCAAGAGCTAGAGCAAGAAGATTCCTCGAAGCAAAGAGAAGAGGTAGACATACAGGTACTGGTAAAAGAAGAGGTACTAGAGAGGCAAGAATGCCAACTAAAGTTCTTTGGATTAGAAGATAAAGAGTATTGAGAAGATTGCTCAGAAAATATAGAGCTGCAAAGAAAATAGACAGATAATAGTAAATGTATTTAATAAGTTAGATATCATGAATTTTATTTGGCTTCTAAGGGTAATCAATACAAAAACAAAAAGGTTCTTATTGAAGCTATTCATGAAACTAAATAAGAAAAAGTTAGAGTCGACAAAATTGAGAAGGAATAAAATGATAGAAGAGAAAAGAATAAGGCTCAAAGAACCAAGAAAACATAAAACAAATTTGCTGCTGAATGATATTTACAAATTTAGTACAATAATAAATTATTTGTTATCATAATAATATAATTGTGTATATGGTGTTCATAGCTCTAGAAGTAGAAGACAAGAATAATGTAATTAAATTATGAGATGATTCATATTTTCTATATTAAAAAAAGATTTAAATTAATTTTTAGACAATGGTAACTATAACAATTAAATAAAGGCTGACGCTAAAGAATAACCAGTCCAATAATCAAAAGGTAAAAAGGGAAAGAAAACTGGAGAAGAAACAACATAATAAGTAGTAGCTACATTAGGACCAAATGTGGCAGGAAATGAATTAGTATTTGGAGTAGCACACATCTTGTCTACATGGAATGATACTTTTATACATATCACTGATTTGACAGGTAGAGAAACATTAGCCAGAGTAACTGGTGGAATGAAAGTTAAATCAGATAGAGAAGAATCATCACCATATGCAGCTATGCAAGCAGCTAAAGATGTTTATGAAAAGTTGAAAACACTCAAAATTAATGCTTTACATATAAAATTAAGAGCTAGAGGAGGTATAACACATTTTTTAATTCATTAAGGTGTTGACACAAGACAACCAGGACCAGGTGCTTAAGCTGCTTTAAGAGCTTTGGCTCGTCTTGGACTCAAAATTGGTAGAATTGAAGATGTGACTCCTATTCCTACTGATTCTACAAGAAGACCTGGAGGTAGAAGAGGAAGAAGATTGTGAAAAAGTAAATATACATACAGTAAATAAATGTACATATTAATTAAATTATGATATTTGATCTCTAACCACCATCTCCTTCCTTGTCCCCAAATTCTAAGACCAGATTTTATTAGGATTAATTAGACAAAGCACATTAAGTTATAGATCAATTAGAGCTTTTATTATCAGAGAAAGAGCATTAAAAAAAGATTCATCAAACGACTTATAATAATATTGTCATTCCTCCTCTTTAATTGAAATAAATTGATTCGGAAAGGTCAAAAAGTTATATGTCTATTCCCTTATAATATTCTACACCTAGAGATAGGAGAACAAGACTTTCTTTGGGAGGCTTAGATTCGGCAAGATATATTGAAGAAATGAAAAATAGGCATTCAGAAATTATTTTGTAATCTAAGGAAGACAATATTTACAGAGAGTAAAAAAATAAAGAACTCAATGATCAAATTTAAGAATTAAAATCAGAATTGATTTTTTGCTAGGAAAAGCAATCTATTACTAAAAAAGAAAAATAATCAACTGAATAAAAACTTGATATTTTGAATGCCCAAATATAAGCTATTTAAATGCAATTAACAATCTCGAAAGAAAAAGGAAAACATCTATAAAAAAAGATTAAGTAAATTAATCATAATAATGAAATTTTGGAAGAAAATGAAGAAGACAAGTAAGAGTAATCAGAAAATCAAAAATAATTGTAAAAATAAGTATAACCAGTTTCTTTAATCATATAATAAAATAATAATAGCCATAAGAAATTAATAGGATCTTTGTAATAAGAAATTTAACTATTGGAAAATAAAAAATAAAAATACTTTAACCAGGTAACTAATTCCTAATTTGAAGAAAAGTAGATCGAGGTTAAAGAAGATCACTTTAATGATCGATAAAACTTAGATGTAAATAATTTAAGTTATTTTAGATTGAAGTTTCTTAAAATCAAAATATTCTGATAACTTCAGATTCTGGTGCTTAACTTAATACTTTTACAGAAGAAAATATCAGTTCAATTAATTCTTTTAGAGCTAGAGGACATCGAAAAAATAGAAGTTGTGAATCCTGCTAAATCTTCTGATTTTATAATATAGTTTTAATTAATTAATGATTATCGATAATGAAAAATAATAGATACGAGAACTTTTTGCAAATGATCAGAAATATGCTTAAAATGAAAAAAAGATCTAAAATGATTTCATAGTTTCGATGCAAGTTGCAAAATATGAGTTAAAAAATAGAGATGATCCATTACTTATATAAGCAGGTCTAATTTTGATTTTTATCCTTAGGTCTAACTGAGTAAAAATAATCCGTTTTTATTATATAAGGCAAATTTTAGACTGAAAATAATATAAGGTCAATCACATATTATATGATCTCTTAATTGCAGAATTAAAAAAATTAGTAAATATTCCATAATACTTTTAAGAGAGTTCTTTATCATTTACATTAATACAGAGTTGAAAACCTATTTGAATCTATCTAAATTTTATTCAATTTTTAAAGAATTTCCTTGTATCTATTTTGAAAATCTTTAAAAACTTTTTATACTACATGGTAACATTTTCATTAAATCATGGTTTTGGTTTCAAAATAGTATTTAAATAAAAGTCTTGAAATAAAAAACCATTTATCTTGATAAGTAAAATATAAACAATAAAAGACTAGAGTTGCGTAATTGCTGAATTATCAGTTTTTCAAAAAATAATAATTTGAGAAAATGCCTGCTTATTGTAAGGATTCTTCTTATCAATAATTTTAATAAGCATTTAATGGAAATCATTAAAAAATTGTCCAATAATCAACAAATTAACTTTATAATCTTGAATTGGATCAATATGAATTTACAAATAAAGGAATTCCATTAATTATTGATCTATGTGTTACAAAATTATTATAAAATCCTTAAAATATTCAATTAGAAGGAATATTTAGGTTATGCTCTGCATAAACTCAAGATAGATAGTTTGAAAGTTTTTTAATTTAAAAATAGTATTCAGAAATACTAGATTTCGACAATATCATAGTTATAGCAAATTTTATAAAGAGAGTTTTAGATAAATTAAAGTATTCAGTTGTTCCGTATTAATTTTATAATTAAATAATTTCTATAAAGCAATATTTTGTTCAAGAAACTTAGGCATTAATTTAGTAGTTCCCAATTCTGAATAGAAACCTATTTACTTTAATTATATTACTGCTATAACTGGTGGCTTAAAATTCTGATATCAATAAGATGACGTCAAGTAACTTATCTATTGTTTTTGGGATAAGTTTAAGTAGGCCACTAGAATATGAATAAGCTAATATTTAAGAACAATATTAAAAGTATAATTCTTTAAAGTATACTTTAGAATAAAAATAATAAATTAGTTTATTTAATTCATAATTGATAATGCTTCTGAAATATTTCCAAATTAAATAATTAATGATTTTTTACTAGAAACAGGGGAAGAATAAATAGAGTAACAATGAGAATAAGTAAATCATCATTTTAAAATTATTTAAATGTTATTTAATTAGCATATATTTTTAAATCATCATTATTTTATTTAAAACATTTTGCAATTTAAACTAAAGGAATTTGAAAATTTATATTAAAAATTAAATAAAAATTAAATTAAGAGTTTAGTTATATTAGAGTATAATAATTTGAATAAAAACCTTTACAAATGAAATAATTTAATTCTAAGTAATATAATAGTATTTATGGATCTGAATCTTTTTAAATAATACCTTTGTATATATTTATATGGGTTTCTTAATTAATTAAAATTTCATTTAAGGTTTATTGAGTAAAGATTTTAAAATGAATAAAGATATTTAAATGTCAACTAAAGAGAATAAAATAATTAATTAAGCATTAAATATCATTGTTTTTAAAAATATATACTATAGTAAGTAATGAAATTATTGACCATTAGGGTAAACTATTAATTATATCTAATTATAAATTCAAAATTAAAATAATCCTCCAACCTATTAGTTAAATGCATAGTCCTCTAATTCTTCTAATTCTTCACTTTGAGCATCTTAGTTGAATGAATCATTTTCAAAAGATACTTATTCTTCAAATTTATATTTTTAATATTACTATTACTAAATTTTTAATAAAATGAGTACTTTTTATTAATTATGTTTCAATAAATTTGAAACAGAGGTAGAACTATTGATTTCAAAGGTTAAAGCACTGCACCATGAATCCAAATTATCTTAAACTAATTAATCATAACTTCTAAAAAGATATAAAGATAAATATACTTTAAATTTGCCCATAATTATTGATTTAAAGAGTATTTTTCTATAGATTGATTATTGCCACCACAAGCATACAAGTTATTATCAAATATAACTAATTTATTCCTTAGATCTCTTCCTTCATTCATTCTACTTAAAGTTTTAACTACTTATTCATTAACATCATAAACTTATAAATCATATGAAAATCCTTGATTTGACCTAGGATTAAAATAATAATAATAAAAGTTACCCTCCTCCTAAAATAAGGATTTTATTATCATCATAAGAAATAGCAGCAGCATTACTAAAACCTTATTTAAATTTCACGTCTAAAACTTTCCACTAATTTTCTTTAACAGAATATCTTTCAATTGTATTTAATCTCTCTCTTCCATCAAAACCTCCAAATACATATATATATTTATTTATAGCAGCTGCTGCAGCAAAGGCACATTTTTATTTTTATAAAGGATCAATTATTTTCCATTCATCGGAAACCAAACTATATTTTTCACAACATGATAACATTTGTTTAGCAGATCCATCATATCTATATAATTTTATTAAATGTTACCCTCCTATAGCATAAACAAATCCATCAAGATATACACAAGCATGCTCTTTTCTTGGAAAGTACATACTTTTTAAAGCTTGTGATTAAAATCCTTTAGATGGTGATATTAACATTGTATTTCTACTAACTCCTCCTCCTGTTATTATTATATCACCACTTGGTAAACTTACAGCAGCTGCATAATAATTATATTCTAATGTATTCTATTATTTTATTTTTATATACATTAGGCATTTATTTATATATCCATTCATTATTTTCTATATTATATATTAATATTTTATGTTTATCACCAAAAAAGCATATTTAAGGATTAGATACGTCTTTCTTAAATTAACCAAATTTTTAAATTTCATTTATTAATTTCTAATCAAATACCAATTTTGGTAACTTTTTTATCTCACTAATCTTTAATTACTTTTATTAAGCCACATCTCTATCTACTTACTCTTCTAAATCATCTATTTCTTTTATTAAATCATTGTTTTTTAATGCTTTAACTCCCTCTATTTAGTTTTTTTATAATATTTACTTAATTCTGCTTATTTCTAATCTAATTTTGCTGTTAAACTTGCCATATTTGTCAATAAAGATTAATTAAATGCTAATTCTTAATCTATCTATTCACATTCTGTATTAAATATCTTTTACTGTTAATCCCTTAATTCTTACCTTCTTTATTCAACCTTTTTAATTAATCTATCAAATTACTCATCTAATTATTGCATCTAAAAATTTATGAATTTCAATACCAATTTCACATTTTCTAATTGCAATTGTTCTTTACAATTATCAAATCCTTTTACCTACTTTTCTAAAATCTCAAATTAAGTTTTTAATTTTGATTAGATCTTTCCTAATCGATTTTATTATAAAGACACTAATCTATATATTAATCTAATACCAGAATGCTCATATTTAAAAAACTTATGACCATAATGCTCTGCTATACATTCAGTGCACATATTTGATTAATCATCTTCACAAAAAAATTATAATGGAAGTTTTGTATGAATTGGGCATAATTCGAATTTTTTTCTAATAATTATACTATTATTTACTATACTTCCAAATGCTTGGAAGCTAAATCCATTGCAACATAATTTTTGCTTAATAAGTGTGGTTTCACATGGGGTTCATGCTTTGTTCTACAAAGTGGACATTCAATTCTCTTATTTACATTGTATATTGATTCAAGACATATAGAACAGTAAGTATGACCACAAAGTAGATTTCTTGCCACTCTATTTTGTGCATATAATTCCCAACACATTGGACATTCCATTTATTTATTTAAATTATTTATATTCTTCTAATTGTTTAATTTCTTAATATTCTTTTTTATCATAACACATATGTTCAACTGCATTATTAATAATAAAAATATTTCATAATATTAAAATAATATGTTTATAATTATTAGTTCAATTTCCTCTTTATTTATAAGGATCTAATTTTACTAATGTATAAAAATTAAAGTTTTAAAAACTATAGATTAAAAATAAATTATAAAACTATTATAAGATTATAAGATGATGCTTAATTAAATTTATAATATAGTCGCTGTCTTTTATATAAGACAATAAAACCAAAGAACTTCTCGTCAAATTCTTTTAAACTTTAAAAAATAAATATTTATATTTCCTTCTAAAATAATAAAATATATTAATTAATTTATAAATTTTGTAAAATTTAAATCTAGCTCTGAAATTATTGATTCAAAATAAATTTATATCCTTTAAAATAGATTAATAGATTTATTTTAGACTTATAAATCAAATTTATTAATTAAATTTATTGAATTATAATTATTTTATGCAAGCTCCATTCATGCCCTGTATCCTTGATAATTATCTTCTAAAAAGTGCTCATTCAATAGGATCAGGGATCAATATCCTACAAATTAATAAATTAAAAAAAACTATGAAAGGGAAGTAGAAGTCTTTCACTATGTATTAGTATTAGAATTATGTGATTGTATTTTTTTTTAAATAGCATCTCTAAAGTAATATTTAGAACATTGTTCTTCTATTAATGAAGAGCAAGCCCTCGATATATTTACCTAAATTTATAATGGATTTTCTTGGTAAATGGTTATTAAGTAATTTTAGTTTATAAAATCAAAAATACTGTCATAGACATATTAAACCATAAAATATAATGATCAAAAATAGTTGTATCAAAATAATAGATTTTGGTTTTTGTAAGAAATTAAACTATCTCGAAAATATTTAATAACATACAAAAGTCGGAACTTAAGGATATCAAGCCCCAGAAATTATGAGAGGGGATTATGACCCTCAAAAATCAGATATTTATTCATTGGGTATTGTTTTTTTATGAAATCCTTTATGGATTGTAAAAGCTTTAGAATCCTCAAGAATTTACATATTCTTTAGATAAAAAAGTTAGCGAAATGACAAAGACTTTAATTTAAATGATGCTATAAATTGATTCTAATGACAGGATTACTTGGAAAGATATTGGACCCTTTTTGAATGCAATAAAAAATAATTTTGGGGGTGATAAAGTTTATTAGATGTAATTAGATGAAAATTTAGAATAAAAATTTAATATTTTATAATAGACTCTTTTATAATGTCAAAAATTTAGCAAGGAAATAAATAATTATTCTACTTAAACTTTAAAACTTTTATTAATTAAAAAAGTGATTTTAGAATTTGAATAAAAGAAATTAGAACTTGAAGAATAAAAAGAAAAATTAGAAAATGCAATCAAATAGGTATAAGATGATTTAGATTTTTCGTTACAAAAATTATAGATGCTTTTTTTAAAAACAAAAATAAATAAATTAATATCAAATTTAGAAGATTAAAGATAAAGATCTCATAATGAAAATAGAGAGATTTATCATGAGAAAAGAATTTTAGTAAGTGAAATGAATAATAATTTCTTCATAAAGGATTTTACTTATTTGAATGAAGAGCTTTTCAATGAATAATCTAAAAATTGTAAATAAAATTTAGAAAAAGAAATAAATTATTGTTTCTCATTATTCTTCAATTCTGAATTTGTTTTAAATAAATATTCATTGTAAATTAAAATGTTGAAAATAAATATCTTAATAATTGTAAATTCAGAAAAAGATTTTGTAAAAATAAATTAATAAAATAGAGTTAAATTAAGGATGAATTATTCAATAACTAATTAATAGATAATAAAGAGCTTAGCATTATAGAAATAATTAAAAAAATATAAGATGAAAATTAGGCTGAAAAATTTGAAAAAAGTCTTTTAAATTTATATTAAGCTAAATTATTGTGCTAATGATCTATTTATCAATTATTAAAATTTCATTATTAGGTCATTAGAAATTACAATGAAATAAAATATATTAACATAATAAGGTTCATTCATATTACATTGATGGATTTGATTCGTTTTATTTTTTTTCTTCATCGTCATCTTACATTGGTTGTTCTGATTCACTCTCTTTTTAATTCATTTCTTTTTATAATTCTGAAAGCATAAGTGAGGATCTGAATTGCTAAGGACTTCCTTACATAGTTAATCTAATATTCATAATATATGAAAAACTTTGCAGGTGGTGTTTCTACAGATTGTAATTCTCTTGCATCAACACTTGGCTCTAATTAATCTTAATAATTAGAAATTTTTTTAAAATCAGTTCTTTCTGTAAAGAATTTGAAAATAAAACTTTTTTCAATTTTTTCAATAGTCTAATCATAAATTGAGATCATACAGAATGATTAATTTAATTGATGTGATTCTGAAAGAAATAATATGCAATTGATATAAATCCTGTTGAAATGAATGTCAATGATTATTGAATAAGAGTGAAGAATATAATTAAAACAATAGGGTAGTATTTATTTTTCAACTGAAGTGGAAAAATTAAAAATAAACTTTATCCATTTGGCGAGGTCACACATCTAAAAATTTATTTAAAGTTAACTTACTCTTAAATAACACAGAAAATATAATAATTCCATAAACCGTAGGCTTAAATTTAATAAAATGGAGAGTATACAAAAGATAATATCCATTATAGAAGAACACATATAAACTAAGTGAATTTTAAAAAAATAATTACTTGAGTGAGACATCCTAAAGTAAGAATCAATATGATAAAAACAGCAGTGGAATATTTTGACTCTAATTCTTCAAATTTTTTATATAAGCAAATAATAGCAAGCATTAAATCAATGGTATAATCTATCATATTGTTTATATAGGGATACAATGAACAAATTGTGAAAAGCATAATCTCTAAATTTAAAAAGGTATTGTTTATTATGGAGAGTTGGCAAATAAATCAAATGTAAAATTGGTGAAGAGATCAATAAAACCAAATAACCAAGAAATTCCAATTATAAGTTTAGTTCCAAATAATAAATGTTGCCACCAGATTCTAATAAATTATTCCAAATTAGCTTTTGGTTATTTATTCCTGTCTTATTATTCAGAATTCATATTCTTATAAAAATAATATTTAAGAAAAAAAAGAATGTAGTTATATTTGGTAACAAAATGTATAATAAAATACTGTTGAAATGTTTTAAAAATGTAAATAATAAAAAAAAAAGGTGATGATCTAAAGGATTTAATGAAAAAGAATTTAAAGAGGTTTGAAATATGATTTTTTTTGATTTATTTTTATTGATTTGAATATTATAAAGGATGATTAAGTGATATTTAAAGAATTAGATTTGAGATAGGTTGATTTTGATATTTATTATTCTTGGGTAGTTATTGTTGTAAGTTTAGCAAAGTATATTAAAAATTTATTTATGCTATCTAGATTGTGTGCATAAAAATTTACTACATAAATTTAGGGAGTTCCGATATAATGTAATTGTTTCATAAAAGTGATTTAGTATTGGAAGCAATGAAATTTGACATTCCAAAGGTGTAAGAGGAGCGATAAAAAAATATTAGAACTCTTACATGTTATCTATAAGATCGATTACATGACAGTTAATTGATGGAATTTGTTAGAGATGTTGAATAGATAAGAGAGAAGGTATTAGAATATTTTGATAATCGTATTATAGGAGTATACGAATACTTTACAATTGAAATCTAATATTTTCAGACTTTTCAATTAATGTATGATTTTATAGTAATTGCAGATCAAGTTTTAGATCTTGTACCATTGGCATTAAAAATAGATCTATAAGAATTGTAGAAAGAACATTTCTATGATGATTTTGAAAGAATAGATACAGAGATAAAAAGCGAATATTCATGTTTTGTTTAAAATCGAGCAAGTCTATTTTAGCCATAGAATAAAAGTATAACAGATTTTATTCAATATTAACGTAAACATCATAAATTGAGAATTGAATAAAATGTCAAAGTGTCAGAATTTACATAGATAATAGATGATGGTTTAATAAACACTCTATTACCAAAATAGGAGATTGATTCTTAAGAATCAAATAGTAAAGAGATATTTAAGAATTAATTGGTCTTGTCTAGATATTCTAGATTGATGAATAAGCATATAAAATAAAAGGATGAATGTGAACTTAGAACTCCTTTAGAATTAAGATAATCAGACAGTGTTGATGAACTAAAATAAACTAATTAAGTTTGTTTATATAATTTACCATATATATTGGATGATAACTTTAAGGAGGAGTGTAGAGTTTATTTTGAATAAAGATTTGGTGAAATAGAATCAATTGAGTATTTTGAGTATTCTAATTTCAAAAAATAAGTTGATTTAATAGCATCTCAAAAAGATAATGAGAATAAAGATTTTTATTAAAGTTTAGATAAGTTGAGTTCAACAAAGAAGTTATTAGAGAGAGTAAAAGTAAATAAGAATAAAAAGTTATATAAATCATATGCTGTGATTAATTTTAAGAATAAAGAATCAAAATAGAATGCTTTATATTAAGATTTAAGAATATTTGGTATAAAATTCAAAGATTTGTAATTGAGAATAGATGATGCTGATCATAAGAAATTACTTTATGTGAATAATTTATAGAAATATTCAAATGTTTAGTATTTGTTAGAATTCTTGAACATGCATTTGGGTATTCAATTTGAACCATTGGATGAGAGATTATTATTACAGAATAATATAGTATGTTTAATTTTAAAAGATTTTTAAGAAAGCTAGAGAGTTTTTGAGAAATTAAATAATTTAACATTTTCAGTAAATTTATTGAATATTTTTATAGAGATTTAAAATGAATTTATTTCATTATCCAGATGGATTAAAATATATGGGAAATAGAATAGCTGAACATTTCAATACTAATACAGCATTATAAGTTTTGGAATAGAATTTGTAAAAGTTAAGATTTGAAATGGAAGAGAATTGGAAGGAAATTGAATAATAAGTAGAATAAAGAAATATAGTTAAATAAGAGCCTTAATAACCTGTTAAATAAGAGATACAATCAACAGATATGCAATAATGCATAATTGAAATGATTGAAGACTCTTATTAAGAAGAAGAATTTCAATTGGAGCTCTTTGGTTTAGTATGGGATGAAGAAGCTCAATACTGATTATAAATATTAACAAGAATTTTTTGTATATAAATTAATAAAATAATATAATATGAAAACGTAATTATAAAAATGGGAGATTTTGAATTTCCTGCAACATTAGGTGATTTTAGAGGGGAAGATTAGACAAAGAATAAGACAGCAGCATAAATTTACAAATACTTAACAACAGTTAGTACTAATCTAATAGATGAACCAGAAAAATTAAATGAATGTACAACATGGTTAGATTTTGTTTATTTTTCAATAAAGAATGGAAATAGTAGTTAATAGATAAATAATGTTTTATCTGATATATTAAAGAATTAATTAGACAAAGCATATTTAGGTACATTAAAATTGGGATCTGAGAGAATAACAGTATTTTTAGCAAGTTGTTATTTGTGTTGGCATAATTAAATTGAATAATAAGAACATATAAAAGTATTGAAAAGTTTTGTAAAATATATAAAGACAAGTAAATTAATATAGGAATGTTTTTCAATGATAATGTCTGTGGCAACATCAAATTGTAGTAGTGTGATAGCACATTAAATAGTAGCATTTCTATTGAGTTAGAATAATGAACATTATTTTAATAATTTAGTCGTTGCTTTTTCAGCTTAAAACATAAATTGTGTACCTTTATTAAGGAGACTAAATAGATAAAAACTAGAAAATGAAGATGAAGATACTTAAATGAGATTTTAAGAATTATTACCAACATCTAATTCAACATTTATTGAATGTGTTATTTTAGAATATATAACAACTATTAAACCATTATATGCAAAAACTAGTAGAGAAGTATTAATATAAATGGTAAAATATTTACCAGACTTCTTTACATAGAATAACATTTTGCATACATTATTAAAATTATATGATAAAGAATAATGGATGATAAGAAATACAGTAACAATGACATTAGGTGAATTATTATGTTAATCAGTATTTATGGAAGAAGTGGAAGAAAAATTACTATAATTATTATTATTGAGAACACATGATTCACATGTACATGGAAGATCATGTGTATTATATTAATTAAAAGAATTAGTAAGTTCTAGATCAGTTAAATTAAATGCTGAAATTCTTTATAAAGCAGTTGAAAGATTAAAAGATAAGAGTAGTTCTGCTAGAAGAGCTGCTATTTCTTTATTAGATTCAATTATTAAAGCTTATTCTAAATAGTATGGAATTATGACATTTAAATCATCTTAATTAGAAAAAAATAGAAAATTATTAGAATTAGAGAAATAGAAACTTATAGAAGATTGTTAAAATTTATAAGAATAATTGAATAAGAATTAAATTGATATCAAATATTATTTAGATAATTTAGAATCTTAATTAAATTCTTGTAGAGATAAAGAACAAAAGTTAAAATCATAATAAGTTTTTTAGGATTAAATATAAATTGCAATGCCTGATCTAATTAAGATTGCACTTAGTAATATACATACAGAAAGTAAATGTGTCTTATAAGTATTTACTACTTTAATGATTAATCATTAAGAAGGTATGATTGAATATGTTAAACAAATCTTGGTTTTAGTTTATTAAACAGAATTATAAGAAGATTTAAATAAACTTATATTTAATTCATTTGTAAGAAGTTACTCAAAGTTGATTAAATTAATAGAAATTTGCGATATGTTAGAAATCACTTGTTTAGAATAACTATTCAAATCATTCAAATCTAAGAATCTATAATTAAAAACTGCAGATGTTTGGGATAAAGCATGGGATTATTTAAAATAATCTAAATATATATTACCTAATCTTAGATTAATTAGATTTATAGGAATTATGGATGATACACAATTATATGATAAATTATGTTATTTACTAAGACATTTAAGAGATACTAAATAATTTAGTGAAATTACTGAAATTATTTTGATAATCTAAGAAATACCTATTGAAGATGTTCACTAAATTTATATAAAGGAAATAATTAAGGCATTATAAAATTATGATGGTAGTGATTTAGAGTGGTTTAGAGCATGTGATACTTTTATTAGATTTACAGTTGAAAAGATTCAAAAACCAGAAATTACATTATTAGAATTTCTTAATTAGATTCCAATTGCTAATATTCCTCAATTAATGTTTGCTAGTAGTACAATTGGTTTAAAATTGTATGTCTATAGTGAAAAAATGATTAAACAATATAGAAAGGAAAAGAACCAACCATTAGATGAAATGGATTAAATGGATAATAGTATATAAGAACATATGGATGGAAAAATTAAAGAATTATAGGATTTATTTGAAAAAATGGGAGATTTAAGTGAATATAGTTCAAGTGCTGAAGCTATTTGTAAAAATATGATCACTGATTCATACAAAGAAAGAAATCTTATGATTGATTAAATAAGTGTAATGTCATTATTGTAATTCATGATTATTTCTAAATCTTGTACTCTTAGAAATATTAATACAATTATGGAAATCTTAGATTGTTAATAGGTTTAATCTATAATTAAATGTAATATAATAACCATGCTTAGTGATATCTATTATAGATATTCTGATCTCATTGATATTAATAAAGTACTATAAAAAATGGATGACAAAGTACTAAAAGTTAGAAGAACTGCTATCATTATTGTATCTCATTTAATGCTTATGGAATTACTTAGAATTGATGCTGCTTAAATTGCTAAACATATTAATGATTAAGATTAAACTATTAAAAAACATGCTAAAATCTTTTTTGTTGAATTATACAAAAAGGATAGTTAAAAATTTTATTAGGTCTTACCTGATCTAATTACATCTATGGCACATAATTATTAAGTTTCAGAAGAAGATTTTAAAGTTTTTGCTAAAGAAATTATTCCTTTAATTTAAAAAGATAAACTTTAGGAATAAATACTTGAAAAATTCTTAAATAGATTTGATATATTTGATAGAGAAGCATCTCTTAAAAATAGAAGTATTATGCAAAGAGTCTAAGAAGCTAAAGAAGATATTATTCCCTTTAATCCTGTATAATTAACTGCTGAAAGAGAATGTGTCTATTTGTCTTATTGTTTACTCTACCTTAAATTTCATATTGAAAATCTAAGATTACTTGTAACCAACTTTCCTCAATATAAAAAAATACTTAAAAATCCAATCATATTAGAATAATTTAAATAAATTTATTAAAAATGCAGAAAGGCTGCATCATCATGTAAATTGAATGCTAGAAAAACTGAGGCTATTCAATAATCACATGAATTTTCCTAACTATTGACCATTTTTAAAACTAATTTAGATTCTGTAGATCCTCAATTAGAAAAACTTTACCATCATCAATAATCTAATTTGTAATAGACAACTAAACCAAAAAAGATTCAAACTCAATATAGACCACCTAAAAAGAACACTAAATAATAAATAAGAATTCCTGATTCAGATGATAGTAGCAGTATGGAATTAGAATATTGATTGCATTATTATATAATTTGAATATTTCTTTATATATTTATTATTCATATTATATTCTTATTTGACTTCTAGTAAACTTTCATAAAAGTATTAGATTATGTTTTATTTTAGAATATTTTTTTAATTTTGATATAAAATAAATTTTAAGAAAAAGTAATGATATATAATGAGGATGAAAAAAAGTAAAAATAATAAAAATATATTTGAGAAATAAGTCTGTATAAAAATATTTAGTTTTGACATAGATTATAAATAATAAAATTCATTAAATCATCACACTAAATGTAACCAAATAATCTAATAGCAAAGTTGAATAATTTTACTGGAGTGTTGGAAGATCTGCTAATAAGATTTCTTATTCATCACTTTGACATTTGAACCATAATTCATTTTAAATTTGGTGATGGGATAGGATAAATTCAAATGGAACTTTATGATTAAAAACTCTGTGTTGGAATTATTGATTGCGATATAGATTCGTATCTATCATTAATTTCTGTAAATTTAAACATGTTGACTTCTTTTTCTTTTTATCTTTATTCAAAAATAATTTCATTTAAATAATCCTTTTCTACTTTATATTTACTTTTATAGGTATTAATTTTGATAGGATTAAATTATTATTGTCTAATATGCATCATTCGATTGAAATCAAGAGTTTAAGAGACTTTTTGTACTTTAAATTTATTTAGATCCTTAGATTCACTTTATTTAATTGGTTTGAAATTTACACTGACAATTTGAACATCAGGATCATCATCATAGATTTATAAGGTTTCTTTTTTTTAAACAATTTCATCAGTATCTAATTCAATATTAATAATTTCAGCTTCTTTGATTAATACTTGAGTGAATCTATTTCTAATATGTACTCTAATAGGTTCATCTGGTTTTTTAGGTTATTTAAGTTTTTCTATTTTTTTGGCAATCAATTTGTAATAATTTTTATATGCTAAATATCTTTCGAATCGACTGAAATATAAATATAAAACGATGTATACCCGATTAAAAGTAAGGAAGCAGAACTGAAACTAGAAATTGGTTCCCAAGTATGATGTTTTTTATCATATCCAAGCCATTTAACTGCATAATCTACTTCATTTCCTCTATCAAGTCTTTTTCCAAAAACATATTCTACTTCATAATGTTCTTCGTTATTGTCCATATTTAATAATTATGTAAATATTTAGAATGGTGATGATTATCAAATTTTAGCATACATATATAAATATCATTAAAAAAAAGTATCATTATTTTTTAATAAATTATAAAATTGACGTTAAACCTTTTTATTTACTTTTTGATTTGGAATTAACATTACTTTATTAATTACTAGTAGTTTATAATTAACTTTTATATTTTCTTTTTTTTGGATTGATTTCTTTGTCTAAATTTTGAGCAATATGAAAATCATCATGAGATTCTTTATCTTTTTTTAATATTTCTACTTAACAATTTATACAAGTGTAATAATCATCAGGTGAAATGATTTTATCTTATAATTGAGCTTCCCTAGCTAATTTTTCTGACTCTTATAATTCTAATGTTTTTTTAAAAAACATAGTGATAGGATTTTGGATACCTTGAATCATAGGTTTAAAATATCTACAACTAATACCTATATGAATTAGGGGAAACAATTCATTGTCTTATATTTAATTTAGAATGGAATGTACTCTATCTTCAATAGTTAATCTGAAACTTTCTAAAGGCAAAGTAATATAAAGAGGTTCACTTTTTTAATGAGATCCCTTTTCTACATTATGATAATGTATAACTAAAACAGATGGTACTAGATTAGAATCTTCATAATAATCAGTAACTCTCATAGTGATATCATGAATTATAAGTTCAAGGGATTGAATGACAATTTCTCTTGAAGATGTTTTTTTAATATTTTTTAATGATAAAATAGATTTGTTTTTTAAATCTACTTCTTTTTTAACTTATTCATCATCATATCCTCTCAATTTATCATAAATATATTAAGCTTTATCTGCGAATAAAGATTATAATTCATAAATAGACAACGTTTAAGCTTAACCAACAGTCTTTAATCCACTTTCAAGTAATGTTTCTTAAACTTTACCTCCAAAACCTCTTATTTTTTTAATGCTTATATTAGATATACATTCAGGAAGCATAGATTCTAGAATGATAGTTTATTTATTAGGTTTATTAGTAGCAGATGCTAATTTAGCTAACATTTTATTAAAAGAGATTCCTGCACTACATTTATATTTAGTTTCTGTATATATAGCATCTCGAATATTTTAACATAATAAAGATGCTTTTCTTAATAAACAATCTTATTCTGTTAATTAATAATCTTCAGGTAACTCTTTCATTAGATGACCATAAAATTAGTTTGATTATATATTTTCAATTTCTTTATCACTAACTTGAATATAACCTTCATCAGTTCCTCCCTTTTCAACACAATTACAAAATCTCTTAATAATACCAAATATCAATTTACTTTCTTATCTATAATATCTTAGACTTACTTTCTCTTCATATTGATTATGCTATATATATTTATCTTTTAAATTTGAGAATACCATTTTACCATCAATTACTTTAAATGTTTCTACATGAGGTAATAATACATCTGGACATAATTTTAATGCCTCTTCACTTAACATTCCTCTTTTAATACCAGCATCTCTTGCTGGATAATTAATTGCTATCAAACTATTCCATTGTCTTGCACATACTGGTTGATTCTCAGGAATATTTAATAACTTTTATTCTGCTTATGCATAATATGCATCCATATCTATATGAATGTAAACTTAAAGTAAACTATTCATTATTCAAATCAAACAATTAATATATATATATTTTAATAACATAATTCAACAACATCCTTACTTTTTTATACTACTACTATCATTATTAATAATATTCTCCTAATCCAATCTCTCACCTTACAAATTTTAAATCTAATCATATTTTTATTACTAACTTGTTATATTCTGATATATTTCTAATTTTATATAATATTTTAAACTTTCAATTATTTATGTAAAAGCTTAATCTACATTACTACCATCTTATGCACTTGCTTCCATAAATCCTACCTTATAAATTTTAGCTAATTCTTGACCTGACTCTGTTCTAATTGCTCTTAAATCTTTTAAATCTGATTTGTTCCCAATTATCATTATTACTATCTCTCTATCTGCATTCTCCTTCACTTCTTATAACCATCGTTCTATTGCTTCAAAACTTTATTTGTTTGTTATATCATATACAAGTACAGCCCCTATAGCTCTTCTATAATAAGCACAAGTTATTGCTCGATAACGTTCCTAATCTCCATTTATATTCACTTTACCTATCCTGCTGTATCCCATATCTATGCTTTTATAATCTTACCACAAATTTATAATGATCTAGTACCAAATTCAACTCCTATAGTAGTTTTTGACTCTATATTAAATTTGTTTTTAGTAAATCTCAGCAATAGATTTGACTTTCCAACGCCAGATTCACCTAAAATATCAATTTTATAAGTCTTTACCTGAAAGTACTATTTTAAATAAATAATCATAATCCACATCACCTTTGTTCATTTAATTAATATAGGATTATAAATATCAAGCTTGTACTTATATTTTATAAATAAAGATTTCAAATTTATACCAAAACTGTGTATCAATTAAAATATCAAAAATGTTAACTAAAACTACTTTTATCAATACAATACTAACATATACATTATTTTCGATTATCTTAAAAATATCAAATGAAAAAATTGACAATTCATAAAATAAGCTTTATTTTTTGACAAATTCTATCAATCTCACAAGAACTTTAGTAGTTCCAATTTAATTAATTTTAGTTAAATATACTAAGAAAATATACACATATTTCAACAAGAAATGATTAGATATTGCTAATTTAAAAACAAAAGTTAAATATTATGATAATGAAGAAATCTATTAAAATTTGAATATCTCTTTAAACAATTCTTCTTCTTTAATCAATCTCATATACTTTCATTATTCATATGATGTGTAAATAAAAATACTCTCAATCAATTATCTAGAAATATATCATAAATATCTTTGTATAGCTGAGTCTACTAGCTCTACAAGAGAATCAAATTACAGTTTGAACCATTATTAGAAAAAATTCAGATTAAATTGGATCCTCAATTTTTTTACAATTATAAAATTAAAGATATTTTGATATTTGGAATCTTTATTCTACTAACATTTGATATTCCTCATATTCAAAAATATTTATTTTTTAATTTCCTTATAAAAAAACAACTTTTTTAATAACCTCCACTTTTTATCTTCTCATCATTTCTAAGTTCTATTATTTTGTTGAAATACTAAAATCTTATTATATTAATTCCACAATGTTAATGAATATAAATTTTATTCTAAAATACAATTAATAAACTAATTGACTATTACTATAAGGATAATTCTAATCCCTATTTAGGTTTTTATAATCATTTATTCTAAATAATGATCTTCTCATTTTATTATACATAGCTTGTTTGATAAACTTAAATAAATGTCTTTAATTTTAAAATAAAAAAATTTTGTTTTGGCAAACTCTAGATTATTGAAGGATATCTTTATTGTAAATCTTAATTGAAGAACTAAAGGATATAAATTAGGTCATTATTCATTATTTTCTTAAATTAGAATGATATTATTAATTCAAATATCGTGGATGTACCAATAGAACTAGAATATTTATTATAGAATATAGTACAACTTTAATATAATCAATTGAAAAATTCTCAAGTTTATAATGATAATCAAAATTTCAAAGTATGATTCTTAATTTATTTTATTACTTTTTTAATGTTAACTTATTTTAATAATATAAATGAAATTGAAAATTGTACTCTTATTTACCATCATTTGTCTTGTAACATTGAGTACTTTCTACCTAACATCATCATAAAGTGGTACTATTAAAAATAATTATTTTAGATTAAACTTAACTTAAATTGAAAAAATTTAAAGGTACTAATACAAAACACAAAGGATATTGGAATGGTGATTTATAATGCACTGCAAAATGTTAAGCTTAAGATGGAATTAGCTGTGGATAAGCATGGTAAAATTGCTGTCGTCCTTCATAATGTATTTCTGAATGGTATGGTGCTTAAAATTGTAAAGACAGAATTCCAGTTCCTGGATGTTCAGATGATGAAAATTGATTTATGGTTATTATCTTAGATTATAAGTTTTATAATATACCATTCTTTAACATTTAAATTATAACACAAAAATATACAAAAAGATTCATAATTACTCATATCTAAAAAGATATGAGTAATAATGCACTCTAATTAATTTCAAAGTATTCTCTATATTTTTGTTTTTTTCTCAATAAATTCCTTAACTCAAAATTATATCTCATTGTTGAGTACTTATGATCATGTACACATTTTTCATAAAAGCCCCAAACCTTGAAGAATCTTCCAAAACACAAAGAATTTGAAATATTATCATACGAAGTCAGTCAGTTTCTTAAGGAATCTTACAATTTCAGAGATTATTCCTTTTAATTAAATTTTTAGTCAAAATATCTCCACACCTTTCATTTAAAAAAAAAATCTTTTGTTTCAACTAATATTGATATTTTAAATATAGCTATAATGCAAGTTTTATTTTATCGAGAAATGAATCAAATTGATTTTTAAAATTAAGATCATGTATTTAATGTTATAACAAAAATTTTAAAGTTTTCTTTAAAATTTAGATGGTTCAACAAACAATATAGATTATTTTGTGAGCAAATAAATTTATTTTTATTTCATGTAAAACTCAAATAATTATTTTTATACTCAATAATTATCTAAAAACATTATTTATATATAAATTTTATATGAAAATAAAATAAACCTTAATAAATGAGTGTGTTTATTATTCCTTGATAATTTTAGGCAATGCCTCTAATAATAAAATCATAAAAATGACTCCAAATGAATGTTATTATAGGAACCAATTCATGAATTTTCATGGCACTATTAAAAATTTTTAATAATTAAAAATTAGAAGAGTTAATTCTAAAAAACATTTCTCATAAATTACTAATAAATTGATTGAATATCATCCTTATTATCAAGGATAGACTTTATATTCTTGGAAAGAAAATACATTCATTTTATTCCATTGATTTAAGATTTCATTTTTGAAAAATCGAGAAATATTTTAATAAGAATTAAAAAAATCTTAATATTAATCTTGATTGTCTAATAAGTGATAAAGTTTCTCTAAAAATAATAAATTCTAATGTAAAAAATGACAATAAAAATATTTTGTACATTCTTTATGAGTTTAATGAAGTTGAAATAAACTTATAAAGGCCTAGTATTTTAGTGAAAAAATATTTTTCGCCTACGATAACTATTACCAAATGTGTATAAATACCTATTAATAAATTTAGTGATTTAATAGTAATCAATCTTGAATATTTTAATATCTATCAGTTTATATAGGATGCAATATATAAAGAATATTCTGATTGTATGGAAAAACATATGTGATGAATGTTTAAAATTAGAGATTCTAAAAAATATAATAATTTAAGACCTATGCTTAAGATGATAATTGTAGCGAGTGGATAAATTCTTTATTGATAATTAAAAGAGTTTTGAAGTATGAACCATCAAGAGAAATTCAACAGGAGAATGTAATATGAGGAATAGATGTGATTTAAATGACAATTTACTGACTTAAACTTTAGTATTGTAAAAGAAAAAGAAGAATAAAAAAGTAGTTTTATTGATATAGAAAAGGATTGATGGATAAAGAATTGACTTTAACTAATTAAATCTTTATTTATATTAATATAATCAAAATATGTTACAAGCTACATAATTTCTCTTTTCAACTATTTTTCTCAAATCATTTTCTACTATTTTATAATTTAAAGAGATGTGTCGACTATGCTATCCAAACTCTGCACTAGTTCTATCTTCAATTATTGGATCCATAGCTGTCACTAGAGGTTCTTGAGTTATTCCTTTAGATGATGGAAATGGAGTTTAAGATGTAAATATATTAGAATACATTCTATTATTTATCAAATAATTACGTCATCATTGGTGTCTAAACAGATTGATACACAGGGTTAGAACTAAAATAAATAGTTATATATTTACAACTATGTTTGATTATTCATTTAATATTATATAATATTTCATTTATATTAAAATTTCATATATCTAAACAAAATAAATATACCATTTTTCATTCGCTAACAACTTTCTTATTTGATTTTCCTTCTCTACTTTCTCTCTTTTCTACTATTTTCTGTTTTTCAAATTAATTTTATAACATCACCCCACCAATAATAATTAGAGAAACCAAACCTATTAATACAGCTAACAATATTATGTGCACTAATTTAAATTCTTATTCATTTTGCTAAATTATTAAATATAATTTCTTACTTTGAATGGGAACAACCAACTAACATCTCCCACATATTTATAAATTAATGATTATCTATTTATTGACATTTGAAAAAGTATTTGAAGTCCTTTTGCCATTACGCTTGCCAAAAATACATAAAGTGGTGTAATAAATACCAAAAGCCAAATGAACATCACTTGTTAGGAGAAAAAAGAAAAAACCTACCCTAAAACCATCTTTAATTAATACTTTATTTTTAAATAATACTAAAAAAAATAATTCACTTATTTTTTGTTGCTCATTTCTTTGCTTATGTCTGTATAGAAAATATAATTCTTATTATTTTAAAATGTTTTATCTTACAAATTTTTCCATCTTGATTTAAGAGCAGTTAATCTTTTATTAACTCTTATCTTTTCTCAACAACATAAAAATTAAAAAAAAAATCAAATATAAAATGATCTAATCATAATACTTCTTTTAAATTAAAAATATTCAAAAGTACTAAAATAATATCAAAGAAAAAAACTTCATTAAAACATTTTCAGCATATTATTATGAGGAACAATAAAAATACTTTATTTAGAAAATTTAATATTATTCTAATATATTTAACTTAATTAATTACACATATATTTTATCGAATTAATTGTTAATTTTTCAAAAAATTATTTAAACAAAATTTTGAATATTATGTTTCAAGACCAATAGATTAAGATAAACATAGAATTACTAAAACAGAAAGAGAAGGGTAAAATACTAATTTATTTTAAGAATGATAAAAAATAAATAAACCTTTTTAAACAACTCATCATCTTTTTGTCAAAATTAATTGTTTAACATTAATTGAAATGATGATATATTTGATTTTAAGATATTTTGTGCAATTTCTTTCTTGATATTGAAGAATTGTTATACAATTTCTCTGTAAATTTTAATAAATAAATCAGCTTTTGTTCAATTGAAATTAATTGATGATATTTATTCAATATTTATTAATGAATATTAACTTAGAAAGAGACTAATTAATGTACTGATTAATTCTAATTTTTCGTATTAAATGTTTTTTTTCATGATTAATGAAAAAATAATGAGATAACACATAAATAAATATTTATAATTAAATAATGGGAGTTTGTACATCTAGATAAAAGAGAACTTTAAGATAAATTGGAAAAGCTGAGGTTTAATTAGTCTTAGAAAATCTTTCAAAGGAATCTTAAATCAATGATTTCTATAAGATTTTAAATGGTCAAACTTAAACAGTGTTTGAAAATTTGTTAAATAACAAAAATATCAATCGTAATATAAGTTAAACTGAGTACGATTTCTATTCAAAATAAACAGAAGAGTTGAGTCTCTTGAATACTTATCTTTAAAATTATTACAACAACTATTATAGGATTGTAATCTCCAACATAAAAAGTGAAAATTTTTATTACTTTGAAAATTTAAATCTAAAGTTTGTAATCTAACTCTATTTGGCTATGAAAACAATTAAAAATAATGGAAAAGAGTGGTGGAATTAATAGACTTTTCACACTCTAGAAAAACTCATTACAAATAGATTCGATATCTATCCAAAAGTTGTTTAAGAGGGAAGAATAACACCATTCTTAAATTTTATACTACTTTTAATAAAATTAAGCATTAAACTTATGAAATTAGAGGGAATGACTCTTTAAGAAAAAGAAATTGAATTCATATACGATACTAAGGGATCAATGCTCTACAATTAAATTAAACTTGAACTTTTAAATTGAATCTTATTCTATATTTTACTCTAAACATAATAATCTATTTTTTACATTCTAATCTATCTACAAAAAAAAAACGTAAATTTATTTTTAATAAAATATTAATTCTAATTAATATAAATTTTTAACGAATCAAAATAATGGTTAATATAAATGTTGCAATAAGAATTCTTGCTTGTAATATTGCCTGTACTTATTTATTTCTTGAAATTATTTTTAAATTATTTTTTAGAGTAGCTATTGATTGAGCTTTAAATCTAAGTAAAAATCAATAGTTTTAGTTTCTAATTTTCTTCTTTAAAAATTTAAATAATTTGAAACTGTTAAAAATTAGAGAGATTAAATAGCAATACAAATACTATATTATATAAAAAAAAGCCTTGTTTTATTTACAAATCTTATTCTTTCCTTTTAAATTTTATATAACATGTAAATGTAACATTTTTGCGGACATAGATTTCTTAATGTTTCAATATTTAATGTTTTTTTAATAAATACCTATTTTTTGTCTGTAATTAATGTTATCGATTGATTTTATTGGTAGTATAATATTTTATATCTCATTAAACTTTAACACAACAAATGTTATTTTTAAATGGGATATTCTTTTAATAAAGTTAAATAACTCTTTATATTTAATCATTATTTATTACTTCAGTATGATTGTTAAGAGGAATAAAATAGAATTAATCACTGCTTTTTTTAATTAATACTATGGGAAAGTCTAGAAGGAGAGGATTTCAATTATTTTATCAAATCTCGATTCCTTTAGCTGAGTCAAAGTGAATATCAAAATATCTCGAATAGATTTAAGATGAGCATCAGAAATAAGCTAAAAAGTTTAAGTTTTAAGAAATCTTTTTAGCGTCTACCATTTAATTTGTTTGATAATATTTATAAATAAATTTTCTTAGGAATTATTTTATTTCTATCAAACTTTTAACAGATTTTACTCTTTTTTTATGGTTGAAATACAACCATTCATGATATAAATAAATAAATTTTTTGATGTGCACTATTATTGTCAAAAGTAAATTTTAAATTCTTAGTTATGTTTTCAGATTATATTTTCAAATTATCAATTATGAAATTATTATCATAAAAGCTTTTCTTTTTGAATGTGAAAAACACATTAATACTTAATGCAATAGAAAAAGATTTGATATTCAAATTAATTATTTATTTTATAATTATACTAATGTAAAAAATATATATCACTTTTCATTTTTAATAAATTCAAATAATAACATTGGATCTTTAGTATCATATGCTTCTATATAGAATTTTACCGAATCTCTACTTATCTCATTATTCTTTTGCCTAAAGTAAGTAATTATATCATTATAATCTTTTTCTGAAATTGTTCTATTTTAAAATGAAAAAATTATTATACTTATCATTATCAGAACTTTGATTGCCAAGGAATGGATAAAGAGGTGAATTTTGATTTTGTTGATTTAATTATTAATTGGCTCGAATTTTTCTTACATTTGTATCATTGGGAATCATAGGTTAATTATTATTTTTAATTTAGAAATTCATTTAAGCAATTTATGTTTGAGAAACTCTATTTTCTAAATCTACTTTATAATCTTAATTTAGATAGTATTTATCTAAATATTATAAATTGTTTTTCATAAGTTCATTAAATTTTTCATCATTAATTTCGAAACTAATTTATTTTTATTAATATACAATTTTGAATTTTGAATATCATTTAAATCCAACTAAAGTAAGGGATGATTAAGTTATATTGAATCAAAATTCGGTCTTTTTATTTCAATATGAAAATTATTTTATGAAAATATTTATGATTGTCTTGATTATTATTTTTATGGTTATTCAATGTTTAAATTTTTTTATTTTCTTAATTCTGTTATTGAAATTTCTGCTAATTGCAAATCTCCAAAAATTCCTGAAATCATTTAATAAAAATATATATGATAATATAAATATTAAAATTATTAGTAAAATAAGAATGGAAGCATTTGTAATACTGAGAAATATTATTAAACCAGAATATCTAAACTATTATAAAGATTGGATATTTATAGCAAGTTAAAAAGAAGCAAGAGGTTTATAATTAATTGGTGCAATTTATAAATATAAAGGAAGAAAATTATTTAGGTAATATCAATATGATAAATTTAGAGCAAAGCCTCTAACAGTTTAATTATAAGAATTAACAGATTAATAAGAATTAAAGTAAATTTAAATCACTTAATTTTGATTAGTTTTAAAAAACTGAAGAAATGCATAGAAAAAATTAAACATCTACAACTTATGGTACTGAATTTGGATATTTATACAACTATTAAAACCTCAGAATAATGTGTTTAAATTTAAAAAATGTTCTGAATTAGAATTTGCGTATCCTCTAAATGATTTAGCAAAATTATTTTTGAATTATTGGATTGAAATGAAATGATGAATTAGAATTTCAAGAATTAGTTTTAAATTGCTTAAGAGCACTGTTTAGTCGATTTAAAGCATAGTTAGTGCCAAAGACAGAGATGAAGTAATTCTTAGTTTAATAATTTTATTAGAGTAAAATATGAATATAAATCTGACTGGAATCTATCAAATCCAATAAGAGTAGATAAAACAGGAACAGAAATTCAGTAATTATTTTTTATATAAAAGTGCATATAAAACCAATTATAATGTTATTTTCAAATAAAAATTAAAATAAGAGTAAATTAAATAAAAAATAGCTGAATTAGACGGAGCAGATTTCGCAAAAGCATTAACAATCCATAAATCTTTTAAAATAAAGTTATATTATATATTATAAAGACGATATTAGAAATATAATTTAATATTACTATGGATTTTTTTATTAGAAAGAATACTAATAATATTATAAATTTTAGATTTACCAAATAAGTTAGCTTTTATAATTTTCGCTTGCTTATATGACTTTATAACTGTCTTGTAATTACTCAACTAATTAGTTGAATTTTTTCATAATACTTTCTTATTGAAGAAAAATACTTCTTTTTTTTCTTCTATTTAAAATTATTTTATTTGTTATTAAATAAAGAGTTGACTTATTTCTTAAATATTTCCTTCATAACCTATTAATGAACAATTAAAAATTTAGAAAAATAAATTTCTTTAAAAATGATCTAAATAATTATACTCATAAAATTTTTTTCTTAATAATTTTAATTATCATACAAATGAATATATTTTATTGATATACATTATGATTCAATATCAAATATCATAATTTAAACTTATTCTGTATGTTTTTGAAATATTATCTATAGATTTATATGAATTGAATCTTTGCTTTTTTTCATTGATAATATCTCATTTTGAAAATTAAGAAACCACTCTATCAGAATAAATTGAATTTTCTTTTTTTCTTTAAAATAATTAGAATTTTTGACATGGAACAAGAGGAGATGATTAATCTATCCAATCCACTTAAGAGACTTCTATTTTATTGGAGTTTTAAAAATAATTTAATATATTACTTAAGTACTATTCTTTTTTTATTACTTCTTTGTTTTTTAGACTCGAAATATCTATATATCTTCTTTCATGTTTCGGTTTACTATTATCTTTATTCTCTTTTTTATCCTTTTTTACTAAATTATTGTAGTTGTCTTCTATTATTGCTATGATATTGAGAATAATTCTTAATATTCTTGCAGTTCCCTAATTTACTCTATACTCTATTCTTTTATTTAATATTCTAATCATTTTAAATAATATTTTAAGCTTCGACTTTCTTTTTCTAATTATTATAACATAATAGTATTTCTATTTTTCGATTCAATTAGATCTTTGAAAAACTATTCCAAATTTTATTATAATTTTTTATGAATTATGTTCTAAATTTATTCGAATGATGATTATAAACCTGTATTAGTTTTAGGAATAGGTTTAAATAGTAAATAAAAGTATAGATATTATATTTCAGATTTTAAAATATTAATTAATCATTGTTTGAATTTAAGTTTAAGCCACTAATGAAATACTTATTCATTAATATTTTTAGCCATTTACATAGGTTTACTTAACAATAATTCCTTAACACTTGGTCTTTATTTAGGGTCTTTATGTAAACATTTCAGAATAATCTCTTTAGTTTCAGGAAGCCAATTATATTCTTAAAGATATTATTCGGCATCAAAATCCATAATGTGTTTCATTTGTTGAATCTGCGAGTAATCCTTTTTCCTGTGTAATTAATTAGCAATACTTAAAGGGATGTTGACCACTCAAACATTCTATTAACATGATGCCTAAACTCCAAATATCGGCATCCATTCCATAATTCATAGACTGTAATCTCTCAGGTGACATATATATAGCTGTTCCAATATATGTATTCAAATATTATCCAGTTGATACGGTCTAACAGATACCAAAATCAGCAATTTTAACATTTCCTTCTGAATTAATTAGAATGTTGTGTGGTTTAATGTCTCTATGTATGATTTTATGTTTGTAATGTAAATAATCTAATCCTTATAATATTTTATAAGTGATCATCATCATCATCGGTTCTTTAATAAGTCCATCTTTTTAAAGTAGTTTATCTAAAGAACCTAGATCCATATATTCTAGCCAAATGCAAATGTAGCCTTGGGAATAGAATGCACCATAACATTATACAATGAAATCAGATTCACATGAAATTAAAGCATCCAACTCTCTTGTTAATAGTTTTTCTTGATTAGTATCAGAGAGAAATTTGATTTTCTAATAAAAATATATAATATTACTTTCAATGCATACAATTCTTATGTTCCTTTAAGTTATACCTTTTCAACACTCCCAAAACCTCCTTATCCCAATTTAGTAACAAGTTCAAAATCATTTAATGTAATATTTTTTTATTTCTAATCTTTTTTGCATTGTTTATGATATTTAATTCCTTTTTCATTTAATCTAAAACCTTGGAAAATAAGGGATCCATTTTCAGAGCTAATAATAGATAGAAGATAGGAATATACAATTAATTCATAATATCATCGTCTTCACAACAATTAATATCTAATTTCATTTAAATTAATATAATAATAAATGTAATAATAAGGATAAGCTCCATTATAAATAGAACATTATATAATAGGTAAAACATTAGGTGTAGGTGCATTCGGAAAAGTGAAATGTAACTATTATTGAATAGATTAGTGGCTAAGCATAATATAACAAATACTTAAGTGGCAATCAAAATAATAAACAAAAGAAAGATGAAAAATTCAAGAATGGGTGCTAAGATAAGACGTGAAATAAGATTATTACGATATTTTAATCATCCTAATGTAATTAAGCTATATGAAGTTTTGGACACCCCAGGAGATATTTTTGTGGTAATGGAATATGCAGAAAGAGGAGAATTATTTGATTTAATAGCATAAAGAGGTAAATTACCAGAAGGGGAGGCTCGTAATTTTTTCCTTTAAATATTGAGTGGTGTGGAATATTGTCATAACAATTTGGTAGCACATAGAGATCTAAAACCAGAAAACATTTTAATTACTCATAATTACGTAGTCAAAATTGCTGATTTTGGATTAAGTAATCTTATGAAAGATGGCAAATATTTAAAAACATCTTGTGGTTCTCCTAATTATGCAGCACCTGAAGTGATATCAGGAAAGACTTATTGTGGTTCTGATGCTGATGTTTGGAGTTGTGGAGTAATTTTGTATGCATTACTTGCAGGTTTCTTACCATTTGATGAAGAAACTACTTAGGCTCTTTTTAAAAAAATAAAAAGTGCTGATTATACTATACCAAGTAGTTTTAGTCCTCAGGTGAGAGATTTGATAAATAGAATGCTTACTCCTGATCCATTGAAGAGAATAAAATTTCATGAGATTCATCTTCATCCATACATGAGAAGCACTTAAGTTCCATTTTATTTATAAATACCATTTAAATTAGATGAAGGACGAAGATAAATAAATGAAGATGTCTTTGAGAAATTGATGCAATTATAAACAGTTAATTTTAGAGGTATGACATAAACTCAAATTCAGAAAAGTATTAGAAAAAGAGAGGATAAATCATTTGTTGTAATTTATGATTTACTTCTTGGATAATTGGGAATAGAATCTTCAACTCCTATGACTCTTCATAATTTAACAATGCATGATTTAATATTTAATCCATAAATTCCTTAGATTGAAGGTTAATCATTTAATAATTGTTTATTAAATGAAATCCAGAAACCTTAACCTTATGATTATGGAAAAGAATTACCAAAAGATATAATGGCAATTGTTTATCCTTTTTAAGCTAGATAGATAGTAAATGCTATCTATACTTGTTTAGAGAAATTTAACACTGTTATTAAAATAAAAAGTCCTGATTACAAATTGAAATGCTATCATAAGAATCTCATAAAGATGACAAAGTATAATTCGAGTATGGAATTGTTTAATGAATTCTAAAAAGAAGTAGAAGAAACTGGATCTAAAAATGATTTAGCTTCTTTAACTTTTAAAGATGATGGTAAGAAACCAAAAGTAAAAGAAAACAAATATTCAGCAAAAGAGATTATATTTAACATATAGATTTACAAGGTATTAGATAATAATAAATTTAAAGATGCCAACGAATAATAATGATCATATGATTGATTTTTAATTATGCAGAGGACATCCTGTAGTATTTATGGATTTTTGCAATAAAGTGATAGCTTTGCTAAATTAACACTTCAATTAAATTTGATAATTTATTTCCAAAAAATATAATAAATAATATAAGAACATTCATTTATTATTGGTTTTTTTAATTTTTTTACTAACTCCTGGTATTTAAGATTCATCTTTCAATTTTTTGAGATAATCATCAATAGTTCTTTCTAATTCATTAGCACATTTATAATAGATTGTATCAGGTTGATTATAACTTCTACAATTAGTGAAGATTCTCTTTACATCTTTAATAAAGAGATCTTTAGAAGTATATTAATTATTTTGTAATTTCTTTTCAATAGTCTTAATATCAATAGGATCAGTGATGACATCATAATAATCAGGTACATCATCTTTATTGACAGGTTCAAGAAAAGGCCAAGCTGATTTATGTTTTCTCATAGTATCAATAATCTATTAGCATGAGATCATAAATGTTTTTTCTTTTTACTTTTTCAATTCATTATAATCTTCAATGGTCCAACCACTTTCTAATATTCCAGATACACTTTCTGGTTTGACTGCTGGTTTATCTCCATTTTAAGTTTCCATTTTATAGTTCTATTAATCTATGCCAGGATAGACTCGTTCATTTAATGTCAACTTTTTAATTATATCTATCATAACCTTGATAATGTTTAATCTAATACTTATTTTTGTTCTCTAATCAAATCACTTATATTCCCATAATCTATATTAGGATGTACATAACATTCCATTAAAGTTCCTCCATCATAATCCTTTATGAACCCTTTCCATCTATCTTAATTCATCTTTATTTCTTAATAGAATCCCTATTTTCTAAAATATCCTATTGCATAATTGTCTGCATAAGTAAGTAAATATTCCACATCTTATTTTTAAATATGCTCCTTAAATTTATTCATCAACCTTGTACCATATCCTTTAACTTATAAGTTAGCTGTTATTGCTAAAAATGCTATTTCAGCAAATCTCTATGATGGATATTTCCTATAACAAATTCCTCCTATCACTTTAGTATTATCCTTATTTTATTAACAATTCTCATACTTTTATTATACACATTGATTCATGATTCCTATCAAATACTAATCTAACTATATATTCTTTAGGCATTTTTGGAAGTTATCGAGCAAATATATTTTTTAAGTCAATCAACATCTTCATACTATCATGAGAACCATCATTCGTTATTATTTTGAAATCAATCAAACCTTAATCCTCTTCCACTTTTGCTCCTTAATCTCTATTCGTAAATCCTAGACCTGTCTATTCACCATTTATTCCCACAAATTATTGAGACATTTAATAATTATTATCATACAAATTAAATCATTCTACTATCTAATTCCCGCATTTCACATTAATCCAAAAAATTTATACCTACTTTATTTAATATCTCTCTTTCTCTCTTTACTCTTGCCTTACAAATTAATCGTTCTCCCTCTTCACTATTAAATTAAGTGTATGAAAATTTAAATTATGGTAATCCAACTACTTAAAGAATTTTATCATAAATTTCAAAGAAGTTGAATATTGATGCCATTATCAATAATATTGGTAATGAATATGAAAATGACATCCCTAATACAGAACTTGTATCCATATTTCCTACAACATCTTCAAATGGTGTTCCCTATATATGAATCATTTGAAGGAAATTAAATGTCAATGGAAAAGATACTCTTGAAAAATTACTAATTTTATTTTTTAATCATTCTTACATTGAACCGAACATTAAACTAGGTGCATCAGTTTATTAGTGATTATAAAACCCATACATTCCAGCAAAATTAATATGAAATAATCCATAAAAGGCGCAAAAAGATATATACATCAATGGTATTAAAATGGATATTTATGTCTGGATGAATCCATTCACTTTGATAATTCTACTTAAAATATTGAAGTCAAATTCAGTAAAACATGATATTTCTGACAATATCACTATACTAGATAATATTGAGAAAATCACACATAAAGATAATAAATAAGCTTTCTTTATTTTGGTATACCATAACCATTGTAATATGTCAATATAATGACCAAACTATCCAGTCTTTGGATAACGAAGAGTTGATCTAATTTTGTAATGTACACTGAATTCATTATCAATCATATCTTCTAATAGAAAACATTCTGTGCAAACATGATCCCATTTAGTTTTAGCTCTCTTATATTCTGCAGCTTTCTTTTTGGCTCTCTTATTAATCTCACAAAATGATGATATTTATCTAACTTCAATGATATCCAAAGTCTTATGAGAAGCATCTTCAATAATTTCATATGGGATCTAGATATTTAAAAAGTTTTACTTCATTCAATATAGAGTCTAAGCATGTTTAGTTTGGATAAGTATTTTTATTTTATATTAATTCAATAGTCATATTGAATAATTAGATATAAAGTTCTTAAATAGTATGATTAATTTATGCAGCCTCTAAATAAAGTGATTTTAAACATTTCTAATATTGTGCTTTTCTCCAATATTCTCTAGGAATTGCTACTAAACCATGTCCCAATAAAATAACAACTAACAATATACCACTTTGAATATAATTAATATATACAAAGCATAAGCTAAAGCAACAAGCACTTTTAAAATAGAATCAAAGTCAAGTTTGTTGAAAATTGCCAAGTAGGCAATGAATACAAGACCAAAGATCATAAAATAAGCATAGATAATTAGATTATTCTTAAAAGAACGTATTAATTTATCTTTAAAGCTGAATTCACCGGCATCTTCATATTCTTAGCAAATTGGTAAAATTAGCCTAAAACGAATAAATAAATGAATCTCACCAACATAAAATGAAATTACCCCAATAAATCCATTTCCATAATAATACAATGTATTCATAGCCATCACCATAATCATTGAGAGTGTAATAGATATCATGTGGTATGATAAAAACAATCCCAAAAGAGAGGATCCATGAAATGTATGTTAATAGCTTCACATAGAAAGGTACTTGCTATTATGAGTATTCTCTAACCAGATATCCTACATAAAACAGTAGAGTCAATCCCTCTAAGATAGTCAATATGAACATAAGTTATAAATATTAAAAGTAATATAGATTTTTAATGATTATTAATTATTTTAGAACATCTTTTTAATTCTCCATCCCTTTCATTTATTTTCTATATTCTAAACGTCTTTATGATACTATCCAATTTCATATATCCTACGAAACACATAAATCTCACTAAATAAAAAAATTGCAATAACTTTAATTCTTAATAAATATAAATATCCTCTAAACAATAATAATCATTTCATATCTCGACTATATTTTAAAATCAAATCAACCAAACAAAAAATTTATTTGTTTAATCATTACAACTATTTTTATATCAATCTTTACTCTCTATCTTCATATTGCTATCATATATTATAATTTACTCTATTCCATTATTAAATTTTTCAATAAATCTTCAACTGTCTAACAATAACTCTTGCGATTAGAATACTATCCTGAAATTCAAATAAAAATGCTTATTTTACTGGAAAAAAATCAAGAAACTGGGATACAGTACTGCATCCTAAATCAACAAATACAGAAAAAACATCATCTTCTGTATGAAATAAACAAATTAGATTAAATCCATTTTTATTCACATCTAAACCTAAAGATATAAGTAAAACTAATACTCTCTTTCAAACATTGCAAAAAGAAGGTTCCATTAATTATTATATATCACATTGAGATAATTATTCACCAACTTGAAAAAAATCACTTTATACTCTTGTTTTATACACAATAATAAATTCAAGTATTATAAATTCTTTATTGCAATAATCTTCTTCTGTCAAAAAATTTAAACCTAAACAATGCAATTTATAAATGTTTTCTTAATTAAATTTAACTTATTGTACTAATGCAATTTTTTTTATGCTAAATTACATATATTTTATATTATAATAATGATATTTCTGTAGAATTAACTTAATCTTAATCCATGATTACTGGAATACTATTATTTATTATCTTGACTTGAAATTCTATCAGACTATATTAAATATTTATTAATTTTAATTATTTCTTTTATGCACCAATTTAAACAATGGCTCTTACCTATTAAGAATTTCTTTTTGAGTAGTTTTTCTGAAACTTTTTAATTGTTGCTCTCAAATTTTTTAGGAGATTATTTGGAAGATCCTAGATAACTAAATATATTTGCTTTAATTCAAGGAATAGATAAATTGTAATTAAATATAAAATACATTAATCAATTCTTAGGTTGTAACCCATTTACTTTTGAAGATGCTTATATTTGTAAGTTTTCAATTTTATTGATTAAGAATCCCTTAAAGTAACAAATCTAAAGTTAGAAGCTGAAAAAATAACAATTATTTTATCCTTAAAAGAGAGATCTGAAGAAGAATTAAATTAATATTTACAGAATTTATAAGAAGTTAGGTAGCATGAGCTTGCAAAATTAAATTATCTTTAAAAATTAAGGAAAGAAATGTATAAAAGAAATGATTAGGAATCTGTTAATGATTAGCTATAAAATTCTAAATCTCAATCAGGGTTACTAAATTTTTTAAGATTGACTGATACTCTTTTTAGTAATTCTTCTATTTCATTAAAAAATATAGAAATTATTTTGAAATTTGAACAAGATGTTCAATTTGCATGTTTAATTCATGGAATTAATATTGAATTAGAAAAAGCAGATTCCACGTATAAATTTTATTTTATTATTAGCAATCTATTATTTATAACGACGATTATTGATTTGATAGAATTAAAGCTAAAAAACGAAAATATTGCACTTATAGAAAAGGCTATCAAATTAGGTATGATTCTTGAAACATCTGAAAATAATAAAGTTCAATTAAAAATAAATGCTAAAGTTTCTTCACTTGATATTTTGTTAAATAAAAAATAGATTAAGATTTTATTAAAATAATTTTTAAATTATCAATCAAAAATAGATGAAATCAATAAGGCAATAATTAAACAATAAAACTAAAAATAAAGTATAATAAATACATCAAGTTAAATCTAAAATAAAAATGTTTTTGAAATAAAAGATTTAGCATCTTTAAATAATGATCTTTCAATGTCTTTGGATTTAAATTCATTAAGTAATTGTTAGTCATAAGAAATTTTTTAAAGTATAAATATAGAAAATAATTAAAATTTTTAGATTAATTCAAACATAAAGGATTAAAAAGAAACTTTTAAATGTTTTTTTTAAGGTATAAAACTTGCAATATGTGAATAAACTAATTAATTTCCTTTAGAGAGGGAACGATTCTTTCAAGATCTTGAATCTCATTTTTTTATTGAAATTGTTGATATCTATACAGAGTCTTATTAAAGATGTTTTAATTTATACGTTAAAAGAATGGGGGCATACAGAATTAAACTAAATAATCCTCCTTTTCCATTTAATAATCGTTCTAGATCTTCAAGTATTTCATAATAAAATTCAGAAATATTTTAAAGTTGTAAACCTATCTAAAAATAAGATTTTCTTGTGACCCCTGTTGTTTTATTAGGATTACATTAAATTTAAAAATTAGAGTATGAATATTCTGTTTATAATTTTGAGTAATTAAAAGAATAAATAGATTATTGCTAAAAAGCAATTAATTTAAATATCTAATTATTAAAGTGTAAAGATAAAAAATATTTTTACTAAGTTAATGCTGATTTTTCTTAAGTAATTGTTTCATTTAGACATGAATCGATAATCAATTTAATGGGTTATATACCTTAAAAAAAGATATAAAAATTACCAAAAAATGAAAAAAATACAATTAATTTGATTGGATTAGTAATAAATATACCTGATTTAAGAATCAGTTATTTAATAAATGAACAAACACCTACTTTTACATTCAAATAAATAACTTTAAAATAAAATCCTACGAGGGCAATTTAACTCAAAACATGTTCAATAGAAACATTTGAAGAAATTTAATATTTTGAAAATCCAAAATAATTCATCATCATTACTTTTAATTTATTTGAATCAAAATTTTAAAATTAAAGTATAATTAAAATTGAAAAATAAATTATTAATGAATTTGAATAATTCCCAACAATTTATTTAGCCTTCAAAGAAAGTCAACCTATCTAATTGTAAGAATTAATTGAGCCAGAAATTGTATTTAATTAGAAGAAATAATTATGCGAAAAAATAATAAATTTTTAATTTCCGAATGTGAAATTTTTACTCTCAGAAACATTTTTTAAATGGTTGATAACATTAAAGGAATATTTAATAAAGTAAGAAAAAAAACCTAAATATATAAAAAAAAATTAGATAAAAGATTTTAAGAATTTTTTTTAATTTAACATAAATGTATTCTCCATAAGAATTTAAGATGATCTTTAGGATGACTTAATTTATTTAAAACTTGAAAAAGTAACTGCAATATAAGCTGAATCTAGAATGATTTTAATTCAAGAAATCTTAGCCATTGATTGCTAAAGTCCAATACCTTAAAAAGGAGATTAGGTATATTAGAATTTCATATCTGCTCAAGTTATGTTATACAAAGTGAACAATGAAATAAATTAAACAGAAAATAACATTAAGAATGATAAAATTAGAATCTAAACCAACCCAATGAAAATAGATTATGGAAAGTATTCAATTTAAGTTTATATTAATCAAAATATAAATATCAAGTTTAAAAATCTATGTTTAAGAATACCAGATTTTAAATTTAAAACGATTAAAAAATTAGAACCTTTTATTTAATATTATCGAGAGATTGATGAACAGATGTAAGAAAATTTCCTGAGTACAGCTTAATTTATTCAAGAATATTAGATGGAATAAGCGGAAATGATAATAATTTTAGAAAAAGATATTTTTATTGATGTTTATCCAATGATTGTTGTAGAAGCATTTTCAGATTTACATCAACTTTAAAATTAATTAGAATATACAAATTATAGATTAATTCTTAAAGTAAATGATGCAAAAATTAGTTCTGTTATAGAATTAAATAGCATAGATGTATATTTTGATGGACAATTAGGAATTGAAAAGTAATTTCCATTAATTTTGAATGGGTTTTTTGATAATAGGCCTCATATATTGTAATTAGGAGCTCAAGTATAAGTTAGGAATGTAGCATATTAAGAAAGAAATATTAGAATAGATCAAATTATTGGAAACCTTAAATATGACACTATTCAAACAATTATAGAATTTATCAATGTCATATCTAAATTAATACATAAAGATAATTTAAATTATTCTGAGACTTAATATGAAATCTCCTATGATTTAAATTAGTAACTCATCCCTTAGTAGATTATTGAGAAATGTTATTAAGTTAATGTAGGATAAATAATAATAGAATTAGAACAAGGTACTACATATTATGAAACTGATATAATATATGATGATGATAAACTTGATGATTAATTTTTATCAAACCAAAATTCAGATAAAATTTGTATCAATTTAACAAAATGTTATGCTAATATTGAAATGTATAAAGAAGGCTAATTAGGGATTAAATATAAATCTAATTTAGAAATTAATGATAAGATATCTGATTCTTGTTTTAATTTAATTTTAAGTTCTGATTTTGAAGAATTTAATTTTGAAGATAATTCACCTCCATTACAATTTGGATTAATTTTAGAAAATCAAGCTTATACTGGATTTGTTTCATTGCTACCTATGAGAATTTGCATATCAGGATCGCTTCTTTAATTTATATTCAATTTTATGTCTAATAATAAAAAAAATGAGAATATAATAGATTAAGATAAAATAGATATTATTTAAGAAATTCCAATTATTTGGTTAAAAAATTTAAAAATTGATTAAACAAGTTTTAATATTACATATGATTCATCAGGATTAAACTTTGATGGTTTATTCAAAGGTTTATTAAAAATAAGTTCCTTTTGTAATTTATAAATACCTTTTAATTATTTAGAAATTTAATGTAAAGGAGATAAGGAATATGTTAAATATTAAATTATTGAAAAGATTTCATAAAATTTTGGATCAAAATATTAAATTGCAGGTAAGGCTTTGTAAAGTTTAAATGCATATAATTAAATAAAATCTTTTGTATTGAGTATAAAGAATTTGTTCTAAAGTACTTTTGAAGATGGAGGTTTAGAAAAAAGTAGAATAGAATTGTAAAGATCAATAAATAATGCTTTTGAAAATTTAAAATAAATAAAATATGGGTAAGAGATCTTAAATAATATCACATTTTCATCTTTACCTTCAAGATTTCTTAAAAAATATTGAAATATATTTAAAATAATATATCGTATTAATAAAATTATTTTTATAATGTATTTTACTAATGAAATTTAATAAGAAAGAAATAAATACATCTTTCTAATGAATGTTGTATCAGCTTTACTGGATCTAAACATTTCAATTAATTGTCGATTATCAGGTTTGGTATTTACTAGAATTGCATACAATTATAGTAAAGTATTGCCTAGTGAATAAGAAAAGATAAAAAAAATTTACATTGTTTAAGCTTTAGAGCTAGGTAACTAATTTAATCAAAGTTTATTGGAAGGTTAAAATAAATTATAGTTATTTGAATAAAATACTGTAATAAATTATATTGATGAATTGAGGCAATATATAGATTAAGAAGTGCAAGATTAATAATTGAAATTTATATTAGCCTGTCATCTGAACAATGTTACAGATGCATTAAAAATTGAAGATTTCTTTAAAAAATATATCATCTAAGAAGAAGCAAGATTTTAAAAGTAACCCTACTTTGAAGTTATTCACAGTTTATCACTAAATTAATTGCTTATTTATATTGATGCTAAGATTCGAACAATCTTATATAATCAATAATGAACTTCATTTTTTATTCTTTAAGATAAAAAATAATATTCAAATATCAAATTCTAAATTAAATTTATTTCATTCATATAAAAGTTCTTTTTCTTTCATTATAATCAAGATAGCTTAATTTAGGTATCAGACTAAATTGTACTCTAAATTAAAGTTAAATTTTGAGACTGATATTGATTTAGGAATAATGAATCTTTGAAATTTCTGTCCTTAAAATTATTATATTAAATTTCATTACAAAAAAACAAAAATTTCCAGCATAAATTCATCATAGACAAGTAAAGACATTACAATTAAATTATTACAGTTATTCAATTAGGTTTTAAAATTTTATATCTTTAATCTCATCATAATGATTAATTGTCTTACAATTGATATTCTTAGGGTGGCCAGTAAGTATTTTTTTAATTAATTTTTAATATTTATAAATTAAATTAGGCGTTTGTTCAGATTTTATAATGTCAATCAAAATGGATTTTCCAAAATTTTTATCTTACCAGTTTATTTTTTTTATAGTTTAAAATTGTTCAAATACTTAAGTTAGTGGTTAAGTAAGAGACAGAAATTAAAATTTATTATAAGCTTTATATATTGGAAATGAACAACTTTTGGAGCAAATCATACCAGGTAAAGAAGCTTATTTTAATTATATACCTTTATAAATACAAGCAAACTATCTCAACAAAGAAATTTAATTAGTAATTTCACTTAATTATTAAATAAGGAAATATCATGTACAGATTCAAAATTCTCTCATGAGATAGCAGCTTTAGAAAATAGTTGAAAATAGAAAGCAAAATAACAAGAGAAGAGTAGAATTATATATCAAAGAAATGAAGTCTATATCTCTAAATTCTTTAAAATAAAGAAGACTTTGATATTTTGATATATTCTATTTATATTTCAATATATTTAATCAATCCTACCATGTAGGATATCTATTCTATCCTATTTCATCATTTTACTCAAATTAGTAATTATTTGGAGGACTATGCTTTTACTTTTATTTATAATTTTAATGATTCATTTATTTGTTTTATCTTTATTTTTACTTTTTTTCTAATTTGATTTATTGTTACTATTTTAATAGTTATTGATGTTATAATTCTAATTCTTCTACACTAGGTTATTAAATTATAGGTTCTTATCTCCTCATGAATATTTATTTTTGAGGAATTGTCTTAGCAGGTAACACAGTTTAAACTAATTAAACATTTTGTTAACTTTGGGGTATAGATCTTAATGTTGATAACTTTTCATCCTTCTCTAATTTTTAAGGTTGATCAATCACTTTTACTTCTTTCATTTATTTTATAAAGTCTAGAGATTATATCAATTTCTATACCAACTCCTGTTATTAGATTAATTTGCTTTGTTTATTTAACTTCTTCTACTATATTTATTTTGATATTCAAATTAGTATCATTAATCCATTTTATCTCATGTAGTTCTTCAAACTTCTCTTTACGTAACAATTCCCCAAATTTTGAACATATTAAATACTAATTATCAACTCTCAATCTTGGAAAGGTTGTTGCTAATAAAAAATATTATCCATTAGGACTCCATTCAAATTATACTACTTTATCTTATTTAGTTTAACCAACTTTCTTTATGTTATTTAAGTCATAAATATATATATCTCCAGTCAGATTTCCAAATCCACAAAGAGCTACCAAATTATTCTTTGGATAAATTTAGTTTATATGAGCTTGTAGTATTAAATATTGTTTTTCTCCTTATTTATTAAATAGAATTGCGCCTGCTGGCATATAACCACTTATAACTATAAATCCATTTTAAACCCATTAAACATCATGAATGGGTCCTTCAAATAATTCTATATTTTATAATTTGTCCTCAATCCAAATATTTAAATGATGTGTACCAAAATAACTTTGATTAGTATGATCATCTAATGTTTGTGACCAAATTAATAACACTTTACCATCATTTGACCATAATTATTTAACTTCATTCGAGGGTGGTATTAAATGTTCGAAATGTTAATTAGTATCATAGTTATCAATTAATAGTCTACAATCTATTAAGTCTTCTAAATGTTTTATTAATGTAACTGATGATAAGTATAATGAATCCCTTTAAGTTGAAATTGTAAAGTCTCCATACTCTGGACATTTAAATTGTTTAATTTATTAGAAAGTTGCTGTTTCATAAACTATACCTTTGCAAAAACATAGAGATCCTGTTGAATCAAATTTCACTTCATGAGGAAACATTTTCACAAAATTTTCTGTTTTTATAGAAAATAGATAAGTTGCCTTTCCTTGCAATATTATATATTCATAATCTGGAGAGAATGATATCGAATGCACTTTCAAATCAATAGGATATGTTCTTTTTCCAATGTGTATTACTCCAAAATCTCCCCCATACTACATTTTAATACCTTAAATACCACAATACTATATTTTGAGACTGCCATACATTTTATTGTAGCATGATCACAAATTTAAGTTTAATTAGTGAATGTGTTATCCAATCCAACTAATCCACTCTGATATCTATATACAACAGAATAAGTTAATTCAGGAAGAGATTCTTATTATGTAAGGAGGAGTTCATATAATTGCTGCATTTTTTAGTACTATTTAATTAATTTATTATTAAATAGGTATTACTACCCAAACTTCTTTTATTGAGATCTTTCCAAAATTATATTTCAAAATATCTCAACTATTATTTTGATATACTTATTATTCTCCCTAATTCTAAGTAATATATAAATATTGAATTGATATAATACATTTAAAACAATATATTTTCAAATAAATAGTCAGATTAGACACTTATAATTAAAAATCAGTTTTATTATAATTGAATAGTTTGATATCTATTTTTTTTAATTTATTGATTATATTGAAAAGAACAACAAATTATTGATACATCATAATATTTCCAATTGAGAATTATATGCGATAATGATTAAAATATTCTACACATGTAATTGTATCTTTTTATTTAAAAAACTAGTATAATCTCTTATTCATTTATAAAGTTCTGATTTGTTTTAAAATAAATAAATTCAGTTATTTATATCAGAAATTAAGTTGCATCATCGATATTAAAAATGATTAGAAGATTTTATTAATAATAATTTTTTAGTTCCTTAAATATAGCAATGATGAGAGAAATATGTTTATTATTTTTGATATTAGATATTAGATATTGAGTAGAAGTTTAAATAATTTTTTAGTGGGAAATATTGATTGAACAAAATAAAGATTTTTAAAGATATGAAAGATTTTTTAAAAAAATCATTGGAATATATCAGTATAGATTTGAGAGGTGCCATAAATATATATATGCCCAAAACATAGAAAAAACAATCAGCAAAATAATGTCATAAAGTCATAAGGATGTTAAAGAACTTTAATATTAAATCAATCCTTATGATTTCTGATTCTATTTGCATATTAATGCTTTGCAATTTTCTTGTAAGACATCTTTTTTATCTAAATTTTATATGGCTTTAGTTAATCTTAAGCTAACGTATTCATAACCTTTAAAATTTAATATTGATCTCTTACTAATTCGTTTATGAAATTTTATTGAAAAGGATCTTCATCTCCTAAGTTTTACTCCTCCTAAAAATTATTCATTTTAGTATTTATAAAAATAAAATATATTATAAAATTGTCTCTAAAACAATAATTATTTATTCTAACTTCATATTCCTTCTTGAGTAGATTGATTCACTTAAGTAGCTTCTTCTTCTTCATCTTCTTTAGGTAATTTAACTTTAGAAAAACAAATTGCTGCAGCTAAAAAAGATAAGAATAACAATAAGCATCCATAAAAAGCCTATGTTCTAATATATAGATAATTAATAAGATTACTTATTTTAATCATGTGTAATTAATGAAAGAATTTCGCCAAAAAAGAAACTCCAAATATGTACTCCAGCCAATAAAAATCCTACAGCTATTGTTTAATTAATCGGATGTAAGACTTTGCATGCTAATTCAAGTTGTAATGGTATACATGGAATCACAAAAAAGCCAAGAACCTATAAAATATAATTGTAATACTGAATAGCATAACAAAACCAGAGGTAAACTTTCAGTCATTAATGCAAAATAGCTTAAACCTAAACTAACCAAAACTGGAATTAAATTAAATAACACAATTTTCTTATGATTTAAGTGAAATTTTCTTATTAAAATTGAATACATAACTGAACTAACAAATCCACAAATGATAGGAGAACTTTCTTTATTATAAACTATAATTAATACATATAAAACTGGTTTATGAAGGTGTGAATCCAAAAGGATTGAATAAATATGAAATTACAACAGCCAATGCGTGAAATCCTCCCATTAATAGACTATAACAAATAAATAATAAAATCTAATATAAGTAATGATTTAAAAGTTACAAAGTTTTTATTTTTTGCTGTCATTTTTAAAGATTGTAAATAAGTAAATTCATCTCTTGATTTATTTATAGCACCAGGTGGTGTTGGAGGACTTGGTCTAAAAAAAAGTATCGCAGGAATTAAAATAGCACTAAAGATTTCTAATTCAATAACCATAAGTTTTCCGGTTAATATTTTACCATCATCTGGATCAGTTTCATATTGATATCCTTTGAATATTTACCCTGGTATTATAACTCTTTTGATAAGTATTTAAAATTAATACCCAAATACACTAGAACAAGTGATAATGAAGGAAAAGGCAATCATTACAGTAGTTTTATCCTCTGGTCTGAACCATTCTTTTGCAACATTGGCTTGAATATTAATAATAAAAGGTCTTCCCATTCCTGCAACAAGTGATCCTAAAATAACAGTATAAAATCTATATTTTAGTGAAAGTATACAACCTTTCTGTAATAACTGTAGCAGTTCTAATAAAAGCCCCAAACAAAGTTAGAGCACATCCAATTTTAAGACTAATTGAAATATCTGTTTGATTGACAATAAATGTTTCTGTTTTAAGAATAATTGAATTACATACAAAAGTTAAGAGAGGATGCATGAGTAGAAATCCATTTGCTGCTAATGAGACTATAAATGTAGGTATATCATAAACAGCAGCAAGAACAGATGCAATGGGATTACAAGTTGAAAACATCATTGAGGAACAAATCTTAGAAATTAAGAAATGAAATACAGTAGAGAATGCAAAAAATGATGCCATTATATATCTCCTTGTATAAACCTTATATTCATCAGTTTAGTCATTAATTTCTGGTTTGGCAAGATTTACCATAGCCATTTCCATTTCATTTGATTTTTGCTCCATATAAATGTTAATTAATATATTTTTATTGATATTTTACATCAGGGAATAAAAAGATTTAATAATTTTTTTGTAAAAAAAATAAATGATAAAATAAGGTAAATCAAAGGATACAGCAGTTTTAAGGACGCTCATCAACACTCAAGCATAAAATTTTGCTACAAAGAGATTGTTGAAAGATCTCAATATAATTGAGAAGGAGTCCATTCCTACAGTAGGAGTTACTGCAAGACCTCTTGAACATGATCTCTTTATTTGGCATGCTAATATAAGAGGTCCAATTGGAACACCTTATGAAGGTGGAATATTCCATTTTGAATTATTAATACCAGAATCTTATCCACACTAACCACCAAAAATAAATTTATTCACAGAATTACCTCATCCTAATGTTTTTGGTAATTCAATATGTCTTGACTTATTATAACCAAGAAGACCTGAAGACAAAGATAAATAATCAGGATGGTCAAGTGCTTATACTATATAATCTATATTATTATAATTATCAGCATTTTTATTTGAAGAATAAATTACTGAAAAAAAAGAAAAATAACATGCTTAAATAAAAAAAGCAGTTTTGGCTGCTAATTCTTTTAAATGTACAACCAAAAATTGTAAACATGGTGGTAAACTTTCATTGTGGCCTTAATTCAATACTAAGGAAAATGAAGAATAATAATTTATTAACAAATAAACAGAATAAGAATTATTGGAATAATAATTCATTTGTTTTCATACTAAATTAAGTTATAGAAAACCATAATCTCCATAATTTGATGATGAAACTAAAATGAAATAAGAAAGTTGTTTAGGAATATTATTAAATGTATCTAAAGTTCCAAGAACTGGTTCAATTAAATAAGCAGTTCCATCTTTAGATTATGTTTCAATTAAAGCCTTTTTGAATGAAGGTTTAAAGTGGGATTCTTTAAATTTGACATATACTCATTGGTTACCTCTTTATTTTGGTAAGACTGATAATAAAGAGAGAGTATTACATCTATTAAAAAGATCATTATCGATGATAATGACAAATAATACTAAGAGATTTAAACCTGAATTTGTATTAGAAGTATTTCCAAAAATAACTTAAAGTATTGTTCATGCAATGATGGCTGAAAAGACTCATGCATCTATTAGATGTTTAAGAATATTAGCTTAAGTACATGCATTATGGTTATTATGTATGGAAGAGTGGCCTTAACTTTATTAATAAGTTGATGCAATTATTAATAAATTTATCACTGATGAAAAAAGTAGAACTAAAGAATTTACTCCTAATCTTGGTATCTTATTCAATTTACTTTATGTATCTAAAAAGTATACTTTTGGAGATTTAGTATAATCTTATACAGCAGAATAATTAGATAGACAAGTTTTCTGGTTGTTAAAAGAAATACCAGAATTAGCTGATGAAAAATTAGAAGGATCTATTAGTGCAGCAAAGAGAATTGAAATAACATTTAAATAATAATCGACTTCATTTTAAATGGGTTGTTTCTAATATATTTATTTAAATTATGTTGTATAACCATTAAAAACATAAAAAGAAATTTTAGAAAGATTTGATAAAAATTTTTGTTTATTAACAACAGGAATTGAAAATGGAATATAAGAGAAAATATTTGAAGCTTTTAAAAGAGTAGTCAATTATGATGCCTTCTATGATTTTATTGGATAAGAAAAGAAATCTAATGAAGAATTGAATCAATTATTAAAATAAGCAGTTAAGAATTCAAAAGAGAAGAAATACCATGGTACTGTTGAAGAAATGAATTAATTACCACCTGCAATTGAATAAGTAAAATAATATTAATAAAAATACTCTAAATTATAAGATTTTTATGTAATTACAAAAGAAGAATAAGAAAAAAAATAATATAAATATAATATTGAAGTAAAACAAAATGTTGATTGGAAATAAGAATTATGTAAAAGATGGGATTGGATTGAAGAATAATTGAAATGGAATCCTGAGTTAGATGCAACTGAATTAGCTCAATAAGCTAATATGAGAACATTAAATGGTTTTGGTCTTAAACCTGATGATAGATTGTATAATAAGATAGAAACATTGAGAAATTAACATCACAAAGTTTAATATTAAACAGATTTTCCAAAACATAGTTGGCAACAACTTTATATGAAATTAGATTTTGAGTAATTCTTAATTTAATTTGATTAATGTCCAGATTTCTAAAGTTTCTATGAAAAAGTTACTATAGCTAAAGATCATTTGGTAGATTTGGTTCTTGTATTAATTCATATTAAAACTGTTTCATCAGGATATTATTACATAACTGCTGCTTTAGAATAATTTACTAAATTAATTAGATTGACTTTAACTGGATAAGAGTAATCTGGAAGTATAATTTTTCCAAAGAAAGCTGCTAAATCTTTTTATAAAGGTTTAAACAATTTAAGTAAATAATAAAATAGTTTATAAATTCTTGAGATTATTAAATTAGGATTTTCAGGTAATTAATTGGAAATAACAGAATCAATATTTGGAGTATTAAATCTCTTTGTAAATTAACTAAGATCTCTTACAATTGAAAATACTGATTTATTAACTTTAAGTAATGCTGCAAAGACAGTAGGTGCTATAATTACATCTTTTAGACATTTAGAATTTTTGAATTTAAAAGGTTCAATAAGAAATGCTAATATAGCAAAAGAGATAACTGATGGTTTGATGAGAGCAAAATAATTAGTAACTGTAGATTTGTCTTTGAATCATTTAGCAACAGAAAAGGGATTAGCATCAATAGTTTATAATTTGAGTTTCTCACCAAAATTAACATTTTTAGATATTTCAGGATGTGGCTCAATTACATCAGTTGAATTAGTTGAAAGTTTATATAAATTATTAAGAATTACTGCTAGTTTGGAACATTTAAATTTAGAGAGATTATCTTCTTTAAATTTAACAAAAGAATTCTTTATAGCATTAGGTGAAAGTAGAACTTTGAGAACATTAAACTTAAATGCAATAGGAGAATTTAATGATGCAAAATTAGAATAATTGGGTAAAGCAATAGCTTTTAATGCATAAAAAGGAGGATAATTAACCATTATTAATTTAAATTATGATGGTATAAACTATACAAAACTAAAGAAATTAGTGGAAAGTATGGCAGTTTCTAATCATGATCATGAGGTTTGGTATGGAGATGCAAATAAAGCTAGTAAAATGACAGGTGATGATTACAAAAAAGTTTTTAGATGTAATTTATAAACTCTTGATGTTAAAATATCTACATTTGGTTCTAATTTTGATATTAATCATTATAAGAATTAATATAAAGCAAAAAATGATTTTTAAAATATTTTTGAAAAGAATCCAAATCTCTTAGATATAAATTTTGCTGAGAAATAATTTAATAAAAAAGATATGGATTTATTATGTGAAATGGTACACCAAAAAGCTATTAAATTAAGGGTCTTAAATCTTAGTAGAAACTGTTTAAGTAAAGAAGGAGCCAAGGTTTTGAGTACATTCTTAGAATAAAATAATACTTTAGAATTTTTAGATTTATCAGGTAATAAAATTGGTGTATCAGGTGGAAAAAGTATTGCAATAGCTTTAAGAAAGAATTAAGCTTTAAAGTAATTGAATTTATTCTTCAATTTAATTGGATTTGATGGAGCAAAAGAATTTGGAGCAACATTTAAAATTAATAAAACTCTTGAATTTGTTGATTTAGGAAATAATAGAATTAGAAATAAAGGATTATTGGCTATAACTGAAGGATTAAGTGAGAATAATTAATCTAAGGTTTAAATACTTGGTTTAAGATTTAATTTCTTATCTGAAGATGGTATTTTAAATTTGATTAAAAAAACAAATTTAAAAGAAATCTTTATAAAGAATAATTCAATTACTGATTATGGTTTGTATTGTTTGAAGAAAGGGTATGATGAAATAAAATCAAATGTTAGGATTGATTTATTTTCTAAATTAATTTAAATAGATGAAAGTAGACTTGAAAGAACAGCTTGGATTTAACCTACTTTTAGTATTCCAGAAATAATAACATTCTTTAATAAATTTGAAGTAGGAGTTATTTTAGATGCAAGATTTAGAAAGGGATAAAAATATGAGAATCGTAAGGTTTAACCAAATCAATTTAATTTTGTTGAGTTTGCAAATCCAAATAGTTTGAATAGATCTCTTGCTTTAGCTTCAACAAGTTAAGCATCAATTAATGGTAAAGCCTTTAGAATTTATAAGGCAGGAACAGGAACATTTATATGTATTTAAATAATAATAATAATTAGATTTAAAAAAGAGTGCAAAATAAAAGAAAGCAGAAAGTTCTAAAACAAATACTTTATAATCTAAAATGCCAGTCAGTTCAATTGCTAGAGGAGGATTAAAAGGTAGAGGTCGTGGAAGAGGTAGAGGTAGAGGTAGAGGAAGCGTTTTATATTGAAATAAGTTTATAAATAAATAAGTACAAAAAAAAAATATATTTATATATCAATTAATATAATTGTTAAATATAATACTTAAAATTATGTAATTGAAAAATTAAATATATTTTATTAATACATGAATTAAGAAGGTCTGTCAGATTTCTTAAAACAAAAACCTTAAAGCCTTCTTTAGTAAAATAATTAATTAGGATCATATCGCCCTAAGAGTTAATAAAAATATTATAACTAACAACAATCCTTATAACGTCCCCCATCATCATAACTCTAAACTCTTAGTGGAGCAGTAAAACATAAACAATTTATTCACAAAAAGAACAATCTCATGAAGAATAGATAATCTCAAACTAATTTACAGCAGTATTAGAATGAAGAACATAATTGTTATGAAATCACTCCTTAATTATTATCAGAAATTAGTATGGATGATCCAATCTGGAAAAGGATTCTCCCTAACAATCTCCATTTAAATGAAAAATAATTCATTTAGTTAATAGATGAAAATACAGATTATTTTTATCATAATTTAAAGTTATGTGCATGTTATTAATGCACTTGTGGTAGATGTAAATGTGATGCTAATAATTAACTTAAATTAAAACTAAATGGAATTTTCTTAACTAATTATGATAAAGATTATGTAATCAATCATAAACCAAAAAATAGTTTAACTAATCCATTAAATTAAAAAACATATGAAACGAATTTTATGGATCAAAAAACTATTAATTTGAAATCTCTGTATCAATAAGATTTTTAATAACAACCACTTGAATTATAACCAAACTTAAAATAACATTCTAGTCAATAAATAGGATCTGTCTCTAATCTAACTAGTTATAGGGTAATTTTCTATTTCTATAAAAGTCCAATTATAATGATTGGGGAACTAATTATCATAAATTTATTCCCTATCCTCACATCAGTACAAGTCCAGATATTAAATTTATTGGCACATCCCAATACAAAGATTCATATATGTCTCCAAATAGATGGAACATTAATAATGCACATTATTTTAAAACTTGTTTGTAAACATACTCTTATTATTAAAGAACACCCATACCTACTGGGTAATTTGAAGGTTAAACTACTCATAAAACTAGTTTCCTCCCATATACAGCAACTCATAAATCTTAAATTGATCGATAAAATGTATTTAACTTCTAATAATTTAGGTTTATCAAAAAATACCTACTTTTGAAGGTTAGTTTATTTCAACAGAAATGCATGATTACATTCAAAAAGATGATTAGAATTGTCCTGCTAAATAATTTTAAAAAATATTTCGTAAATAAATGGCTGAAAAACTTTTAAAAAAAAAATAGTAATTCCTTAAAAATTAAATATAATAAAATTGAATTAATATTTATATAAACAAAACACAAATCAATATTATCTATTTTTTTTCTTTTTTTTCTATTGTTCAAATTATAATTATGGTCTTCTTTAATTATCAAATTATTATAATTATTATGGTTTTCTTTAATTACCTTAAATCTCATATTTTTATTAAGTTATTTTGCCATTTTCATTTCTTTTTTCAATAACTGTAGTTTTGCCTCCTTTTTAAATTGTCTCCTTGGTTACTGTAACTTATTTACCATTTCTAAAAATACTTCATTTTCTTTACATAAACTATGTGGTTGTTGAAATTGATTTTGAAAATCCACCCTAATGATTATCAAAAAAAGGAGTGTCTATGAAATTGTTTATCATAGAACTAAAAACAGAGTTCCTATTCTTTTTTTTCTATTTATTTTTTTTTCTATTCTAGGTAAAAATAAATTCATCATCATCATCTGATCCAAACAAAAGATTTCCAGAACAAAAGAAATTATTGAAAATTTCAAAAGGATCAAATGAGAAAAATGCAAAATCCCCATCATCTTCATGTTAGTGAATTTATTCCTACATGCTAAAAATACTAGATAATTTATTCTACCCTTCATGTCCATATTGATCATAAATTTTTCTTTTTTCTACATCGAATAGAACTGAATAAGCTTCTCCTATTTGTTTAAACTTTTCTTATGCTTTCTCTTTGTTTTCTGGATTTTTATCCTATAATTATATTAGAATATTTTACAGGATGCCATTATAATGCTAGTTTTCTGTATTATTTTTTTATTTCTTCAGGGGTGGCTGTTTTAGTTAGTCCAAGTGTTACATAATAACATTCTTTTTGAATCATTACCTTAAATAAAAAAAACTATGATGATTTATATATTTTAATATAAGACTTCATTCGAATTTTCTAGAATTCATTATTTTGGTTAATCTTATGAATTTATTTAATCTTTTTAATTTATTTGAGTTTTTTTAGGATAACATTTTAAGTAAATATATTTGCCTGCTAAAAGAACTCTAACAAAAATGACTAGTGTGAATGATATAATCGTATGCCTAGCTCTATTGTGTATCTTCTTTTTAGAGCCTCTTGTATCTCATATTACTATTATTATTATATTTATTATTGCAAAAGTTATAAGTTTAGTTGGAATAAAAAAAACTTTATTATTATTATAATTATAATGTGATCAATCATTAATATCAACATAATTCTTTTAGTTTTAAAATAGATTTTAAATTTCTATCTTTGTTAAACCTTTTGTTTCAAAAACAAAAAGATAAAATATAACTTCCAAAAAAAAACAAACAACTGCAAAAATTCCAAAGTTGAATTGGAGACTCAGTTACTCAACTATAATGGGAAATATTTAAGCTAAAGTTGCACAACTTATCCAATTAATAAAAACAACGAGGGAAATTCCCTTAGTTGGCAATACTTCTGAAAGATAAACCCAGAATACAGGGCCAAGTGAAAGACTATAAGATATAACATAAATAGTTAAAAACACTAGATTCAATAACTAAAATGTTTTTTGCTCCTATTCTCCTTATGATTAAATTGAGATAATAATACAATTTAATGTTAATGATATAAAACAGAATCCATTACCAATTAATAATATAATCCTTCTACCTGCTCTATTAATCATAATACTACTGAAAACAGAAGCTGCAATACTTACTAAGCCATTTATTACATTTGCTAGATTGATTAATGTTGTATCATTATTAGTCATAGTACCTACAATGACACCTGCATAAAAATTAACAGCATTAATTCCAGCAAATTATTATAAGACCCCAAAGATCAAACATAAGATCATGCTTTTTCTATAAGTTTTACTAAACAAATATTTTAAGTTTTAGTTCTCTTCTTTTAAATTTTGTTTAATTTATACTAACAATTCCTAAATTTCCTGATTTGATATAGTACTTGGATAAGAATTCTATATTATTAATCTTGCTTTTTCTTCATTGCCATTTTTTAATTATTCAAATGGTAAATTATGTCTTATGATAAAAAGCATTCCAAAAAGACGTAAAGTGCAAGGAATGGTTGTAAATAAAAATATAAGTTTCCAATTATTGAATCCTAAATAACCATAATCAAGATCTTAATTATATTCTGAAGCAGATGAACCAAGAAATATCCACTAAACTGCAAATCCTAAGGTCAATCCTACCATCATTAAGCAAGGACCCAATCCAACAAATATTCCTACATTCTTCAGAGGTACAAAATGATAAATATATTGGATGACTAAAGCACTATTCAACCCAGTCAAGAATCCTTGCAAAGTTCTACAAAATATTAAGACATTTATGTTTTAGATAGTGAAGAGTAATCCAACACTGATTCCAACTATATCAAACATAATAAATGTATTACGGTAGTTCAACTTGTTAACTATACTTGCTACATTTATATTATTAATAAGTACATGATACTAATGCTGCACATGCTGCTCCTATAGAAAGAGATGCATTTATAAAACCATCAATGACACTTTTGTACTCGGAATCTTGATAATTCATCACATATGCAATTGAATCTTAAGTGATTGCATAATATGTTAAGGCATAACCTATGTAAAGATATCCCATTGTTATAAACAGAACTCGACATAAAAGTTCACAAAAGATGACATTATCTTATTTACACATTATAATGAATTTTTGTTATCATTTAATTTCATTGTTAATATTTTTTCACTAAGAAATCAATAAATTCTTATTATGATATCTGACCATCCCCATTAGCATCACACATCTATAGAATTTCCTTCCATAAATTATCATCTACTCCACCCATAATTTCTTAAAGTTCTTCTCTACTTATTTAACCATCACCATTCTTTAGTATTAATAAAATAAAATACAGTATCAAACATATTAAAGGCTTATTATAATCTAATCTTGCTCAATAATTTTTCTTCTGATGCAGCTGACATCATAAACTCTGTAAAATCTACAAAACCTGATTTATTGATATCAACTTTTTCAAAAATGTCATCAACCATTTATTTTGCTTTGATTTCATCATATTATTTCATATAAACTAAATTAATCTTATAAACATATAAACCTTAAAGTAATTCATCTTTACTAATTTAACCATTTCCATCTTTATCTATTTTCTTAAATTCAATCATTAAACCTTCTTTTTCTGTATTTGTCATCAAATTAGTAGTAATAAATTACATAAGTGCAGCTCTAACTTTATTTTTACCCTAAAATTAGATATTTGAATAATACAAAAAATGATGATAAGTTTTTAATGGCTTTCAAATCAATTTATCCGTTTGGTGCATTCTTTTAAATCCAAGGATCTTAATAAGCTTCTTGTGCAGATATTCTCTATTAATAATCTTTAGTTAACATTTTCTTGATTAAATTTTTTGCATCTTCCGATATTTTACTCCAATCCTCAGCTATATAATTTAATAAATATAAAATTCTTACGATCAAAATCATATTTACCAATTTCTATATTCTATAATATCTCTTAATCTTAACCACCAAATGGAGGATAACCACATAACATTATGTAAAGTATGACTCCACAACTCCATACATCACATTTTTCATTATAATTTCTCTTTAATACTTCAGGTGCTATATAATAAGGCTATAATTATTAAATATTTTTTACAGTTCCTAATCTCTTAGTTAAATTCTAATTATTTTCCATCTTTCTCGAAGTTCCGAAATCAATAATTTTGAGATTAGAATTAGGTTTTTTATTTTCAAATAGTATATTTTCAGGCTTTAAATCTCTATGAACTACTTTCTTTTCATGACAATGAACAACCCCAGCCAAAATTTATTTCATAATATCTGCAGCCATTTTTTCTGTAAAATGTTTCATATCGGTAATCTTTTAAAATAACTCCCCTCCTTCTAAATATCTATAAATATTGTCATTATTTACTCAGTCACGAGATAATAATTTTTTGCATCTTAAAATAATTCATGTAATTTCACTATATTAGGATGATCCAATTCTTTTAAAGTATTTACTTCCGAAAACATATTCTCTTCATCTTCCTTTATTATTTTATCCTTTCTTATTTGTTTCATAGCTCTCTTGCATCCAGAACTTTTATGTATAACCAACCTAACTTCACCAAAAGCCCCTACTTTTACATTTTACAACTACCTGATCCCAAACTTTTCTCTATTTTATAAAAGTTACTTATTGACCCTTACTTAAGTGTTACAAAGATATCAGGACCTACTTTAAATCCATCAATATTTCCTTTTTATGTGCCTTCCACTAAAGCCTAGCCGGTTGCTGCTGGCTTTCTTGATTATGATGAACAAGGACCCATTATTAATATAATTTTATTTATTGCAATTACATACTTATATTACTTATTAGTATTTCTAATATTCTATCTTTTTAATCAGAACTCCTACAAAAATACTTAATTTTTCTTACATATACTTTTTATCATATAAAATATTTATGGAAACTGAATCTAAAATACAACAAAAGTTTTTTATTTTGAGATAAGTCTCTCCTCCAGTACTTGGATCAATTCATTATACTAAATCTCCTAATCTTGAGTAACTTGATTAACTTGCATAAATCTCAGTCATGAGAAGAATGAAATCAAATGATCCACAAAAAACTGAACCCACATATAGAGACATACCCAGTAAATAATTCATTCAAATTAAGAACATATATCAAAATAGAGAGAAGAAATTATTAAAATAAAAAAAACTAAATAACCTTCATTACCCTACTTACCTAAGAAATAGAAAGAGTTTTATAATAAATGGTACATACCTTATGATTAGAGATATGTTTAAAAGCCTGATTTCATGGAATAACAATATGAAGGTAAATCTTAATACAACTATTAGATGAATTACACTTTTATAAAAATATGCATAATATGTATGTATAATACAATCCATTCGATCATAAATTACCTGAAGATCTTATGAAAAAGATTGGCTACAAAGAAAGAACTGAAGCACTCAAAGAAATATTGAAAGGCTAGAAGTAGATTATTGAATTCAAGAGGTTTTTTTATTCCTATAAAAACTTAGGAGTTTGGAAAAAGAAAAATAAAGAGTTCCTGAATTTATAAAATAATTACTGGAAGCTGAAAACAAAAAGTAAAAACATAAACAGTAATTTTAATACTCATGAAATTTGTTTGGTATTTAAAATAATTATAATGCTCATAAACTGTCTAAATATTCTAATCCCATTAATTTATTATTATTAAAATATCTTATTTATTTCTATGTTTTAGAAATTGCAAAATAGTTTTAATTTTAGCAATTTACTTCTCCATTTTTATTTTTCTTTTCAATTTAAAATAATGGTGATATATAAACTTGAAAATATTTTAATATAAATTTCTATTGGATATAATTAAATTTTTTTTATGTTAAATAATAAATAAAACATTAATATAATAAAAATAAGATAATAATCAATTATCATCTTCAACGTCATCGTGTTCCTCATCATCTTCCTTAATGATGGGTTACATAATTGTTTCAGTAACTAAAGTAGTAGAAAATATTAATTCAAATAAACTTTTTTAATCTAAAATGTGCTTCTTTTTATTGAGAGGAGGTGGAAACATAGGATCAATAGCAATTCGAATTGTATTTTCAATAAGATGAGAAATTAGCCTAGCTAAAAGGGGACAACATGTTTCCAAACAAGGATTAGTATTAACTTCTATAAGCCAAGGTTTCATATCTTAATCTATCATATAATCTAATCCAAATAATTCAAATGTATAAAAATGTCTGTTTGGATCTAAATGCTAATACGTAGCTTTTACTATGTCAGTGCTTAATTTTTTGAGTTAATCAATTATAATTTAAAAATTGTAATTATGATTATCTTATAAATATTTTTAAAACTCATTAAAAGAAACCTAAATAAATATTATGAACTTACTTTATTGCCAGTTTCGTATTTTCCATAATTCTAATTCTTTTTCTAAACTGCATCATTAGTTAAATGAGTAAATTTATCTTCTACATCATCCAAAGAGAATTCTTTGCAACTGGTTCTGATATAGCCTTCTTGATACCAATAAGCTTTAAATTTATTATTGATACTGGTCATCAAAATGTAGCATCTAATGTCGAATTTTCTTTTATTATATAGAAGAGGTTTTTCCATATATTTTTAAACAATAAATGTTTTTTTCATTCCATTATGATGATTAGTGGATTGAGAAATAATTGATTTAACTTTTTAAATTGAATTAGCAACTTAGATTCCATTACCTCTATTAGAAGATTCTCCTGGTTTAACTATCCATAAATTTATATTCTATGTTAGAGCATACTATTCAAATTCTTAATAAGCAGGATCACTTGGACCTGCTTAAATATGATATGTAAGAGGAATATATTGAAATGGATCTTCATTACGGGAAATATAATAATTTTTCATGTTATAAAAGAGAGCTTTTTTATTACACACTTAAAAATTATATTCTAAATGATTATGAACTTTTAAATTTACACTCTAATTAAATATTGAATATTCAGAGTCTTCAATTTTATATTTCAACTTATCATTTATTTGTTTCTTCTAAAATTTACTAAATGCTACTGATTCTAATTACTATTTTTATAATTGTTAATAATGTGTTTATTTTCTTAATTATGTCCAATAAAAATTCATATCTTCACAAGGTTAATCAGTCAAAATCCACCATGATCTTTATTTTAAACTCTATCTAATCAAGATTCCATTATTTCCTTTTGTTACAAAAGCCTTATAGATAGCCCTTTCAGGAGGTTAAACACTTAAATTATTTGATAAAGCAATAAGAATTGGAAATTCATTTTATTCAAATATTATATTGCTTTCTTCATTTTTAGAAGTTATTGCTCTTTTTATCGAAAATTATTTTTAAGGAATCAACCTAATTTCTTTTTTGCTCCTTTCTTAAGAATGAGATTCAATAGGAGTATCAGTAAAACTTTTTTTTACGAATAGTTTCATTTCACTTGCTTTTCTGGTTGATACTTCTATTCTTGGAGGATATGATATAACTGTTGGTAGCAATTAAGGAGTACATTAAGAGCAAGTTTTTAATTATTGTTGCTATTCCTATTATTTATTAATTAGTTCGACAAACTATTAAAATCCTTTTAGTTTAATTGTATTCAATTTTGGTTAACATTATCTAATAGGTTGTTAAAAGGCAACATCTTGAAATTTTTAATTGCCTTTTATATACAATAATTCCAAATCAGGTTTGAGCATAAAATTACAAATTTAATAATTTAAAGAATAATTATCAGTTCTATGATAATTATAATATATAAAGATAATATAATAATTCATTTAAAAAAGTCTTTATTTGTACCTGTCTATGATCTCATCAAAGCATTGATTGCTCTATCAATCTCTAAGTTTGTTTCCTATTAAAGTGGTTTAGTGTATAATTGTTAATATTACTGAAAATCCCTCTTTTTATCCAATTAAGATTTATATTCTTACTCTGAAAAAACTATTTAATTGTAATAATTGAATAAATACCTTATCTATTTTTTCTTTTGTAAAGATCAGTTAATGAACGCTTTTCTTCTTCTCTATCAACAGTTTTTCTGAATAATTGTTATTGTTAAAGTTTTCTGAATTCCTAAAAATCTTGAAAATCTTGATCATCAATTTATTATTATTGCTTTTGATTAAATTCTTTGTATCTTTAAAATTCTAAAAATTCTAATTCAGTTTAAGTCAAAGGTTGAGTTGGAGCAATGTTCTATTGTGAAAATGGTTAAGGTTGTTCTGGTTGAAATTATGAAACTCCAGTAGGTAATTAGCATAAATCTTATTTGTTTTCTGTTTGTACTTGTTTGCTTATTTTGAGATTTTCTTTTGGGTACTCATTCATTAAGTCTTATTAGAAATCATAAGGAGGAGGAAAATAAGGATATGGAGGAGGATAATTATAAATTGGATAAGGAGAGTGTGGTTAATAAAAAGAGTTGGTTGTGGGATTACCAGAAAATTATTATTTTTACATATCATATTGTGGAGAGGGATAAAAAACTTATTATGGAGGTGGATGATAATTTTATTATTAGGGTGGATAGTAATTCTATTGTGGAGGTGGATATAAAGGTTATTAATTTAAATGATACGGTTATTATGATTAAGCATTATATGAATTAGAACGATTGAAATTTCTTTGGTCATATTCATATTATGGTTGTGAATATGAAGAAAATTGTTTATTATAATTTTAAGGTCTTTAAGATTCTATTTAAACTCTTTGACTAATTGGTGAATTGTTAGGTTAATAGTTTAGAGATTTTCCATAACTATACATATTAGGCTAAGGCTTTGAAACATTCATTAAGACTTATTTGGCTCTATCTATCTCCTTTTAATGATATTAAACTCTTTCCATCCAATATTAGGAAGGTTAGTAGGGTATTGGTAATTATCTTTGATAATAATAGGCTAAAGGATTATGATCATTATGATTTTAAGGGTATTTATGCATATTAGCATATGCAGAATGAGTATTATATTTTCTAAACTCATTAAATTCATCATTGTCTTTTTTTTCAGGTTCTTTTTCTTCCTATTCTTCTTAATCTTCTTCTTCTTCCTCTTCTTCAACTTCTTCTTCGTCACTCATTTAATAAAAATTATTATTAATTATTTTAAACAGATAATAAAAATGATAGCATTTTTTTCATTTATAATAATTCCTAAGTAATGCATTTAAAGGTCTATCTGATTCAAAATATTTTGTATATCTAAAACATTGATCTGATGGATATAGCCGTTTCCATCCTCTACTTCTTTTCATTTCTTCTTCTGTCTCTTTTATAATATACTTTTCAAATTCCTATTAATGTTTCTTAAAATCATAATTGCTTTAATTTCTAACATAAGATAAATCTTATGAAAATCTTTAGTCCTTTAATAATAATGAAGATTACTAATGGTACTATTCCTATAAGAGTAAATAGATCTGCTAACATTTCTCCTTTAATTTTGAGATCTAATGGAGCATCAATATTAAGTGAAGGTGAAAAATTGACTTCTAAAAGCCATGGTTTCAAAACTTAATCAACTAGTACATCAAATCCAAATAATGAAAAACAATTAGATCTAAATGGTACATTCATTTCGCAAGCTTAAAATATGGCACTTTCAACACTTATTATTGTTTTAATTATTAAATCTTCTATTCTTTCAAAGATTTATGACTAATTTACTTAGTTTATAAATACTTCATTGATTTTGTTTAATTTTAAATATTCTCTTAAAGCTAATAAACTCCATTTGCTACCTACATAATCTAATGTAGGATCTTGATTTGCAACAAAATTAGGAGAATCCTTATTTACAGAATAATTAGTTAAGTGCACAAATCTATTTTATTTTACAGAATCAGGATTATAGGCTTCAGTTGCAAATCGTGCTAATCCATCTTAATAGACGTATATTCTCAATGGATTTATACAAGTTATAGCTACATATATTCTCAAATCAAATTTCAAATTATTTATCAATAATGGTTTATCAATATAATGTGATACTACATATGAATTATTGGCATTCTATTTGTTCAATATCTTTATATAATTAAATCTGTTAATTTACATCTTATATCTTATCAGTTATAAAGATACCTTTTCCTTAAGAACTAGCATGCGGTTTACATATATAAACAGGATTGTTATTTTTTATTTTCTCATGTTCCTCTAAAAAATAACTCATCTCTGCTGGTAATATATAAGTCTTTGGAATAAAATTAAAATTGATAAACCCATGATTTATTTACATTTTTGAAATATTACGATGCATCAAATCTTTACGAGTCATTTCATATGATTTAGGAAAGTGACAAATTTTTTAATAAGCAAATAAACTTGTATAAACTTCAGATTTTATTGCACATGATGACCAATACAATGTCCAATTTTTATCATTACTTTCCTTGAAACCATTCTCTTCTAATAATCCTTTCACTAATTTAATTGGGCTGCTTCCAAATTTAAAATAATAACCAACATCCTTTTTATTAACATTCATACATTTATTATTATATCAGTACTTCCTGAATATGGTTTAAAAGTTAAACATCTTGTCATTGGACTTAAAAAAGAACTAGTATCCTTTATTTAAGTTTTTGGTTGTTACTATCGATTTAAACTCACTGCTTTTCTTTTGAATTTATCCTAACCATTACTATAAGTATTTGGTATTGCATTCAACACATTTAATTACTACTTTATTCATTTCATTAACAATCTTACTTTTATTTGAGGAAGCAAAGCATTTCCAATACTTGGTTTCTGTCTTTAATTTTATTAAGCTGATTTACTATTTATTCAAAAACTATACATTACTGTTCCTAATTACTATTTGGATGATAGTGTTTATTTAATAGACTTATAATGTCATCAATTGAATCACTAGGAGAATTCATCTAAAATTATTTAAACTCTAAATATTATTATTATTTATGTAATCATAAATTCGATTAAACTAATAGATAAATTTATTGGCTTTAACAATACATATTAAACTACTAATAAATATAATCATACTCTCAAGACAAATCTTTAGATAAAATATGGAACAAATTCAAAACGTTATTATACAATTAATTTATCTCCATACAATCATATGTGCATTAAGTTGTTTTCTAAAAAAATTAGATTATTTATAAACTTATTTGATTCTTTTTTTATTTATTTCAACTCTAAATGAAAGTTGCAAAAATTTAAATATAATAATATTCTTCAAGACTTTCAGAACAAAATTATATAATATATCACTAAAAAGCTATTAAAATTTAATAATAAATGACAATTACATTAAAATTATTAAAGATAAAAAATAGGTTAAAAATAAAATTTTATTTGATTAAGATTGAATTAAATTTATCACATAATTCGTTAGAGAAGTATTAGATAATTTCTCAATAAGAAATGAAAATTAAAGAAGATAAATAGAAGCTTCTAATAATTTATAGGATTTGATAGAAAGATTGAATTATTATACTAAAAAATAATTAAGCAGTAAATTAAATTTAAAGCTGATGACTTATATCAGATAATCTTTGGAAGATATTTAAAATGTGGTTGAAACCTACTCTTAAGAAAAATATAATTAATTTAGGTTAATAATTATTTTCATAATTAGATTAGATAAATGGAGAATTTTAATAGATAGAATAAATAGTCTTAAATAGTTTATTGTGTTTTAATTTATGTGAGGTTCTAGGTAAAATAATTTTAATTCCTTTTCCTTAAAATAAATTAATTCCTAAAAGTGTTTCGTCTTATGGATTTAATATTCAATTTGTTGTTATAGGTAAAATAAATAAAAAACGATTATTTATGTCAGAATACAAATATTCATAATCTCTGATGATTTCGAAAATATCTGCTCCAATATTTATAGTAGTCTTCTACTTAGAAAAGTTATTTAGAAAACCAATAATAGATTTAAATAAAATTTTATTTTGAAGGTCTTTATTGGATTAATTCTATGTGTTTTCATGAAGTTATAGAATCAAAATGAGAAAATTCTACTTTGGTAAAAAAAGAATGAGTTTATTGTTATAATAAAAAAGATTATTAAATTCATTATTTAATAATAATAATTATGCGAAAATCATAGAAAACAGGTTCTTAGTAGCATATAAAAAATATTCTGACACCTTTGATAACTTAATAAAATTCATATAGTCCAGAATATGATTTATAAAATAGAGCCTCAAATAAAGTAGGAAGGAAATCCTCGTTGATTGAATTACATAGAGTTGAAAACGAGTAAATAAAATTAAGACCTTAAAGGGTTTTATAAGTAGTAAAGGATGCTAAGAAGCAACTTCTCTCTTAATAAAATCCTAGAAATGAGAAGAAAATAAAACCAAGAGTAGAGACTTCAGAGTGCTAATATAGAGGATTAGATTTTACATTTGCATAGAATTTCTCAAATAAATAGATAATAATGAAAGAATTCTCAACTAATGGACTTAGAAAACGATTCTTTGTTTGATTTAGTATCAATTATTTATTTATATCATTGTATTCTTAAGCGAGGTAAAAGTTTCCAGAACCTTATTTTAGAGTATGGGTCTTCTAAAAATTTGGATGGATCTTTGATGTCAATTAAGATTAATTCTTAATCAGTAATTTTAATTTTAGCATCTACAATAACTTTAGTATTTTTGGTGCATGGATGTGATGCAATCTTATAACCATCTCTAGTTAATAATTAATTTTAGAAAAGACTAAGAGTTAAAGTTATGGAATTATCAATTTTATATTTGATGCATTCTTCTTTGAAATTTTCATCTGTAAATTCATCCTAATAAATAAAACATTCTGGGTTAACTCCAGCATAATAATAAGAATCTTTACGAATGAATAGTAAACCATTTTTGGTATAAGGAAAGATAGTTTTCTATAATTCAGTAATTGATGGGATTACAGGAATCCATTCAAAATTATAATCTTATTCTTCTATATCTTAACGTAATTAATTAAGAATATGTCCTTTAATCCAAAAGTATCTTAATTCAGCAACTTAATCACTCATATCCATCTTACCCCATTATAAAATATCATAGATATAAACTGTATTTACACTTAAGAAACAATCTAAAATGCATCTACCAATCAAAGTCTTTTAACTTCCTTATAAATTTTATTATTTAACAATTACCTCCTGGAAGTGAAGATGAAAATTTATATTTTAGACCATTTATTGTTTTTAATACAGTTACTCCTTGATGACTACTTACAATACATCGTTATCCAACTGGTAATATTCGAATAAAGTAGTCATTTATACAAATAGATTCTCCATTATAATATTCGAAACTTTAAAAATTCTTGCAAAATTTTCGCAGGTTTTATTATTCTAGTTTTAAAGTAGGTTCTTCAAGTTTAAGTTTATTAAACTCTATCTCTATTTCCTCTGTTAATTACTTTTCTTCTTCTTTAAGCCAAAACCTTTTTTGATTGAAGATAGCTAAACGACTCATTCTTCGTATATTATCATTTTCTCTCTCCACTATTTATTAATTCAATTTCATTTTATTTAAAATATAATTAAGATTCTCATCATTATCCTTTTAAATGTTAACATATATTTTACTAACAATTTCTATATAATCAATTCAATATAATGGCATGTAAACATAATCATAGTTTTCATTATCAAGAATTCCTAATAATGAATGTAAGGCATGTATTGGATCAGGTGCATTTTGTGAATATTTACTAAATCCACTATAATCAGATTAACAATGCTCTAAGAATTCCATTAATCGTTTTTTATCTAATAAATCTAGACCTAGTAATTTTAATATCCATCCATCCATTCCAAAAAGAGTAACAAGAATCAGGAACTTTATTTACTCTTCCAGCAATTCAACCAGTCATTTTACATTATCTCAATACTAACCATTCTATTGAACTACTTTTTTATGATATCTCATATTTTAAAATTATTCTACAGCACAATAAGTTGCACCACAATGAGATTCCAACTAAGGTCTTAAACCAAAAGCACCATCTTAGATTTAACATGTCAAGATGAATTTTCGAACATTATTATCTACTTTTAACATATCTAAATATGATAAAGCATTAAAAACTATTCTTAAATCTGCATCATTAGAACTTATTGATGAATGAATATTTCCACCTTCTAAAATAAGTGATCAAACAAAATTTATAGCAGATTCTTCATTTACTTATATTTAAGGATTTATCTGCTTTAATATAGACACTCCACAATATGAATTCACTATTGATGGTTCACAATCATCTAAATTTGATGCTCTGTATTTGTGAGGTTATACTTCTATTGTTCTTAAATAATCGCATATAGATTATTTATCATATTCAGTTTTCAATAATTTTGACACAACAATATAAAAATAACCTCTTTAAAGATTCCATCTTAATTGGGAGTCTCTATTTGTATAGGATCATTTTTATGAATTCTTCATGTTTCTCAACTTGTAACAATTATTACATATTAAATTATTATTAAAATGGAAAGCAAACTATAAAATTTTGAGATTTTGAACAAACTAGGTATGATTGTAATCAGGAAATTATTGTAGGTTCTGGAGCTTATTCTTCTGTTTACAAAGTGTAAAGAAAGTCTGATGGAAATATTTATGCTTTAAAAAAAGTAAAAAGTTGTGATGAAATAAAATAAAGGTTAAATTAGTGGATATAGGAGATAGAGAGAAATAGAATGCTCTGAATGAGGTTCGTTTTATAGCATCAATCCATCATGAGAACGTAGTTTCTTACAAGGAATGTTTCATTGAAGNCATAATCATAGTTTTCATTATCAAGAATTCCTAATAATGAATGTAAGGCATGTATTGGATCAGGTGCATTTTGTGAATATTTACTAAATCCACTATAATCAGATTAACAATGCTCTAAGAATTCCATTAATCGTTTTTTATCTAATAAATCTAGACCTAGTAATTTTAATATCCATCCATCCATTCCAAAAAGAGTAACAAGAATCAGGAACTTTATTTACTCTTCCAGCAATTCAACCAGTCATTTTACATTATCTCAATACTAACCATTCTATTGAACTACTTTTTTATGATATCTCATATTTTAAAATTATTCTACAGCACAATAAGTTGCACCACAATGAGATTCCAACTAAGGTCTTAAACCAAAAGCACCATCTTAGATTTAACATGTCAAGATGAATTTTCGAACATTATTATCTACTTTTAACATATCTAAATATGATAAAGCATTAAAAACTATTCTTAAATCTGCATCATTAGAACTTATTGATGAATGAATATTTCCACCTTCTAAAATAAGTGATCAAACAAAATTTATAGCAGATTCTTCATTTACTTATATTTAAGGATTTATCTGCTTTAATATAGACACTCCACAATATGAATTCACTATTGATGGTTCACAATCATCTAAATTTGATGCTCTGTATTTGTGAGGTTATACTTCTATTGTTCTTAAATAATCGCATATAGATTATTTATCATATTCAGTTTTCAATAATTTTGACACAACAATATAAAAATAACCTCTTTAAAGATTCCATCTTAATTGGGAGTCTCTATTTGTATAGGATCATTTTTATGAATTCTTCATGTTTCTCAACTTGTAACAATTATTACATATTAAATTATTATTAAAATGGAAAGCAAACTATAAAATTTTGAGATTTTGAACAAACTAGGTATGATTGTAATCAGGAAATTATTGTAGGTTCTGGAGCTTATTCTTCTGTTTACAAAGTGTAAAGAAAGTCTGATGGAAATATTTATGCTTTAAAAAAAGTAAAAAGTTGTGATGAAATAAAATAAAGGTTAAATTAGTGGATATAGGAGATAGAGAGAAATAGAATGCTCTGAATGAGGTTCGTTTTATAGCATCAATCCATCATGAGAACGTAGTTTCTTACAAGGAATGTTTCATTGAAGACAATAATCTATGGTATGGTTAATCGTTGTAAAGAAAGTATTATAATGGAGTACGCAGAAGGAGGAGATTTATTGTAAAAGATTTAGAGGTTTGTAAAAAAATAGTAAATGATTCCTGAATAAGAAATATGGCAAGTTGCAATTTAAGTTTTATAGGGATTAAGAGCATTACATCATAAAAAAATACTGCATCGAGATTTGAAATGTGCAAATATATTTCTATATGAAAATGATTAAGTGAAGCTTGGAGACTTCAATGTTTCCAAATTAGCTAAAAATGGTTTAGTCTACACTTAAACTGGGACACCATATTATGCAAGTCCAGAGGTTTGGTAAGATAAACCATATGATCACAAAGCTGATATTTGGTCATTAGGTTGTGTGATCTATGAAGCCTGTGCTCTAAAACCGTATATATTATGCAACTATTAGTTTAGACCATTTAGAGCTAAAGATATGGATGGACTATATAAATCTGTTCTAAGAGGATAATATTAGCCTATCCCAGTAATATATTCCTAAGAACTAGTTTAATTAATTAAAACTATGATGTAAGTGCATCCTCAAAATAGACCAGATTGTGGTAACGATATTTTATTTATTTTTTAGATAAATTACTATAATATTAGTATGTTTAAAAAAAAGCTAAGCAATTTGGAATTCCTTTAATGTCAGAAGATATTGAAGATGATTTATTAAAAACAATTAAATGGCCAATTACTAGAAAAGGATTGTAAGCAAATAAATCAGAGTTAATTAATCTAAATTTTTAATTACCTGGTAGCAATTATTTAAATTAACATAATTCTAATCATATTAGAAGAAATCAACAATCAAATCGAATCAAATCTTAAGATACTAATGATTCTATCTCTCTTAATTAACCTAATGAGGCTTTACATCAGTTAATGAAATAAATTACTTAACTAGAATAAAAAGATATTGAAAAGAGTCCTAATGTTAAATAAAATTTAAATAAATCTACTTCTAAATAAACTATTTAAGACAATATCTTACCTCCAGATAGAAGATTAAGAGTTTCGAATTCTACACATGAAAAACATGAAAAATATGATTCAATCTAACCGTAATTATTCAATTATTATTCTAAGTAAATGTATCTCAAAGGATAGGATAGAACATTAAATTTAAATTAATTCTAATTATTATGCTAAAGATGTGATTCAATCACTTAATAAATAACATTATTCACAGAAGTTACCAATCATCTCTGGAACTTAAAGATAGGATGAAGAATAGTATATTTTAAGAAAGAATTCTTCTAATGAAAGAAATCCTAGTAATCATGTTAAGAGATCCAAACATGATCTTTTAAAAAAGGATCTCTCAATGTAGCCAAGTGCAGAAAGACCAACTGTTTTAATGAAAATAATTGAGGAACATTAATAATTACCTAAAATTAAAAAAAAGTAGTGAGATATAATTAAATTATCACACTATATATAATTTTCCATAATATATATATTTATTTATATTTCTCAGAAATATTTAAAAATTTAAGCATTCCATCCATCAACAATGACTCCTAAACCATTATTTCTCATATCATCTCCACTTCTCACATAAGTCTATCCAGTAATTAATTCAGTGATTGTTTATTATCCACTTGAAGCGTCACTTAATTTAACAAGTCCATATCCAGATCCATCAGAGTAATTAATAATAACAACTATTTTTTCTGATGAATTAGTCCACTATTGCATATTTTAATAGAATTACTCTAAAAGCAAAGAACTTCCAATATTAATCTCCAATAACATTCAATTAAGTCCAATTTCCTGATTTAAATGCATCTTTATTTAATATTGGTAATATCTTTCCATAAAACCATTTAGCATATGTTGAACCACTTTCTTTGTAACTTCTTCTTAAATGAACATCTAATTTATTTGATAACCCCTCCAATTATCCATGATTAATAAATCTAGCTCCAGGAATAGAATAACTCATTAATGCAGCAACACATGAGATATAATCTTTTCCACTAAATTTTATAATAGCTCTTGGTTCATCATGATTTTCAACAAAATGATTTGAATGAGTTGCATACTATTATTATCTATATAATATAAATACATTTATATTTAAATTAGATAATATTGCTCTAACCTTTCCAACATCTAAAGTTGCCTATTAATCCAATAACCATTTTTCATATACATAATCAAATCCTAAATCTATAAGATCTTATTCCTTGCTCCAATAAACTTCAGCTAAGAAGATTGTATTAGGATATTGTTATTTTGTTTCCTTAATGACTTCAGACCAAAATTCACTTGAAGGTCTTTTGTAACCCCAAGCATCTAATTAAGGTTTCCATTTATTGTAAAATAAATCATTCAATATAACCATAGCCATATCACATCTCATACCATCAGACATTGAAGCAATCTTCATTACTACAGACTTTAAATAGTTTCTAGTATCTTAATTCCAATAATTCCATTAAGCCGTATCTTTCCAAAATCCATCCCATTAATCACCACCGTAACTAACACCATCAGGTAAATAATATTCAGAATCATAGGGTGTAGGAGTATTAGGAGGAGCTCTTATATAATAGTCAATATTTGATGTTCTATATGGACTATCTATTGCAGAATGATTAGGAACAAAATCAAGCATTAATTTTAAACCCATATCATTCAATTTCTTTCTCAAATTTATAATGTCTTGGTCTGTACCTAATTCTGAATTACATACGAATTCAGTAATAGCATAAGGAGAACCTATAACATCATCAATAGTAAAGTCTGGTAAATTAGATTTATAATCATTTGCATGAGCTTTATCAAACTCTAACCCATATTTTCCAAGTTACCAAATTCCTATATTTAATAATAAAGCTCACCCATTAGCCAAACATAATCAACTCCAATTTCTTTAAGATGCTAAAATTCTTCCATCGGAATATCATTTAACTTGCTAATCTTTCTTCCATATTTATCAGATAATTCATAAAGCCAAGGTCTTAATGAGAGTTCATAAATTGTAGGATTGTATGCATTCACGAAAACATTCATTAATAAAATTCCGATGACGAAATTATACATAATATTAATTAATCAAAATCTATTTTTCTTATCTATTTCCTCTTAAACCCCGATAGATTGATCAAATCATTATTATATTGTTTATTATATAATTTTTACTATATTATTCATACCATCTTTACCATCAATATAAAAACATATATCTAAATATAATTCTTACATCATGAGATAAAATATATATTAATATAATGAAGAGTTAAAATACTTAAATGGAAGACTATCTTTTTAATATTTATGATATATAGATTATTTTTGAGCACAAAGACCAAAATTGAGTAGATAGATTTCAATTTTTGGTTGTTTAAGAATACCTAACAAAATTTTTAAAATTTCAAAGAAAATTTATTTCTAAATAAAGAATTTTATAAGGGAATAATTTTAAATCATGAATTTCTTTTTCTAGAGATTTAAAAGTTTGAAATGATGAAAGGGAGAATAGTTCGCTTGTTACCATTCGAATTAAAATCACTTTGGTTTAATAAAATTTAGAAGATAGCAACTTTTTTATTCTTAATGCCTTAATCCTAATATTAGCTGTAAAATATTTATAAAGTAATCTTTCATATTTAATTGTATACAATTGAATAGGGAAGATCGAAAAATATTTTAAATGTATTCCTCTATTTTTAGAATGTCGTTTAAAGGTATATTCTCTGCTGCATAAGTTTGTATCCAGATTTGAACTTGATTTGAGTCAAATAATGGGGGAAAGAGCAATTTTTAATAATCTGTTTAAATCAAAAGCTAATTTGAAAATTTTTATTCAGAAAAGTATAAAATGGTAATAGAATAAATAAAAAAAAAGCAAAAAAATGTAAAAAACATATTCTTCTAATATTACTATAATTAAAATTAATATCGCATAAGATAGAGTAGATAAACTAATATACTTTTGATTGTTTACATCTGTGTTAAAGATTATTTTGATAGAAGTTAAACTAAGCTGTAATTTAAAGATTCAATAGTATGTATGAAACTTATTATTTTATCTCGCTAATGATTTTTAGAGATTTTAGAATAATTGTGAAATATAATAAATATCAAATTTCCATTTTAATCTTATTTTTTGTAACTCTATATTAAAATGGTGGAATTGTGTTAGGAGCTTAATATAATCATAATATTTTTTTCTTGTCCACTCAAATCACATACTTTTTGCCAGTCCTTTTTATTTCTCTTCTAATAAATTCAAAAACTCTATTTCAATACAGTTACGCTTATTCAAAAATGCAAAAATCACTTATTTAATATTATGCTTATAAATAATTTAATACTAGAGTTACTTACATTCATCCATTTATTTTTAGTGATAAATACTATTTTTTATTCAAAATTTGAAGAAAGATACTCTCTAATAATATCTTTCGTTATGATTTAAGCTTTATATATGCTATTTATAATTTTCGTTCTTAAAAGAATCTTAATTTTATAGTTCATATAGAATAAACTTTCTAGTTAATTTTATTATTTATATTTACAACATTATCTCATATATTTAATACTTGAATTGAATCAAGATATTTTAGCATTCCTTTATTGTTTGTTTATTAAAAAGGATTATTTACAGAATAAAATTTAAGAAAACAGCTAATAGTTTTTAGTTAAATATATTGCATTAATATTTATATTTTTGCTAAATTTAGTTTTTTTGTAATTTTTGATAATATTAATTATATTTTTATACAAATATATATAGATATATACAACAATCAAGTTAATAATTCTAAATTGTGCATTTTTCCAAATTGTTTTGTCTTTTCCAAAACATCATTATTTTATGCTTGAATTATTTATGAAATTTACATTTTAGAATATCCTAAAAGTGTTAGTTTTGGCAAACACATTGGAAAGACAAATTAACATTTTCTTAAAGAGGACTTTTATTTTATTTTAGATTAGTTAAGATTTCACCGAACTTTTTTAAAATATCCAACCACAATTAAAGTGAAAATCTATCTTTTTGAATCCAGTTGAAGTACATTTTTTATAGATATTAAGAATAATTGACTAGCATTTGATCATTATTTGTTTAGAGAATCTATTACTACCTAGAAGTAACTTAATTAAAGAGAGTAGAAAATTCTTTTTCTTTTAAATTGATGTAATTATAATTTAAAATAACCTACATCATTATTTAAATAATTTTTTGTAAATGCTCATTTGAAAGATTTAGTGCTAGTGATAATAGATCATTCAGAAATGCATTATCTTATTAATGAATATATTTTTCATAAGTGGTAAGTATTTATAAAGTGTGTTTAGCAATGAAACCATCTACAGATGAAACACTTCTAAGTTGTTTTTATTTAAGCAATGTGTTTAATATTTCTAAATGCTTTCTTAATATTTAGACTAATTCTTATTCAGATTGATATCTCTAAATCTATTCAAAAATATCTTATATTAAATTCATAATGATTTGAGCATCAGTTGAATCTAATGTTTTTTTTTCTAACTCTGTAAATATTTTTAATAATAATTAAACTATATTATTTAGGAAATTCATAGAAAAATCTAATTCACTATTTTATTTTAAAAATTTCTGAATTTCAATTAAAAATTCTTACAAAATTTCAAGCGACTAATCAATTAAATATTCTAATCCCTATTTAAAACAATCATAATAGTTTTCTAAGCTTTCTCCCTAATGTAAGAATTCTATAACTAATTTTAATAAAGTATAACCACAATAAGAGGATAACAACTATTTTATTGAGTTTTTTTTGATGCTTTCAAATTTTTAATTTTAAGTTAATATATTAACAACTGTAGGCCAAAATTGTAATAGTCTANAATTATATTTTTATACAAATATATATAGATATATACAACAATCAAGTTAATAATTCTAAATTGTGCATTTTTCCAAATTGTTTTGTCTTTTCCAAAACATCATTATTTTATGCTTGAATTATTTATGAAATTTACATTTTAGAATATCCTAAAAGTGTTAGTTTTGGCAAACACATTGGAAAGACAAATTAACATTTTCTTAAAGAGGACTTTTATTTTATTTTAGATTAGTTAAGATTTCACCGAACTTTTTTAAAATATCCAACCACAATTAAAGTGAAAATCTATCTTTTTGAATCCAGTTGAAGTACATTTTTTATAGATATTAAGAATAATTGACTAGCATTTGATCATTATTTGTTTAGAGAATCTATTACTACCTAGAAGTAACTTAATTAAAGAGAGTAGAAAATTCTTTTTCTTTTAAATTGATGTAATTATAATTTAAAATAACCTACATCATTATTTAAATAATTTTTTGTAAATGCTCATTTGAAAGATTTAGTGCTAGTGATAATAGATCATTCAGAAATGCATTATCTTATTAATGAATATATTTTTCATAAGTGGTAAGTATTTATAAAGTGTGTTTAGCAATGAAACCATCTACAGATGAAACACTTCTAAGTTGTTTTTATTTAAGCAATGTGTTTAATATTTCTAAATGCTTTCTTAATATTTAGACTAATTCTTATTCAGATTGATATCTCTAAATCTATTCAAAAATATCTTATATTAAATTCATAATGATTTGAGCATCAGTTGAATCTAATGTTTTTTTTTCTAACTCTGTAAATATTTTTAATAATAATTAAACTATATTATTTAGGAAATTCATAGAAAAATCTAATTCACTATTTTATTTTAAAAATTTCTGAATTTCAATTAAAAATTCTTACAAAATTTCAAGCGACTAATCAATTAAATATTCTAATCCCTATTTAAAACAATCATAATAGTTTTCTAAGCTTTCTCCCTAATGTAAGAATTCTATAACTAATTTTAATAAAGTATAACCACAATAAGAGGATAACAACTATTTTATTGAGTTTTTTTTGATGCTTTCAAATTTTTAATTTTAAGTTAATATATTAACAACTGTAGGCCAAAATTGTAATAGTCTATCTGTATTGACTCTTAAGATTTCTACTGATATAAAAATGATTTAGGCAAATTTAATATATTCTTATTTAAAATCACTGATATTTTAAATAGATTCTAATAAAAGACCTAAAAATTCATTTAATCTATCTTTATCTAAAAATTTAGTTTAATTGATAAGATTTGATAATAGATAGGGAGATTTTATACCAATTTAATGTTGTTACTCTTCTTATTTTGGTAATTCATTTAATAAATCATCTTCACTTTCTTCATCAGTAGTTTATTTTAAGAACTAAGTGAAAAGTTAAATAACTCCTTCATTTGAGCCCATTTTTTTTTTAGTAAATTTATTATTTAGTTTAATTCTGCTTAATACATTTCTACAATCTTTACTTATATTATCAGTAGCTTATTTATGTCTTTGCATAATTGAATTATTGATTAATTATATAACTGATTAAAATTATTGTGTATATGGTAATAATTATTCAGCAATATAGAAACCAGCATATAATGACATTTCGTATTAATCATTTCTCATTTTCATAACACTTATAAGTATTTGTTAAGCATTATCCAATTTATCATTGTTAATACAAATATCAATAACTTATTGTAAAAATGATGTCAATTCCTAAACATCTTATGTTTATGCTATAAGTTCTTCTATATTATGAACCATATCAGTTAAAATTAAATCTCCATAATGTTCTTCATCTGTTTAGATTTCAAAATATTCATTCATAGTTTAATAAATTTATTTTGCCTCTTATTTAATTGTTAAATATTTATCCCAAACAAATTAACTTAGATCCTCTGTTGTGGCATAGTCTCTTATACATTTAATTTCATCTTATTAAATATTATTATAATCAGCAACTAAAACATCACTAGGGAGACTTTCTCCATTATTTATTTTAAGGCAAGTTTTTTTGAAATCATCTAAAGACATATGTTTGGTAACAGTTTTGTTAAAAAGATCTGTATTTAGTAATAAAATTGCATAAGTATAAGTGTATAAGTAATCAGGATGTTAAAAATAAGTATTATCTTTATTCTATTCAAAATATCGAATTGTAAAAGAATTTAAAACTCTTTCAATCATCTAACTTTCTCCAAATAGTAAAAAATTAGATGTTAAATATCTTAATGCTTCAACTAAACTCAATTAAGAATAATCAAATGTATTTACATATTTTTCCATAATTGTAACACATTCCTCTTTATGACATCCTAAAATTTCAATCATTAATTTTTCATTAAATAAATTACAATATTTCAAAAAATTAACAACTTATGTATGTGGCATTCCTTTAATTGAATTTCTAGGTTCATTAGTAAAATCTTATATAAATTATGTTAATCTATTTATTTATTATTAACTCTTTTTAGTTAAGCTTGTTTTAAATAATTAAACTTATAATTCATAAATTTATTTTTGTAATGCTCTACCATCATCACATTATAATCTTTTTGAAATTCTACTTAATTCAAATATTTTTTATACAACTTCTTGAAAAACAGGTTTTTAAAATGGATTCATATCACATTTTTTAAATATGTATTTAATTTTTTCTTTATCACTAAATAAATCCATTAAAAACTTGACAAAAAAATGAGTATCAATTTCACATTATTATGCCATTTCAGTAATAGTCATATTAGATAATCTATTTAAATGATTTGATATGCCCTTTAAGACCACCTATCCAAATAAAGTTCTTGTTTCAAATAAATCATCACCTAATTTATCTTACATATTAAGATTTAACACAAATAACATTGCTTAATTTAAATAGTTCCATATCACTGGATGATCAAATTTTACCAATTATAATAACATAGGTATATAGTATTAAATAATAAATTGTGAAGGTCTCCTTAATTATATGATAAATATCATTATTGAATATGGATACTCAATTAATTTTACAGTTTCATTATTTCTATTTGCAATCTATTATAATATCTCATTCCTTAAATCAAGTAATATACAAATTAGTAATTCTTCATTGCATGTTTAACTCATTCTTTTTAATCCTTAACTCAAAGAATCTCTAGCCAATTCTCTTATTAATAGATTTGGAACACTTGATTCTATTTATCTATTCATTTTTATTAAATTGTTCATGATTGGAACATCTATTTCTGGATGCTCAAATGAATTTCTTATAAACTTTCATTAATGTTTATTTCATTACTTTTAGTTTTTTTTCTAATAACAATTAATTCACTGATGTTATTTTCTATACAGCATCTACCATTTACTCTAGAACTTCTTTTCCTTCTAAATAAATAATTTTAGAATAAAAATTTATTAAAGCTATTGAAACTTGTTCATCTGAATCTTCATACTTTAAAAGTCCATTTAAAGTGCCTTAACTAAAGATTTATCCAAAAGATCCTAAAGCTAATTAATTTGACTTCTTATAATCTCTTATACGAAGCAAAATACTCTAAACTTCGAATTACACGTTGTCCATTTTTTTATTAATTAAATCAATAAAGCTAAATTGTTTGTATATGCTTATACAAAATAAAATAACATTAATCAATACCTATGTCTTAGAATTATCATCCTATCTCTCTTTCTATTATTCTAATTTTGTGTATAATTATTATCTTCCTTTATATTTTAAAGTCAAATTGAATTCTTTCATTAAGACTTTCTTTCAAACATTAACACTTAAAATTACAATTCTTTTAATTTAATAAAACTCATTTTATTTTTAAATATCCACCAGAAATGGAATCCAAAAATTTTTAATTGTTAATTAAAGCATTATAACTTCAAAATTAACATTAATTATCCTATAATGCCGTTAATCTATTTTAGAGATAATATTGGATTGTTTATTTAATTTTAAAGTAATTATAAGCAGGATAAATAATGAAACTGAAAAGAATGCAAAATTATTAAGAAATTAAGAATTAAATTTTTTTTATTTCTTATAATTAAATTCAAAATTAAAAGAATAAAATATTAAATGATCAGATATTAATTATCTTAATTTATTGCCCATTCTTCACTCATTATTTAGGTTATTAGGTAAAGATTTTTATGTAATATGAGATAAAAATTTTAAGCCACTTTTAATATGGTATAGATAATATGAATTCTAAATAAATTTATATTTATCCTCATTTAATTAGAATATAATCAAATCTTATTTCTATTTGATAATTATATTAAGTTTTTTTCAATAGATGTTTTTTTTTATTGTCAATAGAACTACTCAAATTAAAAAAAAGTGAGCAGAATTTGATTTTTTACTAATGTTAAGTTTCTATTCATTAATAAATTAATTAATAAACAAAATCCATTTTATTGGTGGTAGTATAAGCACGAGTAAATAATAGAGGAAATTTATCACTCTTTTTGCATCTATTGCTTTATAAAAAACATAATAAAATGTGATTCATTAGTCTCAAATTTATTGATTCAACAATGATTGATTCTTTTTAATAAAAAATTAGGTTAAATATTACATAATGAATTTAATATTCACTGAATTTCACTGAAAGCAGAGAATAAAAAAATAGTGGAGAATTCAAACTGAGTTGTCTTATATAATATAGTATCTTAAAATGACATCAGGACTCTTTTAATTTTGTAAAGAAATTTCATTAAAAACATTATCATTAAATCTTTATTTACTCCTTCATTTAGCATGAATATTAAACTAGAAAAGAAACAAAGGTATAAATCGGTGAATTCAGAGGAAAGATTGAAAATAATCAAATATTTTCTAGAGGGTTCCCTATCTGCTTCTCAAGTATAATTTTGATCTAAATTAATAGATTGCTTAGGTAACAGGTCATAATCTGTCAACTATAAAAGCTATATTTCGTATTTATAGAAATGAAGGAAGAATAAATAAAAAATAAAAAAGGGACCGAGAGCTTCATATCTAAAAAAATGTAGCAGTTTTCGTAGTGGATGAGAAGTACTTACAATATTAATTGTTTATTAGGAAAAGATCTTTGAACTTAATTCTAAAATAACAAACGAAGCAAGAAGTAATATTAAGAAGTCATGATCAATTTTATGAATAATAAAATGATATAGTCAATGAAACAATATAATAGTCTGTGAACGAAGTCATAAACAATATGAACAGTTATCAATCAAAACAGAATTTTGACTAAGCTTTAAAAATTATGTTAAAAGATGGGTTTAATGGTGATGATTTTATCAATATATCAACCATGGTTAATTAATAGTCCAATACGTATTCATAGATTAATGGGTCGGCTATTTCAAATTTATTTAAAAATAAACAACAATAGCCTTCTTAAAAAATAGAAATAATCACACCCAAAAAGATTTGGCCCAAAAAAAATCAGGAATTGAATGATCTTAAACGAGTTTTTCAATAATAATTAGAAGAATATCTAGGAAAATCTCATTCTGACAATTTAAAATGATTTTAAATTTTATTCATAATTAAAATCTATATATATTGGAAAATAATCTCCTATTGTAAGTAATATAACATATTATATTCAATTTATATATTTTATATACTTTTTACACTCAAATATCAATACTTAATAGTATATTAAATAAAGATTATCAGCTCATTAAGACTTTTTACTCTTTTAGGTGATAAATTAATTTAATACGAATGTTTTAAATAAATAGTAATTTTTTCATAATTTTTAGACACCTTATAATTTAAACAAATTTCATTAAATAATATTTTATTTAAAATACTCAATAATTTGCTCCTCTATTTCATCCTTATATATTTACATTTCAATACACTGACCTTTATCAAAAATAATAATTTAATCTCTTCTATTTTGTAATTAATTTCCTATACACTAATTATATATTATTCAATGTTACAAATATATTCTAAGAATTTCTTAAGAAGAATTTAACTATCAATTTTTCACATTCCCTACATTTATGGCTCTTTCTTCAGTCCTTATTTCTTCCCTCTTTTTCCTGTTACCATTTTATTTTTACAAATTAGGTAATATATCATTCAATTTAATAACAATTACTTAAATATAATAAAAAGATGCCTAATTTTTATTTTTATGTGATTCTAAAATTGTCATTGAAATCTTGCATTTCATCTTCTGTTTCTAAAGAGAATTAATGCTTAAAAATAGATTTTATAAACAAAAAGAATAACTAGGAGAAATATATACCTGAATTCTCAAAGAATTATCTAAATTAAATAATATGTGAAAGAACTTAGTGGGGAGATGTTCAATCCTACTGTAATTGCTTCATTTTTAATTACCAATACACAGATTAAATTATATTTTGATATCAATAAAATTTCCTCACCAGAAGCTGCTAATTTGTTTACTTACTATATATACATATATACAGAATAGGTAAAGCTTAATTAATTTATAAAAGATCAAAGACATATTTTTATCCTAACACCTTGCACAGTTAATTTTGAACGTAGCATTAAAATCTTCAAAATGCCTTGAATTTATAATTATTTCATGAGTTGGATATAATGATTATAAATCAACATATTCGGAATTCATATTTTCGAATGAAACAATAATAGGAGGCACTTTGAAAATATCCAAAGCTTTACAACTATAAGCACACTTATTTTCTAAAGAAATGAACTTTGATAAAATCTCTAATTAAAAGGACTTGCTTTTATTAATTTCTTTTACTTCTTTATAATGCTCTTATTTAATAATTATAAATTGATAAAACAGATTCACCCGGTTTATTTTTACCAGCATAAGCTTTTGAACTTAATCCTATTGAACTATAATGGAATATAGCAAAAATAGGCACTGGAATAATTTATATAAAAAAATTTATACAATGTCTTAAGCTCATTGACAAATTGCAAATAAAAGGACTCTGCTAAAATATTTATTCTTTTATTAAGAGAGCATTGCAGAAGCAGAGTTTTAAAGAATGAAATCTAGATAATAATATCAAATTAAAATATTATAGATAACAAATGATAAAATATCACCTAATTGGTTACCTATTTTTTATCATGAGAAAAAATTGAATAGAAAGCATTTTAGAAATTTATTTAAAAAACAAAAAAATATTATCTATATTACAATTTATATTTTAATATTGAATAAAATTTCTAAAAAATGAATCATTTTCCAAAAAGTATTTGTTATATTTACTAAATTTTTTTTGAATATGTAATTCATGAGTTTATAAAAATAATAAATTTTCCATAAATTATAGAGAATTATATATAGTGGTTTTTTTATCAATTGATAAAGCTTTCATAATCCTGATTTCTAAATCTTTAAGATTGTATAAATACTAATTAGAAGTAATGTAATACTAAACATTTAAATGTTTTGTAAAAGATCATAAGCACTTATCTCTATAATAATAGATGAATAAAAAAGCATTCTATTAAGAATTATTCAGCTAATAATGTTCCTATAAAATTAGATGAAAAGTTTTTAATAGATCTGAGAGTATTTTTATTGTAGAGATATTGAGGTTCCCTTATATTATTAATACGATTTTTGAAAAACATGATTAAGGATAAGTGTTTAATTTGAGAAATTTAATAAAGAATTGATTCTTTATCGACTAATTCTTCAATAAGATTGATCATAATTAAAAGTTAATGTACTTATGTGTATAATATTTTTGTATTTTTTCATTTTTCAACTTTAAGTTCTCCAGAATTGATTTTTCCGATGATTGCCTTAACTGTTTAACCATCAACTGTAGCTCCCAAGGATTATGCAGTTCCTAAGACTTATTTAACTGTTCCTGTAAATGTTTTGGCTAAAGACTTTTCTTCAACAGCTCTGGCAACTTTAATGACTTATTCAAGTGTTAAATTTCCATTATGTTTAACATTCTTGGTCTTCTTTCTATCTCTTTCATATCCCTATAATAAATAAATTAGATTATTTACTCCGATTTCTTTAATAAGTAATGCACTTGATGTTGGAATGACTGTGACATCAGCATTTCTATTTTAACATCTCAAATTAACCATAACTCTAATGCCTTTCCATTTACCACTTTCAAGAATAATCTTATCACCAACTTATTTTGGATTCTGTTTAATAAGCAATAATTATTACAAGACCAAGAGGTCCTAACTTTGGAGCTAGAGTGGATGCAGGACCACCTTCTCCTCCGAACACTTTAATGTTGATCAATCTAACTTCATTTGGGTCGACTTTAGGAGGCATTAAAAAAGATTTAAATTTTTTTAATTCTTTTGCAAATCTCAATATAAAACACAAGAATCAAATATTCTTTTTGAAATTTGCACTTATTATTGATGGAGGCCAATATTCTACTCTGTTTCCTTAAGTTCCTCCAAACTTCTCTTCTATCTATTCTTTATTCATACATTAAAATAGTTATTTTACCTAAATTATATTACTATATATATATACATCTCCTTTAACAAATACTATTTTTTATTAAGTTATTTCTTCTAAGAATAACTTTGCCATATTCCAAGTCACATTTAACATCATTGTAGTATTAAATATGAACATTTTATACAATCTGGATCGATAGTTATTTTATAAATAAGACATCACTTATTTTAAGGCCTTTAAATTATATTATTATTTTTTACATTAATCTAAAGTCCTATCATACCTTTATAATCTAGATCAATCAAGATTATCCAATTTTCAACTTTGCCTGGTACCATCATATCATTTACTACTACTTGTAAAAAATAAGTCAATCCTCTTAAATATTATTCAAGACTCATTTCATTAAAATTAACTTTATATGCATTGAGTACTATAATTGGTCTATAAGAATGATCTCTTCCTTAGATATATATAATACCAGCTTTCTAATTTTTAAATGATAAAAGTTACCAGAAATTATTCAACTTGTTAATCGTAAAGGATTGGTAAAGTTTTTGTCCATTACTCATATTATAACATTGTTTAAACTGTTTGATCTTTTTTAAAATTATTAGCTTATAAGAATCTTAAAATTTATGGTCTTGTCCAAATAGGATTTTGGAAAGGCCCAGCTTCTTCAATAAATTTATTTATGGCTGCATTATCTTATTCATCAAGTTCTCCTTCAAATAATCTTCTAATGGTATACTTTCCAATTTTAGTTTTTTTCTCATCAGCAGTTGGTTCATAATTAAGAATTTCTTAGTTTGGTTTAATTAAAGGATATGATTGATCCATAATATTATTAATAATAATTAGAAAATTAATTAATAATTAAAATGCTTTAAGAATAACATAAAGAAAGTCTGAATATGTAATCCTAAAATAAAGAAATTATATTATAAATAAGCTAATATCAGACTTTTTATTGTCTTGGCACATTCCTTATAAGAAGTTATTATTATGAATTTGAATACCGACTGCTATTTTTTTATTTTCCATAAAAGAATAACTATTATGTATTATTCATCAATTCCATTAGTTTTTCTTTGTTGGAATGCTTTTTAAGTAAATCTGCAGCTTTTTTACCTTTTAATGATTATAAATCTTTTTAAGCCTAAAAATTAGTAAGATAAGAAATACTCCATTTTCAATTAAAAACTTAATTATTTGATAATTGATTTCAGCCTCTTTTTGATTTAATTCCATTTTGATAGAACACAATTACATTAATAGATTGAACCCATGAGTTTTATCAACAATCCAATTAATATCAGCTCCATAATGTAGCAATAGTTCAGCCATTTTGAAACAAATTTTTCTATTTTCAAAAACATTTTTTTCCTTTATAAATATAAAATAAAATGTAGAAGTACTTCTTCTAATCGAGCAAAACACATTATAAAAGCAGTTTAATTAAATGTATTAGGTTTATTCACTTCAGCTCCAGCATCAAGAAGTATTTTTAGAATTTCATAATTTCCTGTCATTGCTGCAATAGATAATGGAGTTTATCCTGAATCCATACTCGCTAAATCAACATCAATTTGTGAATTCGAAAGTAAGAGTTTCACAATCTCAAGTCTTCCTAAGTAACATGCACAAATCAAAGGAGATATTTTCTAATCTACTTCAATCTCATTAAATTACTCCAAAAAATTAATATTTGCTATTTGAAACTCAATAATTAATACCTTTATTTATTCCCAATTCTTTTAGAGTATCATAATCATTTTAATGAATTAGGTGCAGAATTAATTGCTAATTTGTATTTAAAACATACTTATTCTGATAAAGTTTTTTCTTCTGCTTAAAACATTAATTACTTTAAATATATATTAAAAAAATAATAATACAATTTGTCTCATTTTGTTAATATTATGCTTTTTGCATCTTCAAAATTTGAAATTCAATTGATAAACATTATTTCCTTCATATTAATGTTTTTATGGTGTTATTGTATTCATTATAATATTTAATTTAGATTAACTTATATTTAAACTAAATACTATGGATCAATTATTATTATGTGATCTATTTAAATATATAATAAATTTATTGTATTTATTAATAGTAAAATTAATATTATATTTGTGTATTGTATATTTTAGCAATTCATAGTTATCATTCATTTTTCATTTTTTATAAGTTATTAGCATCAATTTCTGGGTATTGAAATGGATTTTGTAATTTTAATCCTCTTTAATCTAATTCATTTACAATATCATTCGTAGTTATTTAGAGTTTTTCATCAGGATCTTTTTCTTTTTTTCTCATTCTATCTTAGATTAATTTTGAAACCATGGAATCTGTTATTTCTATCATCCATTTATCAGTTAGATGAGCTTTAATTTAAGAGCACTAAAACCTATTAATTTATAGCAATTTTAATCATTTGTCTAAAATCCACTAGCTTCCAAAATTTCTTAAATTAGAAATTCAGAAATATTAGGTTTTTTAGAGATTGTTTAATTAATTACATTATCTATGGATGTAGTAAATTGTGTTTTTTTTGAGGGTGGGATATCTGGTTATTATTAATTCATAAAAATATAATGGAATTTCAAGAAATATTGGATGGATTTCTATTGATAAGTAATGAATTTTAAGGTTCTCAGAATTACAAAATTGTAATGGAATTGTATAATAGATCCTCTAATTTGTAAGATCTATTTGAAAATGGTTTAATAATAGAAGGAACATAATATGATTTTGACCTGGTTGAACATATAGATGTAACATAGTCAGATTGAGTTTTCTAGGCTACAAAATTAGAATTAGATAAATTTATTAAGAATGTTTAAGATTCAGTTGCTGTTATTTATGGATACAGAAAAATAACAAGTGCTTTTGCTTCTTTAAAAAAAAGATTAGTTTAATAAGAAGAATAATAAAAAGTTGTTATGACTAATTCTTAGGTTATTGCACCTATTCCTATTTAATAATAAACAAGCAATAAGGTTAAATTATTTGATAGATAATTAAGTAATGAAAATCTTGATAATGATTTATAAGAGGAAATCTTCAACATTAATATGAGAATGAAAGGAATAGTTATGGATATATTAAAATAATTAAAATTTGATAATAAAGTAATTATTAAAATATTACATAAGTAAGATACAAATAAGACTTAGTTAAAATTTAAAGAAAATAAGTTATTCAGTTATATGAAATCTAAAAGTTTAAGTTGTTCATCATTATTTTTAATGCTTACTACTTCCATATTTTTATTTATATTTGCAATCATCTTTATTAGAATTTCATGAACTACAAATATCAATAAATTATTATTATTAAAAATTTAATTTATTACAAAACTCCAATTTATTTTTTATTTATATTAAAAATATAATTTAACGGAATGAATAAAGAAAATGTTTGTCAAGCCTTTAAAACTGTCAAAGTTAGCAATCGTGAATTAGAAACATTGGTTAATTCACGAGTTAACTAATTGTAAAGATAACTGTAAGAAAAAGATCAAGAAATTGCTTAATTATAACAATATAATTTACTTCCACAATCTCGATTAATGGAAATTAAATTTGATACTATTCAAACAGAAAATCATTAGTTGAGAAATTAAGTTAATCAATATGAATCTATGATAAAAACTATTTAAAATAAATGCAATTCATAATAAACTTAATTAGAATAATTGACTAATTTACTCTAAGAAACTTAAAATATTTTAGATTTTGAGAGATAAGCTAAATAAGCTTTAGAACTTTAATAATCAAACATTTAACTTGATGCAGAATCTGAAAAATCAGCAATCAAAACATAGATTGATTTATTAAGAAAAGAAAAATATTAATATTAATCTTAATTTTAAGAAATCGAATTATAATTGAAATAATAATAATTGGCTAATATGGAAGTTACTTAAGAATTAACAACACTTAGTAATTCATTTACATAATTATAACTTTCATATTCAAAATTAGAGGAAAGAACATATGAATTGGAATCTAAAAATGAAATCTTAGCTTCTTAATTAGATGTCTATAAAACATAAAATGAATAAATGAAATCTGAACTCTAATAATCTAATCCTAAAAATGTAGAAAAATAGTTTTAATAATATGATAGAATCACTGAGCTTGAAGCAAAATTAAGATTGTCTTATGAAAATACTTCATAATTTCAATAATTATTAAATGAAAAATAAGATCATATTAAGAAGTTAGAAAAATAATTATAGAAATAAATGAATTGGAATGACAATAGTCATCAATTATAGGATTAATTGGAAAAATCTTAATATGCTATTGAAGAGATGTAGTTTGAAAACTAAAAAATTGCTAAATTTTAATAATAATAAATAGAGTAATTAAAGAGACAATTAGAATAACAAAGTAATAATAATGAAGAATTGATTGAAACAAAATAATAATTATTAAAAGTCAAAGCTGAATTTGAAAATTACAAATCCATTTAGGAAAACAAATTAAATGATGTAAATTATAGTAGATTATGTATTAGGTAAACTCAAAGTCATTGTTAGATTAATAAAATTAATGGAATTTGGAAAAATCTAAATTAGTAAGTTAAATATAGCATTTGTCAAGTTAAGTTGAATTTCAATAAAATTAATCTCATGATTAATTAAGAATATAAGTTGAAAGTTAAATGGCTTTAAAATATGCAGCTGAAAAAGTTTAATTAGAAAATTAATTATGGGGTGTTTAAGAATAATTAAATGGAATTTAGAATTCTATTGATTTATACGTTACAAAAATCAGTTAACTAAATATTGAGAATGATTAATTGAGAGAATAATTAATAGAAAATTAGAATAGTTCAAAGCAAATATTAATTTACGAAACATAAATTCGTAACTTTTGTGTGGAGATTGAAAAATTAAAGAATATTATAATATAAAAGAGTGATCAAATAGAATTTATTTCTTAAAAAACAATTCAGACCGAAAATTTAATTAGTTATGTTTAAGAGTTGGAAAGAAAAGTGAATCAATTAAGTTAAGACAATTAAAGATTAAATACAATAATAATTTAAAGATGTAAAAATTCTTGGTGAATAAAAATTATTATTTTACTTCTAAATATAGATATTATCAAATTTATAATCAAAGTTATCTTTTCTTAAATCTTAAAAAATATTTAGGCTATGATTTGGTTAATTTTTTAGATTAAATATTAGAATTTTTTTCAAAGAAATTAAAATTAAATTCTTATAAAGTTGAAGCTACTTACACTGTTTAAACTTAGGCAGTTTTATATTCAGATGAATGTCTGATTCTATTGGTTTTGATTTATGTAATAACAAATTTATGTTACTAAATTAATGGAGCAAGAACTTTATCTTAATTTCTATAAAGTGACATGGTTCTTAATTCAGTTCTACATCTAGAATCATTAGCAGGACTATTTAAATTACTAAAAGGATTTTATGGAGTAGATAAGTTAGTCTAAGTTAAATTTATAATTATTTTTCTAGCCTCGGCTAAAGAATTAGATTAAGTTCTTCTTAAAAGTTTTTTGATTTCTTTATCATAATCAATTTCATGCAAAGAATCTTCAGTATGTCCCAAATTCAATAATGTTTCTACTGCATTTTTTTCTTTTTAGTTATAATAATTAAACATAATTATTTAATAATAAATCACGATCCTACTTTTTTAATCTACTCTTATATTTACTCTGGTGTTTTTAATGGAATATATGCATCAATTTTAGTATTTTATGGTAATCGAGACTTGTATAATTTAATTATTTGAATACCCTTTATTCCATTAAATCAACATTGAAGAATTTTTTAATAATAGCTCCAATTTTTCTAGCTTCTTATTTATAATTGACTAAATCTTTATCATTTCTTTTAATATAGCTTTGTAATGAATACAACTAAAGATAAGATTGAAATATATACTTGAACTTTTGATAATTTAATTTTATCACAACTTTTTAAAGCAACCATTAATTCATTAATTTTAATGAAACCAGTATTATCTCTATCTTATCTTGTAAAATGTTCAAGTAAAAACATTTCCATTTTACTTCTTTATGCTTCTAATAAACCTTTTACTAAATTTTCGAAGATGGTTTCTTCCAAAACTTTATCACTTATTTGATATTCAACAGGATTTGATCCAATAATTTCCATAATTTGTTTGATTTCATCTTCTGAGAAAGATTATTGCTAATTTATAAAAAAAAAGAAATATACTTCTTCTAAAATTTATTAGAAAATATTTGCAGGAACAGAATGTATTTCATCTTCATCCTTAATTTTGCATTATTCAACAATTTTTTTGTAAATATTTCTAAGATCTGTAGATAGCATCCATTATGCTTCAAATCTACTTTCTTCTTCTTTTTCTCTAAGTTCTTTAAGTGCTTAATTTTAACAATAGATTGAATGTAATGTTTCAATACCAAATGATGAAATATCTTTAAATTATAATATTCCTGTTCTTGAAACATCTAATCTATTGAGAGTATCTTCTAATTAATGTTTTCCTAGATGCAAACCCATTAGTTAAAATAATTAACCTCCTTCTTCATATGAAATAACACCCATATCATCTTTATCAATTTATCTAAAACATTAATAAAGAAGTTCTGTTAACATTTTAATTTCTCTCATTTTTTCTTCTTCTGTTATTGTAAATTAATTTACTAATTCTTAATCATGTTCTAATAATTCTGGTTAAATTATTAAATTTTCTTTTTCTTATTCTGGTTATTTTTCATAAAGTACTTCATCCATTCTTTTATTTATGATTCTTGTTTATTCGAATTCTGTTCCAAGAAACATAATTCTACAAGTACGATCTTTACGTGCTAAGATAGTTTCAATCCATTTCTTAAATTTTATTAATTTTCTTATACCTCCATTTATGAAATTCTTATAGTTCGATTAACTAAATGAATAAGTGAATCATTTTCAAATCTAAATGACATAGTTTTTTCAGAAGGATCTGTTAAATCTGGTATATAGAAGTACACTTTAACTGTTGCGACAGGAATAGGATTTGATGGTGTTGGTAATGAGAAAACTGTCATGAAACTAAATTTATATTCAATCATTTACGTATGTCCAGATGTAGTTTCTTCAATATAGCTTGTATAATATAAATACTTTTTAGTCCATTGACTTACGAAATTATTTATCAAGTGGATGCTTCTTTCTAATAAATCTGTCATCAATGTTATTAATTAATTAATTATTTGTAAAAACAAATTAAATCAATTCAGGAACAGAGATCATTTATTTACACTATATCTAGTAAGTTTTTGGGCATGCTAATTATTTTAAATTTAAATACAATTCTTCCATATTTTTATATAATTTGTACATTTTAAGTTAAACCAATATATCTAAATCAGCAGACAATCTTAGTTTTTATTAACTCATTATCTTTAATACTTTTGATTCCATTTTAAGTTTAATTTATGATTATTAAGCTTAAAATGCCAGAATCGGAAACATCATTTTATTTTCACTCTAATTATTCTAGTTTCTTTGCACTAGATTTTTTAAAGCTACAACTTTTATAAATAATTCTTATAATCTTTTTTATTTATCCTTTATAACAATCTTTTAACTCACCTAAAATTAATTACAATATCAAATACCAATTGCTCTTTAAACATATCAGTTTCATTTCTCCTCATCCTGTGTTTACAATAGATATCTGAAAGTACTCGTTTACCCTCTTTTCTTAACACTTTTGAAGCAATCATAACATTTAACGCATCATAAACTCTCCTTTTTATATTTTATTCATCTTTAGGCTTGTAACTCAATTTTAATTCATACATTATCTAACTCCACTATTTATCCATCAGAACCTAAATCTTATATCAATCTTTATGCAACATCTTTGTAAGAAGTGGATTTCAATTCCAATACTATATCTCTAACCTTTACACTTAAATTACGCAGTCCTTTTATTATAATTCAATTTAATACCTTTCTAACTTCTTTAAGGAGTCTAATCTTAATAGAAGGCTAAATTTATTGATTTTTTTTCATTCTTTTCAGAATAATATCTTCTTGTTTATTCACTTCTACGTTTCTATGGAGTCATTTATGTTGTATTAATTTGAACAATTTAAAATCCCTATTACTTATTTTGTGATTATTTTATCACAACTTGTTTTAATTGAGGAGACTAATTATTTGAAGTGTGATTATCAAACATTTTTGATAATGCTTATTAATCAAAAGGAAAAATATCATCTGTATTTTATATGGGTTGTGCAATATAATAATCTTGCAAAACCATATTATTTGGACTACAGTGAGCACGAAATAAAATAGGACTGTAGGGCTAAAACAAAATCATATTTGATTAACGATGATTTAGAGGAGACGATTCCATTTCAGAATGAAAATCATTCGGAGTCTAATCAGTCATTATATAAATTAATTAAAATTTTTATTCTTTTTAATTATATTTTTGCGCATTTTCTAATTGACATTCTACTTATGATTTCGAATTCATAATTAGTATACCATTATTTACTAATTTAATAGGTTTTTTTTAAGATTTATTGTATTTATTAATTTTTTTAAACTTGATTAATGAACTTTCCTTTCATTTTAGATTTTAAGAATTAAAAAACATAAGAATTTGTTAACATAATTAATAACATATCTTATAATAACAAAAAAAGTAATATTGATTTTACAAATTAGATTAAGGATTGTATTCTTATTTTGCTAAGATAAAGTTTTTGAAAAATTCTTTAAAGAATGATAAATGAGAATGACCTTTTAAATTATAAAGAAAACAATTTGAAATTTACAAAAGGGGTTTATTGGTTTAACATATTTGAGAATGGATTGGAATATTAATCAGAAGAATTTGATTTAAAAGTAATTTATTATGAGCAAATTGTATGTGATTAATTAATATATGATAATGTAAAATAAATTAACTAACATTTAATGTTAGTTTTTTATTATGTTCTTCTGCTATGACTTCATATTTTCTAATATATAGAGTATTTTCATTATTCAAGTATTAAGTAAGTTTTTCCACTTTCAGTGTATCAGTACCCAGATTCTTAAATATATCTCATTTTTAATTGTCTCATTAAACATCTAAAAATTATAGTAATACATGATCTCAGAAAAAAATAAAAGTTTGCTAATGTCATAATGATATAATGTCTTGATTTCTTTAATTTATTATTGATCTCTTAAAATTACTTCTTTTATTTTAGGTGTGTCTATTTTAAATATTAATAAAAATTAAAACTTACAATGAAAAATCAATAACAATAATAATCAGGTAATACTAATGCTGCTTAGATAAGAAAGAAACTGCTTAATAATTAATAAGTTTTATCAGAAAGTTAAAAGAATGAAATAAAAAAAGCATTTGATTATTTTGATACTGCAGGATCAGGTACCATCGAAGCAACAAACTTAAAAGTTGTTTTGAGAGCCTTAGGTTTTGATCCAACTTAAGAAGAAATTGGAAAACTTATTAAAGATCTTGGTAAAGGAGATGTTAAATATGATGCTCAGAGAATTGATTTTTAAGAATTTTTAGAAATTATGATGGTTAAAATGAGTTAGAAAGATTCTCTAGATGATATTAAAAAAGCTTTTAATCTTTTTAAAGATAGCAATAACCCTAAAGTATTATTTCAAATTTTTATATTACTTTAGAAAATAATCACTTTTGATTCCTTAAAGAAAGTTATTTAAGATCTAGACGAAGATATGACTGATCAATAAATATTATAATTATTGAAAGGTGCTCAATCGAATACTAATGAATTGAAAGAAATGGACAAAGATGGAAAAAAAGAGAAGAAATAACCTGAAGATGAATACAAAATAGAAGTTTCAGAAGATCAATTTATTAAAATATTGACTAGAGATCTTAATGATGATAAAAAGAAATTATGAAACTCAATTTCATATTTTAACAATTATTCTTCCCTCATATTATCCAATATTATATAATTGCACAATAAAATTATAATGCAATACAAAAAAACAATTTATTTTATTTCCCCATTTTATTCAAATTCCAACACCATCTACTCATCATTAATTATTTTTTTTAATCCCATTTTGTACATTTTTGTCTATCCTATTAACTCTTCAAATAATTCCCCGACTTCTCATCATAAATATTATTTGATCTAAAAAAACATAAGGTTTCTTGATAAAATTTTAGAAGTTAACATGTAACACTCAAATCAATTTTTGGAAATGATTCTTCAGCATCAAAATGAGGTATCAAAAAAGGTAATTCATTACAATTATTAGTTTATAAAATAATACATAAATGACTTAAGGTTACTTTATACTTTTTTTATCTAATTAATGGCATATATCATAAAGAAATTAAGGGGATAAATATAATTATCTTCTCTTTTTTTTTCTATTTTACTGTTATTTTGTTGTTTTATAATTTAATTCAAGGTCTGGCATAATAAAATCTATGTTGTTTAAAGGTCATCAAATAAACATTTTTATTTTATTTAAAAGATATCTATGTTCTTTAGATCTCTTATTATATATTATATTATAAATTTAAATTATAATTTTAATAAAACCAAGAAGTAAAATATTATAGAAATTATCTTGAATTCATATTCTATATTCATGCTAACTAAAGATTTTAATAAGGATTTTTTATTCCTTATTACACTTTATCTATCATCTATTCTCGAAATTAATTTAATGCTTCCCTAACATCTTTGCATTTTTTTATTGCAATTTCTATTTATAAGATAATATTTTACATTCTAACAATGGCATTAAATCTTTCAGAGCCCTATCTTTTTGTTCTCCTGTCCAACTCTATATATAAACTCCATTTTCAGGTTACAACTAAAAATTTTCTGGCATATTATCAACAATGATAACTTTATTTAAATCCCTTCCAATAATGGATAAGTCCTACTATTAATTATTTACTCTTACTTTAACATACACATTATCTCTAGCTTTTGTATGTTCTCTGTATAATCTGGCCTTTACAACTTATTATTTATCTATTATATCAATTATAAAATTAGCATAGTCAGGTTAAGCAGCAGTAAATATAATTATTTCATAGTATTTTGATAACTTCTCTAAAAATTCTTCTGTATAAGGTCTTACCAAAAATTATCCTCCTCCATTAGGAAACTACAATTGTTATTAAAATTACTTCTTAATAATGAACTAAGGTTTCATCAAGATCAAGTACTAATGTATATGTTTTGGTTGATTTAGAAGGAAGAATCGGTTATTTTTTTTTATCAACAACATTAACACTTTTAGAGATGTTCGAACTCTTTAGACTATTTTCTTTCTATAGTTACTTAGTAATTTGATTTAATATTTTGTTTTGTTAGACAAAATATAAATCAAAACTTTATTATTTAAGTTCTAGTGATGAATATATATCTGAATAAGTCGTGTCGTCAATTCCTAATATTTGTTAATTACTTACATCAATTCTAAAATAGATCTTATGATAAAATTATTTTTTTATAATGTTTATTTGGCTTTACTATTTTATTTTTTTAATTAAAATGATCTTAATTCTATTCTTTATTTCAGCAAAGACTTCATATATTATAATTAATATTATACATGAACTATAGCAGAATTGATGGTTTAAATTAAGTAAAAATTACTTGAGGTTATATAAATAATTAAATTCTTTAAGTTTTAATCTAAAATCTATTCTCCTTTTGACCATTCCATTAAAATGATCAAAACAGCAAAAGATTCTAATAAAAATGTATCAATTATGTTTATCTCAATATCATATAAATATTAACTCTAAAATATAATAGTTTAATACATTAGTTCTTTCAGATAATTAACTAAGAATCTAATGTAACTCTGAGCAATGATTTTATAATGATGGTTAATTTATTTTTTCTAAATTTTATTTAATTTGATTCCATATTTATTCTTTCTAAAGGATTAATTAAATCAATTATTCAGAGATTTCTTCTCTTTTATTAAAAGAGTTTAAATCTTAATAATTTTTCTTCTAATTTGTATTAATTCCATTAGTTTTTCCTATTTATGATTCATTTTAAAATTAATATTTTTCAGTTTTTTATGAAGTTTTCCTTTATAAACTAATATCAATTTTTTGTTTAAATTATTATATTTAGCTTGTTTAAATAGAAGATTGAGAATTATCTCTGTTTTAATTGTTATTTAAACTGTTTTTTTATGGAGTCTTGTCAATGATGCTTCTTTATTTTTTTGCCAATTAAGATAAACTTAATACATTTTATTAACTTTATGAATCTTATTGTTTATTTTGAAACATATAGTATAAATTCTAAAAGTTTTCGTTATTATGATTGAATTCTCTAGTAGATGAAGGTGCAAAAATTTACTATTTAAAATAAGAATCTTTTGTTTTTGGAGTTTTTGACACTTTTTATTATGTATTCTTAGAAATATTATCTGTTTGCTTTATATCTTATTTCTCTCTTAGACTTTATCCAAATTAAGATTTAGAGGAAATTTAATCTGTCTATACTAAATTAGAAAGTATTAATTTAATCTTGGATGCACTATACTAATTCTAATGACCTGTTTTATTTTGAGGGGTATGATCTAAATAATTTTATAAATCAATGTATTTACTTCTATATTCATTTAAATCTTTAAAAGAATTCTTGGATTTACTAGAAACCATAGAATTGTCAGGATTATGTGTTAAGTTAGAATTGAGAAATTTCTTTTAATCATTTTGACGATGTGTGTTCATTTTATTTACTTTAACAGATTTTAATTAATGATCTCATACATATTATTGATAAATAAATGATTGTTAATGAAATCATGATTGACTATTATTCTCTAATAGAATAAGAAAAATAAATAAAATTTACTTAATATCTCCTAATCATATATAAATAAATGTCCGATAGCCAATCTAAGAAGATAAAAAAGAGAAAGAATAGTTAAATTTAAACTAATAGGGGAAAGCCTAGTGATATATAATCAACTCAACTTTCAATTCCTGATATTTGGACTAATCATCCAGTCTGTTTAAAACTCATAAAATATTTATTGGACAATGGAAGACATAATTGCTTGCATTAAGCAGGAAAACAAACAAATAAAAATGATTACAAATCAAAAAAATGTGAAATAAAAAAAAACAAAGAATTTTATACACAATTAGAAAGCATTGCTAAAGAACTTTTTGGTTATTAATGTGAAACAAAAAGATGTATAGTTTTCTTTTTTAGATCTAATGAAGAAGAGAAATTAGCTAATGATAATTGGATTTAAAATTTTCATTAATATAATTAAGATTGTGTAGAGGCTTTATTTAAAATTAAGGCTTTATTTAATGAAAAATTTTTCAACAATTTGATTTTAATATTGTCTTCCAATTAAACATAAGATTAATTAATTTAATAATTGCTTCAAAATTCAGAAACACCTTAATAATTCTCTTAAATAATTCAAAACATTTACATAAAATATATATTAGAATAAATGAAGGAGTAACAGAGCTGTAATGTTTATACTTTTAGAAACAGAGCAGCTATAGAAGACAATTTTTTCTCATTTATTAAATCTAATAGCTTTAAAATTGAATTAGAAAAATTTATTAGAGATATTAAATTTATTTTTAATAGAGAAAATGATTAATATCATGGATCTGTTATTTAATTTTAAGAGACAAATGATTTATCTTAATTATTTATTGAATTATAGAATTCAACTCCCTGGTTTTACGATTAAATCTAATTACATGATCAAGAATATTGATTTCTATATTCATAAAAATTAATATATAAAATTATTAAAATTATATATAATAAATATTTATAATAAAATTTTTCTATCCAACAGATATTCAAAAGGTGCTAAATTTGTAGGAAAAATTTAATAATAAATTTAAATGTAAAACTCAAGAAAAGGCAAGCCAAAGAATTGCTAATATATGGATACAGATGAAATAATTTGGATGAAAAATTAAAAATGTTTAGAATTGGACAATTTGTTAAATTAAGGAACCTATAATTTTTCTTATATTCCTAGACAAGGTGAAATGAATCAATAAGATAGAAATAAGTAGGCCTAATTGATGAAAAGTCTTTAAAGATTTGGGTGGCAAATCTCTTCATCAAGCTCTATAGTTTTATTTAAAAAGAAATTAGTAGACTTAATGAAAGAAAGATCAAATGAATTATATGACAGATATTTGAAGATAATATCTGACAATAATGTTGAAGAGCTTTAAGATATCTACGAATAAATGGATGAGGAGTTTGTTAAGGAATTATTATAAATTTGGGAAAACATGCACAGAGAAAATGAATTAGCATAAACGTGGCTTTACAATATTCAACCTGAGAACTGTTCTTTGGTTGTTAAAAATGCATACCTTAACTCTGTGAAAAAAAGGAATGCTCATTTATCTATATAGACTTTTGAATAATATGTTGCATCTCAGGATGCTCAAGAATATGTGATCAATATCATCAGATAATTTTAAAATGTGCTGAGACAATGATATTAATAAAGTTTTATAAACATTTTCTAATTTTATTCTTTCTATTTATTTTTAAATACATTTTAATAGAAATTGGGGCACTATATAAGTATTAATTATATTGAAACTAAATTTATGAAATATTATTTAAAAAATAAAAAAAAAATTAAAAGTTTAACCAATTAAAATAGAGGAAAACCCCCAAACCTCAAATCTACTTAATTGAAAATCCCAAATCTTTGGACTAACTAATTCTAGTGTATTTAACTTTTTAAATTTTTGACAGAAGAAGGAAGGCATGTATATTTTCATTTAGCAGGTAAGCGTTCTTAAAAAGTTGAGAATGAAAAAAAAAATGAGGTGATTCAAAATACAAGGAAGTTTTATGAATATGCTTAGGATATAGCAGAAAAATTATTTAAAATTAAATGTGATTCAAAGAGATGCATAGTATTCTTCTTCAGAAATCCTAATGAAGAATAATCCATTTATAATTTCTCATAATATATCCAAAATGAAATTTACTAATTTATATTATATGGAATTCATAAACTATTATCGGAAAAGTTTGTTTATGATCTAATTTATATTTTGGGTCATGAAAATGAAATTAATAATGTTATAGATTACCTTTTTTAAGTTCAAGAATAACCCTCTAATTATTCCCAAATAATTTAAAACCTTTTCATAAAATAAAAAATTTAACGGATGAAAGAAGAGTAAAAACAAAAACCCTCAATTGAAATAGTATAGTATGAATTTTAAGATTTTCTAAAAGATGAAAATACCAGATATAGAGTAAGAATATTTATTGAAGAAATATTAAATATATTTTAGGCTTAATCTAAGTATTATGAATAATATGGTATTGAAAATTGATATTCAAATGAAGAACAAAAATAATTCTATTATGTAAAAATAATATATAAAAAAATATTTTTTAAAATAGATATAAAAAATAATTATTGTTAATTCATATATTATATCATGTAGTTAAACAATTAAATAAGTTTAATCATTAAAGCCGTTATCAAATAAAAATTGATATTCTAGTAATTTTTTGAAGGACATAAATAATTTATCTAGTGTTATGTAAAATAATAAAAGTTTAGGAAATTAAAAATAATTGAAATGGGATGAAAAAATAATGTTAGAACTAGTTTGGGGTGTTGATTTTAATAGAAAATAATGGATGAGAACTATATTAACTTAGAAGAAGCTGTAGTTAAGAAAATAACAAAAATTAAAGAATTTAATAATGGAATGACTTATTAATGAACTAATTCTAAAAATATATTCTTCTTAACTTTTTTAATTATTATAATGTCGAAATATTGGTTTGAAGGTAAATTTGGAGTTGGTAAATTCATAATGGAAAATTTAAAGATTCTCAATTAAAAACTATGCCTATTTTCAATTTTAGAATTTCAAAATTTGCTAAAGGTTATTATTTCTAAATTATTCAAAATCCAGAAGAATTTTTTATATAATTCCGAAACTTAGTTCAAAAAAGAGATTTATTTCAAGAAATACGAAGAGAAAATACGAATTAAATTATTAAGGCATATTCAAACTGTGATTACTATTTTTATTTATTTTTAATATGGATTAATCATCAATTATGTTACAAAATTTTCATATTTAAATTTAAATTATATATGCAAAAGGAAATATAAAATTATATTGGAGATTTTAATCTTGAATACTCTAATGTTGCTATATTTGGTAAAATTTAATTGCAAGTGCAAAAATATTTAATTCTTATTGTAAATTCATAATGTGTTGGATAATTGTTAGGACATGAAATATACATGATAAAATAATTAGTTTTCTATCCTTTATAAGAGAGTGAAATAATACATAAAAATGATTTAGTCTATGTTGAGATGATTAAATCAATCATTTGCAATGATTCCTGTTATTATAGTTTAACATACAATCTTACTCATAGTTTATAATATTAGAGAAACAGAAACAGATTTGCAATTAATCAAAAATACATTGAAAATATAGAAAATAAGACTTATGTAATAAATGGATTTGTACAAATATATAATAATGCTAATCTTACTTATTGTTAGATTGTTCGAAGAGAATGTTTAAGACAAGGAAGAAGATTTATTTAGAGAGGTTGTGATTAATAAGGAAATTGTACAAATTATGCTGAGATTGAGGATATTTATTAAATTAATAGGTCTACATACTCTTTTATTTAAGTGAGAGGATCATTACCATTCAAGTGGTCATAATTACCATCTTTGAATCCAAAACCAAATATTGTAAATCTTAAATTTTATGTAGTAAATTGATAGCAATTTCGATAATAATATAGAGCTTTGTAATACTCATTTGTTTAGTCAAATCTAATATTACAGAGAGATATTTATTTTAAATTTAATTGATCGTAAAGGAAAGTAATAGAAACTTGGAAATTATTTTTAATCAATTTTAGAGTCTTTTTAAAGAAGGGAAATACAGTATTTTTGGTTTGATTTTCATAAAGAAAGAAAGAATTTAAATAAATTAGTAGATGAAATTAGTCCAATTTTAGAATAATATGGTTATTACTAAATAGCAAATTAAAATACTAAACTAATTTCTGTATAAAAAGGAGTTTTTAGAGTTAATTGTATGTCATGTATTGACAGAACAAATGTTGTTTAATATTTAATTAGTAAATTTATAATGGAAGAAATTATTGAGGATTCTGGTTTAGATGAATCTATAGAATATATACATAAAAAAATATGGATTAATTCTGGAAATTTATAAAGTAGATTATATGCAGGTACTAATTCATTAAAGAATGATTATATAAAAGTTGGTAAATAAACAAAGTATGGAATATTATAAAATGCAGTTATATCAACTTAGAGATATTTTTTAAATCATTTTAACGATTATCATATACAAAATTGTATTGATTTAACTTTTGGTTTATGGGATATGAATAATACTAGATTTCATAACTACAAATTTGAAAATTCTCTTCAAAGATGTATAATAATAGTAATAAATAATCACTATTAGATAGTTTATTATATTGATGTTTGTGTTCACTTATTTAAATTTGGGTTTACTTAGCCCTATATTATCATTAGTAGTTCTATACTATTTTCCATAAGTATATTAAGTAAGATCAATACTAACATAATGATATAATTATTTATCAAATTTTATAATAGTAAATATATTTTTTTAATATCTCCTTTGATTTTTTACTCTTTTAATTTATCAATATTTCTCTAAAACTAAAATATTAAAATTATACAAACTTTCGATATTTTTAATCCTTAGAAGATTTTCATGAATCCACATCACAAATTTGTTAATGGAGACCAAAGATTTTAAAAGATTTTTCATTAATAATTAAGTCAGGAAAATAAAAAATCTCAAATTTTATTTAGACTATAAATAATTTTAAGAATATTCAATTTTTCTATCATTTTAGAAGAAACATTCATAAAGTTTTTTCACATGCCTTCAGTTATGTAAAATTAAGGCATCTTTTTCAATAGGTTTTAACTCTATTCAATTAAGAACTTAAATAATTTTACAAGATAAGAAATTATAAATACACACATAACTCCTTTTATGATTTTATGGCCACTAAGATAATGAGGGATTTTATTTGATGAAATCTGTACCTAAAAATTGCCTTTTTAGTAATCATTAATATCATATTAACAATAAAATCAATTATTTATAATCCATGTAAAGACTCTTAACTATTTAATAGTGCCCTTGTTATTACAGTAGTAGAACTAGATATTTTATGAAATATCACTTTTAATATTGATTTTTAAGGTAAAAGATAATTTAGAGGTGAAAAGGTATAATTAAATTTAAATTTACCAATATCAAAATAAAAATAAAACTTTGGGTCCAGAATATTTTTTGATTTAAATAACATGAATTCAGTCCTTATTTTTCATTAAAGTTAGATGAATGGATAATTTGTAATGATATGCTATTATTATGAGTTTAAGGAAATGCATAAAAAAATATAGATTAATCAAAATATCAAAATGGTTGAAAAAGAATTATATAAATGAATCAATTATTCATAAGGAAAGAACATTTATAAAAATTAGCAATTTAATATTTACTTGTATTTAAATAAAACACTAAAACTCTTTGTTTATTTAGTGAAATATTTTTTACATCAATAATTAATGAAAGATTTGATAATCAATAAACTTTAATAAATATACTTCTTTTTTAATTCAAAAACATAAATTTATTGTAATAATAAATCTTTATTTGCAAATATATATATAATATAATATTAAAATGTATTAAATTAAATAATAGTATAATTTGTTATAAAAATGTAAATACATTTTCATTTCATCTTAAAATTATTATTCCCAACGATTCCTAAAACTGTTAAAGACTGAATTTCATTTTTTTTTTTTAATTATTTAAACTAATAGCTCTAATTTTACGATATTTAGGACTCATGCATTCCAAAGCTAGATTACTTAAATCTAAGATTGGAGGAGCATAGAATTCTTTATTGACAGATAATCTTGAATTACGAGGACGTAGCGATAAATTTCCATCATTTTATTATGAATTTGTCATCATAGGGATATGATTTAAAGGTTTTAAATGTATTTTGAATTTATTTTTTTGAGTTGGGGATTATGGTCCGATATTATTATTATAATCTTATTTTTAGACCATACTAGGTATTCTTGAATAATTATTCTATATAATATGATCATTTGTATCCTATTTTATTTATGATTTTTTAACTCTTTTTTTCTTTTGAGTTTAAGGAGATTTATTTGGACTTGAAGCAGTTGATTATTCAAATTATTTATCAACACTTTTTTAATTTATTAATTAATTATCCTTGATGAATTATTGATTAATATCAGAAATACTATTTAGTTTAGTTGATTAGATAATGAATGGTTATCTAATAATTTATTTTTCTTGAATTTCTTTATTCTTAACTGATAATTTCATCATCATTTATTCTTACTCAATATCTTCAACAACAATTGGCGTTTGATTGTAAGAATTGATTTTAATTGCTTTGATTGGTTATTTATTAGAGGAGGGTATTAAAAATTTGGAAGATTGAAGAATAGTTGAATTTGATTATTTTGTGGAATCTATAGTTGTATGAAAATCGATTCTAGTATTTTAATCAATTTTATTAATTTGGGCAGAGATTTGATATTTCTAATCTTGATTTAAGGATTATTAATAGTCTGCAAATAATTAATCATAATTTCCTAAGAGATCTATTTTTTAATTCTATTAGATCTACTTAGAAATTTAATGATAAAATTCTTTATTGATTATATGTTTTTAATATCCTAATTTGCCTAAGATCATTAAAGCAAGAATAAATTTATGTAATTTTAATGATTATTTCCATTATTGAAATTGTTCTTCCATATTTAAAGGTTCATCATTACCATAATTAAACCAAGGATGTAATAGAGCTTGAGTAGCACTATATCTTTTAGTTGGGTTAATTTCTGTTAATCTTCGAAATAGACTATATTGAATACTCTAGATTAAAAATGTGTAATTTACTCATTAAGATATGGTTTGCATAATTCATGCATGTTTAATTAGGCTTATGCTAAATCACAACCTTTTTAATAATAAGGATGTTATCCAACAATTAATTAGTACATGATTACACCAGCAGCCCAAATATCAATAGCTTTATTATAGATTCTATTATTTAATTATTCAGGAGCCATATAAATAAGAGTTCCACATTATTTTGTCATTAAGGAAGCATATCCTGTACTTAACCCAAAATCACTTACTTTGAGTAGGCTTAAATCATGAGTTATTAAAATGTTTTCTAATTTTAGGTCTCTGTGAGCAATATTATTATTATGCATATATTATAATGCATTGAATATTGAATACATAATATATTTTGTCTATTCTTCAGAACACTTAGATAAGGAACTTAATGAACCTATTAATACTATGAATAATAAACAATACCTCCTTAGATGAGTTCCATTTCAATTAGAATTCTAGAATCAGTCTCATGTACACCAAAAAACTTAACAATGTTAGGATGTGACAACTCTTACAAAATATGAGCTTCTTATAATAATTATTCAGATTAGAATAGAGATTTCTTTTTAATAACCTAGAATTAATTAGTAAATCCATTATTACTTTGACTGCTACTAATTATTGTGTCTACTTATTTAATGCTTTTAATACAGATCCAAAAGATCCTTAACCTAAAAATTCTTGAAATTCAAACAAATCAAATGAAATATCATACAATTCATTCATGAATAATAATATTAATTATGGGATGTGTGTGTGAAAAATCTAAACCAGTATAACCTGAACCAATATAAATTTAAGTAATTTCTTCTGAAACAACATAACCTTAATCTCATTCTATAAAATAAATATCTTCAATAAAGCTTAATATACCTTAAGTAAATTTATTCTTTGATTATTTAAGAAAAAAAAGAAAGTTAGAGAAACATAAAAACTTATTAAATAACTAATTAAGATGTAAACTAATATAAATTTACAGGGAGTAAAAATGATTAATGATTAAATTTTTGATGAATTTCTTGGAAAAGGGGCATTTGAAAAAGTTAATGAGCATTCAAAAGATCAAGTGTTTTAAATATGCTAGTAAAATTATGAAAAAAAGTAAATTACGAAGATAAAGAAAATATATTAAAGATTCTAAGGGAAGTTATGAATAACTAAATATATAATTAGATATGAGTATTAAAGTTGCTCTATAAGATGTTAAAAGAGAAATTGCAATCATGAAGAAACTAACACATCAGAACTTAATTTGGTTGTTTAACATAATTGAAAATCCTTATAATGATAAATTATTTATGGGTACATTATATATCTCTATACTAAAAATTTTAGAAAATGCCGAAGGTGGATGATGAATCTAAATTTTATTATATTAATGAATCTCTAATACTTGATGAACCATTACTCAATTAGATTTTTCGTGATTGTATCAAAAGTCTCAATTATTGTAATTTTTATTATTTATTCTAGTACATAAAAATGGTGTAGTTAATAGAGATATAAAACCATAGAATATTCTCTTAACTGATAATAACACTACTAAAATTGCTGGTTTTGGAGTCTCCACTATTATTGGAAGTAAAAATGATGTTTTTGGACAATATTTAAGGAACTTATTATTTCATGTCTCCAGAAGAATGTTATAAAGTTAAAGTCAAAGATGGCTATACTGGCAAAGCTGCTGATATTTGGGATTTGGGAATTGCTTTTTTCGCTTTTGTTTATTTAGGTGTTCCATTTACAGCTTCACCTATTCCTGTAGAATTACATTTCCTGATAGAAATGATATCAGCGAAGGATTAAAAGAATTTCTCTTAGTTATTTTATAAAAAGATTCCAAAAACAGACCAAAAATACCTTAGATAGCTTAACATTTATTTTTGAATGCTTAAAATATGAATCTGTAGGATGAAATGTATTATAATTTAAAATAAATAGAAACAAAGAAGAATAAACTAAAACGGAGATTGCTTAAGCAGATATTGATAATGCTTATTCTTTAACCTCGATAATGATAATAAAAAAATGGGCTTATAAATGGAGAAATAGTTCTAATCTTAAAAGATGTCATATATTTAACAAACTCCAAAAAGTAATTCAGATTAGGTAATTAAATGATAAAAATGAATAATAAATATTTAACTCAATCAGTTAAAACCATGATGTGGCTAAAACCTAAGGCAATATCTTTAATCTAAATATTTTATAATCCTAATTCAGGAATCAACCTAGTGTATGTTTCATAGAATGGAATATCCATATATCTTAAATCTTCACCTCCCCAAATAATGCAATCTCCTTTACTAGTTAAAACAGCAGATCTATCAAATTTAGCATAAATCTTAACAATTTTTTCATCATGTTCAAGTGGTAAATAAATTTCAGTTTAGCCACTAAATTCAAAATCAAATTTGGATTTAATTCCCAATTGATTATGTAATAAGCAACCAAAAAAGAGTAATCTATTTTTAGTAGTTAATACAAGATTGTGTGCTTGACCTGAAACAATTTATTGAATATATTCATCTGGTTATAAATCTAAAAACACTTCTGTTGGTTCTTTAATTCTATCAATTTCATTATTCATTCCACATTATCCATACATATTTAAACCACAAGCATAAATTCTATTATCAGATACTTATAATAGTGTGTGATGAGCACCAGAACTAATTTTTGATATTTTTTGATTTCCTATATCCATTAACTGTCTATTCTAAACAAATTCAACTAAAAACAATTATAAATATTGAAATCAATACCGAAGATTTAATTTTAATCTTTTCTTCTTGTTTCCATAAATTAATAATGATTTCTTTTACCAGATCCATAAACAACTCCTCCTTCAGTCAATAATAAACTGTGTTAATAACCACATGCTACTTAAATAACTTTATCTTTAGTTGGTAATTACAATTATTTAAACTAAAATTAATACTTTAATTCACCATTTCCCAACTATCCTTTATAGTTTTCTCCCATCCCATAACAAACTCCATCATTCATTTAAATTATTATAAAACTACCTCCAACTCCAAATGATTTAATTGGAGCATCTATAATTGGTTTATTTAATAAAACTGGTTAAACTATACCACCTCTCATTGATAACATTGTACCAAGTGGAGAGTATTTCTATAATTCATTATAATTTATATACTTGCCATAATTAACATAAAGTTGGATTTCTTTTATAAAAAGATAATGTTCTATTCTCTGTCATTGCATCTAATTGCCAACCCCAATGTAATAATTATCCATCTTATAATAATGCAAATGATTGTGTCATATTAGCTTCTAATTATTTTACTCCAACATTTGATAAATCAGGTATTAATGCAAAATGTTCCAAACTTTTAAAATTCCCTTAACCCAATTACCCCATAAAATTCAACCCTTTTGCAAATACTTTCATTAATTAAAATGTAAGATAAATAAAAACCTAAATTATTTCTAGAAAAACTATTCGCTTTACTAGAGGTAAATTCAAATGTAACTAGTCTGGTGAAGCCTATAATATTATTCAATGGACTGTTGATAAAGATGCTATCAAAATTATTAATCGATCCTAATTGATTCGTGATATCCTACCCAACATTTTCAAATAGACATCCTATAAAAGCTTCACTAAATAAATGAACCTTTATAATTTTAAAAGTACTAAAGATGAAAATGGCTTTACCATTTTTATTAATCCACATTTTACTCAAAGTTCTCTTAATCTTACATAAATTATGGCAGAGAAACGTACTATTAAAAAGACAAAAAAAGAGGATACTAAAAGGAAAAGTGATTTGTAAAATGAACATGAATAGTTAAAATAAAAATTAATGGATTTATTCAAATACCAAGTGAAACTTTAAAATGAAATCAAAACATAATTGGAAATACACAAACATCTTCAAATGAGAGTGGGAATTATTAAAAAATGTATTTATAACCGTAAAGAGAATGGATTAAAGAGAAGAAGAAAAATTTATAATTTTTTGAATTCTTTTTTCACACATCTCAAGTCTTCAGTCATATGTATTCATTTTACATTTACAGAAAATTAGGTCAAAAATTTCTTATTTTGAATCACGATCTTATTTGTTAATGTGATGAGAACGATGAAGAATAATGTCTTGATTTTTAGACTTCAAGGTCATTATATCAAACACCTTATTTGACACCACGAAACCTAACCATTTTTTAATAAAATTCTATAAGATAATTATAAGATTTATTTTATGATGAAGATAATAAGCCAAAGTCTTTTTTATCACTTACACCAGAATAATAAAAATAATTTATTGAAACCATATGGGATGATTGAATTATCTATATATTTATAATACATATAATTTATTTTTAATTCAATATTTTAAGATTATTCAGAAATCTAATTTGATTATTAAAATATTTAGAGGTTTTCCTTAAATCACTCAAGTTATTAATATTTTAAGAGATAATTACATAAATTCTGTTAGATTAAATATTGTTTAGAGAATAAATTAGAATAATTATGTGCTAATTCTAAATTTTAAATCGTATTTATTTATTGTAATATTTTATTATTTTAAATAATAATATGAAGAGCATTCCTATATAAAAAGCTTAATCTGAAATTAATGATTATATTGAAAAAACAAAATAATCTGTTCAAGCTTAAAAATAAATTGTAGATATTCTGGATGCTCAACTTGACTAATTATATAAATTGTAGAATATTAGAAATTAAATCGATTAAACATCTGATTATACTTAGAATATGATTACCGAACTAAAAAATTAGGAAAAAGAGTTAGAGGGGATTTCTTAAGAATAAGATGAATTGATATAAACACTAGAAAAAGCAGTTACAAATGAAAAGTATGTAGATTAAGAAGCTGCTCGATTGTAGCAATATGAAAATACATTAATATAGAGGATGTCTAATTATATATAAGAAGTATTATATAAAATTAACTAAATAGATAAAAAGCGGCTAAAACACAAGCTTAAACTTATTATAAAATTATTTTTTTGTTTTAGATAACCATTCCTAAAAATGAATGTATATATATATTATAATTTAAATGTTTAAATAAAAAAATTAAAACATCTTTCTTAAGTTTTGATAAATAAAATTATATGAAAAAACAATCCCATACAAGGACTCCTGATTAATATGTTGATTTATTTACAACAAATAAACAATAAAAGCTAGAAGAAGATGAATCTGTACCTTTAGAATTAACAAGAATGACATCACTAAATAAGATAAATACTGATGGCTAGAATTTTTATATAAATATATTACATGGAAATTAAGAAATGCCAATAAATCTTGCTTAATACTTAAGGGAATAAGTAAGTATAATTTGATATCATTTTAAGTATGAATTGACTCATACTTTTAAAAATTATCCGCCAGAAGAATATTATGGGAATTGTGAATATAAATTAAAAATAATAAGTGTAGATTAATGTAAAATGGAACATAGAACTACTTAAATGTAATTTAGGTAAAATTCTAAAATAAAATGAATAGATTAGATGAAGGAAAAGGTATAGCATACTATAGAGTTGGCGTAGAAGATGATGGTACACCAACTGGTTTAAATTTAGATGAAATGTTAGTATCTATATAATGGTTAATTAAATTTGCTAATAATAACAAAGCTGAAATTATATTATAGAAAATTCATTAAGGAAGAAAGAATATATAAAAAATAGCTGAATTCATGGTAAGAAGAAGACTATAAGATTCAATTAAAACTGATATTAGAGTAGTAATGTTAGGTTAAATGAATTCAGGAAAATCATCTTTAATAGGTATGATAACTACTGGCAAGTCGAATATCGGAAGACAATAATTCGGAAGATTATTTAGATAAGTAGTTGGATTTGATAGTAAAGGAAAAGTTGTTAATAAACTTAATTTATTGGGATAAGAAAAAGAAGATTAATATGTATTTGAGAATTCCACTAAAATTATAACCTTTATTGATCTTTTGGAAACTTAACATTATAATTTTAATGAAGCAATGTAAAACATTTAATCTTAATTTCCTAATTATTTTATGTTGGTTATTAATGCCATTTAGTAATTAGGTAAAGACTTTATATAATAATTAAAATTAACCTTAACTTAATAGATACCAATTTTTATTGTTGTCACTCATGCTGATAAATTAAAAGATGATTATGAATTAGAAATATTATTATATAATATTAGATAAAAATTAAAAGAACATATCATTAAATCAATCCCTACTATTTTAGTAAGATCTACTGAAGATGTTATGTTATTTAGTAAATAAATTATTGATTAATATGAAAAGGAAACTGTTATTCCAGTTTTTATATTATCTAATTTAGAATTTAAGACTCATCATTTGTTTTTATAATTTTTAAATCAATTACCTTTAAAATATGAACTTACTAATAATACTACCCAACCAGTAGAATTTGGAATTCATTAAACATTTGAAATTGCTCTTACCAAATAAATTGGTGATGAATAACCCTCAATAGAATCTGAAAGCTTTACTGTTGAAGATGTATATATTTGAAATTTTATATAAGTCAACTCTTAAATCTAATAAAGGATTAATTCAAGTTTAAGATCGAAAATTGCTAATCTTAGGAGGAACTGTAACAAAAGGTATAATGAAGAAGGGATAAACTTTATTAATGGGTCCTGATAAAACTGGAAACTTTTACCCTATCTTAGTTTAAAATCTTTAATCAAATAGAGTAAAAGTAAAATCAGCTTTAAGTGGATAATTATGTACAGTCTAATTTTCACTTGTAAATTCTTACAAAAAGAATTTTGGAACTTCTGAAAATCCAATAAGAAAAGGAATGGTTCTGGTTGATGCTAAACTTAAACCTAATAGCTATACAATTTTTATAGTTAATCTATAATTTTTTACAGCAGGTTGGAAATAAGCCTAATAGTAAATATAATAATAAGAATATATATCATTGAACTAAACACAATAATCTAATTTTTCAAATGAAAAAATTTTTTTATCTTAATCTCACGAATTATTAGTTCATACTCCATATTCCAAGTAAATTTATATTAAAATTAGACAAATATGTTTAATTTAGGAAAATCTTAAACAAAATCCACCTTTATTATTTAAATAACCTAGTTTAACAAGAAAAACTTCTAGATCTGTTGAAGGTAAAACCCATTCATTATCATAAAGATGTCTTTAGAAGAGCAAATCAAAAAAAGACAAAATTCAACAAAGTATTTTAATACATAATTTAGAAATTAATATATGTGAAATAAATTCTGGAGAAACTTTATCTTTAAAATTAAGATTTAAATATTAGAGTGAATATTTAACATAAGGTATGAAAATAATGATAATGGAACAAAAATTTTCAGCTTTTGGGCATATAGTATCTATGGAAATTTGAAATGTTACAAAAAATATTTTATATTAGTTTATATTATCAATTTTATATTTATTGTATATTAAAAAGCATTAAATATTATATGAATACCGTACCAAAAAAAGAAGTTAAAAGCTTTATTGGAATTCTTTTACAAATTTTAGATGTATTTTAATAATATTATGCAGAATTAATCCCTTTAAAATATAATAAGGAAAAATGAAGAAAACAATGGATTCATAATTGTAAATTAGAAAGAGTTCTTAGAAAAAATCCTTTTTTAATATTATAAATCCAAAACATTTGCTAGTTTCAGAAGGTATTATTATAATTAAAATTTAGATCTTTAAATTCTTATGGATTTTAAGTTTATTAATTATAAAATGGTTAAAAATTATTCATCAATAAGAATATTATTTCCATCAATTAAAATATTCATAAAAGAAATCTAAACCCTCCCTTTTAGAATTATTACCAGCTGATTGAATCAGAACATTAAATTTTGCTTTTACAACTTACTTAAATAAAAAAAAATTAATAATTGATGGAGTAAAATATTAAGAGAGTTCTTTCTTTATAAGAGGAAATAACAAGAAAAATGAAATTAACTATGATAGTAAAAATATAAATAATGTTAGCAATATATTTAAGGGCTTTTAGATGGGTTCATTAAAGGTAAAAAAGCTGAATAATTTGTGTTATAATTTTGTTTTTCAATTAAAAATAAACAATTTAGTAATATATTTGAAACTATTAGAAAAATTTATGAAGGTTAATTTTAAAAAAGCCTTATAATTACCAGATATCAACTATTATCCATTATCTGAGATCTCATAAATCAATCCTTAAAATAAATAAATAAGTTTCTTTGAATTAATGATGAATCTTAATTTCAATATTCATGATTTCTTCTCAGTTTAATTATTTAATAGGATGTTGAATGATAAGGTTTTAGATAATAAAGAGCAAGAAGAAGATTAAGAAAGTAATCTAAGTCATTTTTTTTGTTTAAATTAAATGGAAATGTGATTTTAATGTAAATATAATTTTAATCTAATTAATTAAAGATCTATTTTAACTATTTAAATATATCAAAACTATTTAATTGAGCTTCTTGATATTTTATCAAAAGCTTAATCAATACTAGCATATTTTTATTTATATTCTTCAAGTAAAATTTCTTAAGATTAAGTATTAATATACTAAATTAAGATTTAAATAAATACTTGTAAATACTCAATGGAAGATTTTTTAAGGATTTCTGAAGGGCTCCATTTTAATAAATACGAAACAACTAGAGCAAGGCTAAATAAAACTTGAATAATGATTTCATATTGTAATTTAATGTCATTTTGAATATTCTTATTAAATTAATTTATACCTTAAATGAGGGTATTTTTTAGATAAAAATTTTTGCTTAATCTCTCAACAATTCAAAAAGTGTATATTAAGATGTTTTATTAATTATTTCCTCAAAATTTGATTTTTTTTTGGACTTTTCAAGATTTATTTTAGCTTATTGCAAAGCTTTAGAAAAAAATGAGTCAATAATTTTATGTTCTTCATCAATTTTTTTCTAAAAATTATCATATTTTTCTTATAAATCTTAGGAGAGGGATTATTCAAATTAGACTACTGATCTAATTTCATAAATTTATTAAAGTAATGATTGGGAAATTAAAAAAATGAGTTTTAGAATTACAAATTCTAAAGTAGTTGATTCAAATTCTGTATTAAAGAGTCTCACATAACTAAGAGTTTATGATAAACTAGAATAAATATTTCTAAAATATTAAATTTTGACATACCTCTATTCAATATAATAATCTAATTATTTTTTTAATATTTTAGTTTTTTAATCTTTAAAAAGATCTTTGGTAATACATAATTATTTTTTAAGTAATTCTTGATCTCCATTTAAATCTAAAATATTGATAAGATTTTAAATTTACTGTTTTAATTATAGATAGCTTAATTTTCATTTAAATGAATGCCAGAAATAGTTTTTTATTCAATATCTTAATAAAATTATCTATTTTTTTCACAATCAAAAGTCTTAGGCTCAAGATCAGATTTTTAGATTAATGTATTCATAGAAATAGATAATAGAGTTGATTATACAATTAAAGTATTAGCTATATTAAGTAATTTTAAAAGAGGATGCGAATAAACTTAAGACCAATTTAATCTTTCACTTGGATCAAATCTAAGAGTTTTTTGTAGAAAATCTATGGACTCATTACTGATAGTTTAATCACTGCAGGAAAAATCCTTAAGTAAGTATTTTGATTACTATATTATTTTCTTTGATGTTATAAATTAATTCTTCTTTGGTTGAACCATTAAATGGAAATCTCTTATATAGCAGTTTAAAATAGATAACACTTGCAGAATATAAATCAGAGACCATGGAAGAATTGGTTTGATTTTGTAGAATTTCAGGTGGAATTATTTCTTTTACAATTCCAAAAGAATCAAAATCCTGATCATTATTCATATTGGCTATTTCATCAATAAAGATATTTATCTATCCTATTTTTATTTCATCATTTAAAAAAAATATATTTTTAGGACTTAGATCTACAAAGGTAATTTGATTCTCATGCAAAGCTATATGAAACAAAATCATACATTTTAATCCATTTAAGATTTCTCTAAAGTAACATTTAGCTTTATCTTCGTTAATAATTGAGGTAGTCATTATTTCATCTAAAGTTCCTTAATTAATTTACTCCATAAAAAAATAGTAATTTGTTGGAGATTCTTTTAAATCAATGAATTAAATGACATTCCTACTTGAAACCCCACAAAGTTTTTTAAACATCTATTAAATAGATGGAATAATTGGTGGCTTAGAAATTACTTGAATTACACACTATCCATTTTCTCCTAAAATACAAATATCATGATTTAAATACCGTTTTCTGGATGCAGTTTAATAGCATTATGATAGACTCTTTTTTTATTTGAGAATATTTAGTCTTTTATAAGGAAATCCTTGAGTTATTTATTCATCAATAAACAATTTTATTATAAGAATTTTAAAAAATATACATTTTATCACAATCCTCATTATTATATTTCAAATTTGAATTGTAGTGGGAACATTTAATCCTTATTTTAAAAAAATTAAAACTAATTTAAGTTAAAACAAATAACTTACTTTATTGGAAACCTAGTATTTGATTTTATTGTATTTTCCTTTTATTCCAATAATTCCTAAACCATTTTAATTAAACTTAATTAAGAATTAAATGTATACCTTAGTAATTAAAAATAGATTTTCATCAACCTTATGTCTTAATCCAAAATTTAAGAAAGTTGAGTATTAACTTATTTTATAAATTCTGTTTATTTTGAATGCTAATTATGTATTATCTTTGAATGGTGATTAGATCATCAAACTTGACTCATTTTATGAACTAAGAGATTAGTGAAATATTTGATTACTAAGTTAATTTAATTTTTTAATCCTATTTTTCAGCATATTAGCAGAATTATGAAAATTATAATTATTTATTTTTGAAACACAATTCAAGTATTGTTTTCATTTTCCAATCATTTTACAAATATTTTTTTTTTGCAAAGAAATTAAATTCAGAGGATTTTTAGGTTTTGTTGTATTAACAATAAAATTAATACTATTTTTCAAGAGTTAACTTAAATCCTGTGTTAAATTATTGTAAAGTGTCAATAAAATTAGGTGATTTAAAAAATAATTTAAAAGCTTCATCGATTTTGTAATTAATTAATATATTGTATGTTGAATCATTTGCAAAAGTATTAATGAAGCTAAATTTTGGAGTACAATATTGAAATTAAGCTTATGCAGTAAATTTTTGATTTGTTGCATAACATCTAGTAGAATAACTCTATTAATTAGTTATTAAAATACAAAGGGTTATTCTTTGTCTTTAGATTTAAAAACAAACTGTGTGTTATTATCGTTTAAGTTTAATAAATTAGAGTCTTTTGGATATTGATGCATAATATATTTATTAATACAATATTGAAATGTAAAATAATCTTGTGCTTTAAAAGTTTTTATAGAACAACCCATTCATAGAAGGAATTGTATTAATGGATAAAGAGGGAATAGAGTAAGAAATATAGAGAAACTTAGAATAATAGCGGCATTTTAAAATGAAAATAGCAAGTTGAGAACAGGAGCATAATCATTAATGTATGTAGTAGCGATTTAATAATGCAATGAGAATTTAAGAAAACTTTCTGATTCTGAAACAAAGCAAATTACATTAGTTTATGAGTATTGAATAATTTATGAATTTAGTGAATGGATAATTTATTTCGAAATTTGGACCCATACAATATTGATATTTTATTGTAATATAAAGGCAAATATTGAGTCATTAAAATAACTTGGATAGGATTTAAAGCGAATACTTTCACCTTATAATGATTTATTAGAAAAATAGTAAAAATGAATTAAATAAATTATGTCACATATAATGTCATTAAGATCATTTATTCTGATAAGCTTAGTATATGTAGGATATTGTAAAGAGTCAGGTGAAAAACATCTAACAATTCTTACTCAATCTATAGGATCTATGTTGGTTTCAGAAATAGGAGACAAAGTATATAAAAAGTTAAAAGATAAAAATAGACATTTTTCTTGGCGGCCATATTGTCAATGAAATTTAATAGAATAGCTGTATTCACTGGAGCAGCAGGAGCATTGGTCTTAATGACAGCTATAAGTTGTGCTTTTGGTATTATAGTTCCAACTCTTTTGCCAAGATTTTATACTGCGATTGTTGTGACCATTATATTTTATTTCTTTGGTTGTAAACTTCTCTTTGATTGGTATCATATGGAGAATGAAGGGGATAAAGAAGAATTGAAATAAGTGGAATTGGAGTTAGAAGAATTAGACAAAAAATTACTCAGCAGCCATAAAATAATTGATCCTGAAAATCCATCTGAAGGACAAAAATAAGGTAAATGATTTAAATCAACTAAGATTTGGTATCTGTTGTGCCAATTTAATAAATTATATGGTAAGCCTTTATAATGACATTTTTGGGAGAATGGGGTGATAGAAGTTAGATAACAACAATAAGTTTATCTGCTGTTTAAGATGCTGACATAGTGTTTTTAGGATGCAGCATAGGACATTTAATATGCACTACTATAGCTGTAGTTGGAGGAAAACTGTTAGCACATTAAATTTCTGAAAAGACTGTTAATTTAGCAGGAGGAATAGTATTTATAATATTTGGGTTGATGCATACTTATGATTTAATAACTGGTAATTTGGATTGAATATTACAATGAATATTGATAATATATTCAAATCATTCTTCTTTCTTCTTATAATTAAATATAATTCCAATAAAAGATATTACATATATTTCTGTCTCAGAAAACGTGTTAAATATTACTTGATTAAAATATAGCTCTATGGATAATGAAGCAAGAAATATAAAGTTTATAAAACTTGAATTGTTTATAAAAAAAAAGAAATCTTATTTTTAAATAAATAATGGGAAAGAAGGAAACAAAAGATAAAAAGCCTGCTTAATTCAAGTATCTATTTTATAAATAGCTTTTAGAAAGATATATGAGTTGTTATCAAAATACTCCTAAGTTATTATAGTAGGATTAGCCAATGTTGGATCTAAATAAGTTTAAGACATTAGAAGAATTTTGGCTAAAAAGAATGCTCTTTTGGTGATAGGAAAGAATGTATTGAACCATTTCTATATATAGACATTATTTAAGAAGGTTTTATCAACAAGAGTGCAAGATTTACCAGAATCACATGAATATTATGATGAATTAAAGAAATTTGGAGGAGCAATAAGAGAATTAGATGTCTTAAAGAATTAAGTAGCTGGTAAAGTAGGATTCATCTTTACTGATACACCTGTATTTGATCTTAAGACAGTAATTGAAGAAAATAAGGTTGAAACTCCAGCTAGAGTTGGTGCCGTAGCTCCAATTGATGTTGTTATTCCACCTGGTCCAACTGGTATGGATCCAGCTTCTATTTAATTCTTCCATGCACTTTAAATTCCAACTAAAATTGAAAAAGGATAAATCTAAATTACTAAAGACTTTGTGGTTTTAAAGACAGGATAAAAAGTTGGTTAATCATAAGCTGTTTTATTATAAAAATTGGGTAAAAAACCATTTTTATATGGAATGGAAGTATTAGCTTGTTATGACAATGGATCTATATTAAATAAATAATAAGTATCTGTTAATTTGAATGATATTGTTGCTAAGTTCTAAAAGAATGTTAGTAACATTTCTGCTATTTCATTAGCTAATGGTAATTATAATAATATATCAAATTCACTTAGGTTGGGTTAATGAAGCTTCAGCTCCATATTTATTAGCTAATGCATTTAAGGATTTAGCTGCTATTGGATTACAATCAGGATTTATTTTTGATCAAATTAAATAATCCAATGCTCCAGCTTAAACCTCAGCTCCTGTTGCTACCAAAGTTGAAGAAAAACCAGCCTAATAAGCTCCAGCTAAAGTTGAAGAACCTGAAGAAGATGTTGATATGGGTGGCTTATTCGATTGATAAAGTATAGTAAAAAAATAATAATATAAAATAAAATGAGTTTATTAGAAAAGTTTCTTGAAATTAATAATGATCTCTCAAATCCTCAATTATTTGCTGTTAGTCTTTAAGGGTAAACTCTTTTTATTTTCACATTTTAGGTTTGAGTAATTTTAAGATGAATTATGTTGCTCGTAATCTAATTTTACTTAAATCGATAATTACTCTCTCTGGTATATATTTAAACTTATCTCTTAGCATTTGTTAAGAAGAATCTTAACAATTATAAACCATTATTGCTAATTTCAAAAAAGAGTTCAACATCAATCCTTAAATTATTAAGTAAAATTCCTAAGAGTAAATTCTCAAAGCAGATAAACGTTATCAAGTACATTTTGTGTGTTTAGAAATCTGGAATTTCCTAATGAAAGTTGCCAAAGGAGGTTTTTCATTATATTGCTATTTTTATAGGCCCTTGTATACCTATTTATACAATAGAAATTAACAATCTTAAAAAGAACACTCCTCATAATTTTACATTTCTGTCACAACAAGATATCGAAGGCTTGCCAAAAGATCTCCTTATACCAGTAGACATGACTCAAATGGAGTTTTTGATTTAAACTGAAAATGATTCTTTTACTTACTTAACCAAGGTTGTACCCTTAGCTTTTACTATTGAATAAGTTATTAATAAAATACTCTCATAACAATTCAACATTTCAAATTACATGTGTTTTAACTAAACAAATAAAAAACTTATCTAAAACAAAAATACAACTTTAATCTATGAGTTAGATTTTAAATCTCTATGGTTTTTCAAGCCAAATCAATAGGAAAATAGATTTTCAGAAAATTTGGATGAAGTTATCATGCAGCAAGATTTCCAAAATCTCAATACTGGTTCAACAGAATCGACTTATGAATCAAGGGAAATTCAATCCTTATTAGATAGTTCATAACCGCATGAATTCGAAGATGATCCTAATCTCCATAACAAGAGTAATTTAAGTACTAAAATTTTATTATAAGTCTTGAGAGATATTAATGAGTTTAGAAATGAAATCGAATCCATTCTCTAATTTCACAAAAAATAGCCTCTTTTATTGCTTAAAGAGGAATAGGCCATTGAGAATATAAATCAAATTATCTTATAAATTGAGTAGGAAAACTGTTTCAAAAAAGAGTAACAAGAAGAAGGAACTAATGATGAACTTATTGATTATTAAGATATTTGATTAAATATTAAATCAATAAGTTTCATTTATTTTTTAATTAGATAATTTATTTATAATTGATTATTGATAAGTTTATTAAATTAATTTTCTAAGGATTAAATCTGAGATCTCCCCTATAAAATTTCTATTCAATTAGAGTTAAATGATATTATTTATTGGTTTTATTGTATTAGCAATATTGATGAAATCATCTATTCCTTTTTTTAAAGCTATAATTGATTACAATTATCTTTATAATAATAAAGCATGATGATAGTAATTGGTTATCCAAGAAATAAATAGGTTTCACTAGATTAATGCTAGTAGATTTTAATCTGCATTTTCTCATTTTGAATAAATGACTGAGAAAATATTCAGTAAGTTTGAGATAAGAAGTGATTGTTTTACAACCTTATAGAATGAAATGAAAGAAATTTGTATTTGATATCTTTTTTGAATTATTGAATTAATTTAATGTTGAAGTTAATTATTTGAGTTTATATTGAAATAATTGGTTGAGAATTAATTAAAGAATAAAATATAAAATGAAAATTTTATGTAAAAAAATAATAAAGGGAGTAGGATTTATAAAAGTGATACCAGAAGAAGATGATGATTTTTGGCATTTATATAACTTATTATCGGTGGGTGATATAATAAAGACTAGTACACATAGAAAGATAGTAAAAGAAAGTAATTAAATATAATATTGATTAGGTTAGACAGGTACGAAGGTAGCAGAGAAACGTAGGATTTATGTATTTTTGAAGGTGCATGAAATAAATTATTGGGCAGATTAATATTTATTATTATCAATAAAGGGTAGAAATTGTTAAGAATCTCATTGGTTATCATTAGGTTAATTTCATACATATGAAGTGGAATTAAATCAAAAGATAGTGATTTATAAAGAGAATTGGGATAGATTTCATTATGCAATATTAGATTAGATAAAACAATAATAAACATCATCAGAAGTAGCAGCATTTATAATGGAAGAAGGAGTTGGTCATTTATGTTTGATTGGATAAGCAACAACTAGATTGAAATAGAAAGTAGAAAAACAAATAACAAAAAAGAGAAATTAGAATGAATAAAGAGAAAAGGGAATGGAAGAATTTTTTAAAGCATGTTTAGCAGCCCTAGAATAAGATTCATTGATGGAATAAGTTAAATGTTTAATAGTGGCATCTCCAGGGTAAGAATATATATAGTATTATTATTGTAGATTCGTGAAAGATGATTTCTATGCATTTCTGAGATAAACATTTTAGAAAGAAGAAAAATATAAAGGATAATAAAAGATATTGTTAGATAAAATATTTTTGGCTAAATCAAGTTCAGGATATTTAAATAGTTTGATGGAAATCTTATAGGATCAATAAGTTTAACAAAGATTAGAAAACACAAAGTAAGACTATGAATGATTTTAAGGGCTATGTAAGAGATAATGATTTTGGAAAAGTTTTTTTAATAATTGAGAGTTGATATAACCAAAGTAGCATATGGTAAGAAAGATATCGAGTTTGCTCATAGTTTAGGAGCAATCTAAACATTATTAATTAGTGATAAAGTTGCCAGAGCAAAAGATCCAAAAGTAAGAAGATAATGGCTTTCTGTAATTGAAGAAATTAAAAGAAAAGGAGGTGAAGTATTCATCTTCTCTAGTTTACATCCATCTGGAAAATAATTAAACAATTACACAGGAATTGCTGCCATCTTGTATGTTTCAGTCTAATTTGATTATGAAGATGAAGAAGAAGTTGATGAAGAATAAGTAGAATAATAAATCTAACAACATCAACATCAACATGATTCAGAAGAATTTAAAATGGATTTATCAGTCTAAAAGAAGTTTGAAGAGTTTGGTATGGAAGAGGATGATGATAATCAAGGAGATTTTTGAATCTATTGTTTTGTATATTTAAATGAAAGTATCTTTTTTATTATTTTATATATAAACTACTATCTTAAACATAATTTATATATATATCATAATATATTTATTA